AAAAAGCAAGGCTATAGGCTTACCAAAATACAATTTTTTGACAACATTTTTTGTTGCTAAAGACCTTAATATTATACTTTATATTAAGAAATAAGAGACATACACCACGCCTTGTGCTTGCTTCATGCCTTTCTGATGAAAAAATCAGGTTTTTTGAGGATCCATTTTTCGTGAAAAAAGCAAGGCTATAGGCTTACCAAAATACAATTTTTTGTGACCAACATTTTTTGTTGCTAAAGACCTTTATATTTATCTTTATATTTAAAATTAAGAGACATTACACCACGACCTTGCTGCTTGCTACATGCCTTTTTGATGAATAAAATCAGGTTTTTTGAGGATCCATTTTTCGTGAAAAAAGCAAGGCTATAGGCTTACCAAAATACAATTTTTTGACCAACATTTTTTATGGCAAAGACCTTAATATTATACTTTATATTAACAAGTAGGAGACACACCACGCCTTGTGTTTTCTACATGCCTTTCTTAAGAGAAAAATCAGGTTTTTTAGAGGATCCATTTTTTGTGAAAAAAGCAAGGCTATAGGCTTACCAAAATTACCATTTTTTGACAAACATTTTTTTAGCTAAAGACCTTAATATTATACTTTTTATTAATAATTAAGAGACATACACCACGCCTTGCTCTTGCTACATGCATTTCTAATAAAACAAATCAGGTGTTTTAGAGGATCCATTCTTTGTGAAAAAAGCAAGGCTATAGGCTTACCAAAATTAACGTTTTTTGACAAACATTTTTTTGCTAAAGACCTTAATATTATACTTTTTATTAATAATTAAGAGACATACACCACGCCTTGTCCTCGCTAAATGCCTTTCTTATGAAAAAAATCAGGTTTTTTAGAGGATCCATTTTTTTGTGAAAAAAGCAAGGTTATAGGCTTACCAAAATTATCATTTTTTGACAAACATTTTTTATGGCAAAGACCTCAATATTATACTTTATATTAACAAGTAGGAGACATACACCACGCCTTGTGTTTTCTACATGCCTTTCTTAAGAGAAAAATCAGGTTTTTTAGAGGATCCATTTTTTGTGAAAAAAGCAAGGCTATAGGCTTACCAAAATACAATTTTTTGACCAACATTTTTTGTTGCTAAAGACCTTAATATTATACTTTATATTAAGAATTAAGAGACATACACCACGCCTTGTGCTTGCTTCATGCCTTTCTGATGAAAAAAATCAGGTTTTTTGAGGATCCATTTTTCGTGAAAAAAGCAAGGCTATAGGCTTACCAAAATACAATTTTTTGACCAACATTTTTTGTTGCTAAAGACCTTAATATTATACTTTATATTAAGAATTAAGAGACATACACCACGCCTTGTGCTTGCTACATGCCTTTTTGATGAATAAAATCAGGTTTTTTGAGGATCCATTTTTCGTGAAAAAAGCAAGGCTATAGGCTTACCAAAATACAATTTTTTGACCAACATTTTTTGTTGCTAAAGACCTTAATATTATACTTTATATTAAGAAATAAGAGACATACACCACGCCTTGTGCTTGCTACATGCCTTTCTGATGAATAAAATCAGGTTTTTTGAGGATCCATTTTTCGTGAAAAAAGCAAGGCTATAGGCTTACCAAAATACAATTTTTTGACCAACATTTTTTGTTGCTAAAGACCTTTATATTATACTTTATATTAAGAATTAAGAGACATACACCACGCCTTGTGCTTGCTACATGCCTTTTTAATGAATAAAATCAGGTTTTTTGAGGATCCATTTTTCGTGAAAAAAGCAAGGCTATAGCCTTACCAAAATACAATTTTTTGACCAACATTTTTTGTTGCTAAAGACCTTTATATTATACTTTATATTAAGAAATAAGAGACATACACCACGCCTTGTGCTTGCTTCATGCCTTTCTGATGAAAAAAATCAGGTTTTTTGAGGATCCATTTTTCGTGAAAAAAGCAAGGCTATAGGCTTACCAAAATACAATTTTTTGACCAACATTTTTTGTTGCTAAAGACCTTAATATTATACTTTATATTAAGAATTAAGAGACATACACCACGCCTTGTGCTTGCTACATGCCTTTTTGATGAATAAAATCAGGTTTTTTGAGGATCCATTTTTCGTGAAAAAAGCAAGGCTATAGGCTTACCAAAATACAATTTTTTGACCAACATTTTTTATGGCAAAGACCTTAATATTATACTTTATATTAACAAGTAGGAGACACACCACGCCTTGTGTTTTCTACATGCCTTTCTTAAGAGAAAAATCAGGTTTTTTAGAGGATCCATTTTTTGTGAAAAAAGCAAGGCTATAGGCTTACCAAAATTACCATTTTTTGACAAACATTTTTTTAGCTAAAGACCTTAATATTATACTTTTTATTAATAATTAAGAGACATACACCACGCCTTGCTCTTGCTACATGCATTTCTAATAAAACAAATCAGGTGTTTTAGAGGATCCATTCTTTGTGAAAAAAAGCAAGGCTATAGGCTTACCAAAATTAACGTTTTTTGACAAACATTTTTTTGCTAAAGACCTTAATATTATACTTTTTATTAATAATTAAGAGACATACACCACGCCTTGTCCTCGCTAAATGCCTTTCTTATGAAAAAAATCAGGTTTTTTAGAGGATCCATTTTTTTGTGAAAAAAGCAAGGTTATAGGCTTACCAAAATTATCATTTTTTGACAAACATTTTTTATGGCAAAGACCTCAATATTATACTTTATATTAACAAGTAGGAGACATACACCACGCCTTGTGTTTTCTACATGCCTTTCTTAAGAGAAAAATCAGGTTTTTTAGAGGATCCATTTTTTGTGAAAAAAGCAAGGCTATAGGCTTACCAAAATACAATTTTTTGACCAACATTTTTTGTTGCTAAAGACCTTAATATTATACTTTATATTAAGAATTAAGAGACATACACCACGCCTTGTTCTTGCTTCATGCCTTTCTGATGAAAAAAATCAGGTTTTTTGAGGATCCATTTTTCGTGAAAAAAGCAAGGCTATAGGCTTACCAAAATACAATTTTTTGACCAACATTTTTTGTTGCTAAAGACCTTTATATTATACTTTATATTAAGAATTAAGAGACATACACCATGCCTTCTGCTTGCTACATGCCTTTTTGATGAATAAAATCAGGTTTTTTGAGGATCCATTTTTCGTAAAAAAAGCAAGGCTATAGGCTTACCAAAATACAATTTTTTGACCAACATTTTTTGTTGCTAAAGACCTTAATATTATACTTTATATTAAGAAATAAGAGACATACACCACGCCTTGTGCTTGCTACATGCCTTTCTGATGAATAAAATCAGGTTTTTTGAGGATCCATTTTTCGTGAAAAAAGCAAGGCTATAGGCTTACCAAAATACAATTTTTTGACCAACATTTTTTGTTGCTGAAGACCTTTATATTATACTTTATATTAAGAATTAAGAGACATACACCACGCCTTGTGCGTGCTACATGCCTTTTTAATGAATAAAATCAGGTTTTTTGAGGATCCATTTTTCGTGAAAAAAGCAAGGCTATAGCCTTACCAAAATACAATTTTTTGACCAACATTTTTTGTTGCTAAAGACCTTTATATTATACTTTATATTAAGAATTAAGAGACATACACCACGCCTTGTGCTTGCTTCATGCCTTTTTGATGAAAAAAATCAGGTTTTTTGAGGATCCATTTTTCGTGAAAAAAGCAAGGCTATAGGGTTACCAAAATACAATTTTTTGACCAACATTTTTTGTTGCTAAAGACCTTAATATTATACTTTATATTAAGAATTAAGAGACATACACCACGCCTTGTGCTTGCTACATGCCTTTTTGATGAATAAAATCAGGTTTTTTGAGGATCCATTTTTCGTGAAAAAAGCAAGGCTATAGGCTTACCAAAATACAATTTTTTGACCAACATTTTTTATGGCAAAGACCTTAATATTATACTTTATATTAACAAGTAGGAGACACACCACGCCTTGTGTTGCTACATGCCTTTCTTAAGAAAAAAATCAGGTTTTTTAAAGGATCCATTTTTCGTGAAAAAAGCAAGGCTATAGGCTTACCAAAATACAATTTTTTGACCAACATTTTTTGTTGCTAAAGACCTTAATATTATACTTTATATTAAGAATTAAGAGACATACACCACGCCTTGTGCTTGCTACATGCCTTTCTGATGAAAAAAATCAGGTTTTTTGAGGATCCATTTTTCGTGAAAAAGCAAGGCTATAGGCTTACCAAAATACAATTTTTTGACCAACATTTTTTGTTGCTAAAGACCTTAATATTATACTTTATATTAAGAATTAAGAGACATACACCACGCCTTGTGCTTGCTACATGCCTTTCTGATGAAAAAAATCAGGTTTTTTGAGGATCCATTTTTCGTGAAAAAAGCAAGGCTATAGGCTTACCAAAATACAATTTTTTGACCAACATTTTTTGTTGCTAAAGACCTTAATATTATACTTTATATTAAGAATTAAGAGACATACACCACCCCTTGTGCTTGCTTCATGCCTTTCTGATGAAAAAAATCAGGATTTTTGAGGATCCATTTTTCGTGAAAAAAGCAAGGCTATAGCCTTACCAAAATACAATTTTTTGACCAACATTTTTTGTTGCTAAAGATCTTAATATTATACTTTATATTAAGAATTAAGAGACATACACCACGCCTTGTGCTTGCTACATGCCTTTCTGATGAAAAAAATCAGGTTTTTTGAGGATCCATTTTTCGTGAAAAAAGCAAGGCTATAGGCTTACCAAAATTATCATTTTTTGACAAACATTTTTTATGGCAAAGACCTTAATATTATACTTTATATTAACAGGTAAGAGACATACACCACGCCTTGCTCTTGCTACATTCCTTTCTAATAAAAAAATCAGGTCTTTTAGAGGAATCATTTTTTGTGAAAAAAGCAAGGCTATAGGCTTACCAAAATTACCGTTTTTCGACAAACAATTTTTGTAGCTCAGGACCTTACTTTTGCACTTCCTATTAACCAGTACGAGACATACACCACATCTGGGGTTTAATATATGCCATTTTTATGATAAAAATTAGGTTTTTTGGAGGATCCATTTTTTGGGAAAAATGAAAGGCAATAAGCTGACCAACATTACCATATTTTAACGATTATTTTTTGGTGAAAACCTTCCTATTTTAATTCATATTAATGAGTAAGAGACATGGCTTGCGAATCTTAGAGGCCTTCTTTTGAGAAAAATCAGATTTTTTGGATAATTGATTTCTCTTGAAAAAGGAAGTTTATAGGCTTATCAAAATTACCATTTTTAACCTACGTAATCAGAACATGAATCTTAACCTTGTAATGGCACATTTACAAAAATTACTTCTTGAAGCTACGTGTGACAAAAATTCAAACTTTTTTCTGGCTAGTAGAGAGCAGTGAGAACCAGGTTTGGAGTAAAATAATTGGGACAAAATGGGTCTTTTGGTTCCACTTTTCCGTGTCTTATATGTGAAGAAATCAAATTTTGTCAGAAAAAGATTAGTACAGAGAAGCTTAAAACCAAATATTAGAAAAAAACAGATCAGAATTAGTCATTTAAGTAGTAACTTTATCGATCAAATTAAAAGTTTTTTGGTAAATTTTTTTTCATTTTTATGAACCTTTTCCATTAAGCAGATAGACGTTAAACGAATCATAGTATTCTCCAAAAATTAATTCAAAAAAGGATAGAATAAAAGTTTTTGAGTGCTGATTCTCTATACCACTCTTAAAACTTCAAGCATGGAAAAGTGAGAAACATTAATCAAACCTAATTACTGTGTACACCAGCAAACGCTGTATCTCTTCATTTTTCTGCAACCTCTGTACAACACTGCCACAGCACTTCACTAGAAAATGTTCCAAATCAAACGAACAATTTCACTTCATGACGAACTGTGTAGCTTTCGTGTATAAGTCTATACTCCTTGGCATAGTGATTCCGTTTCTTTGTATAGTCCAGTAGGTTATAGATCTGGGCCTTGAGGAGGAAATAAAGAATTATTCTAATGCAAACAAATAATTAACACTTCAAGCTACGTTTTTTAAAAACACACTTTTCCATCCTGCCTTCGTTCCTCGCTCATGTTCCACTCTGTTTATCACACTATACACGCGATCATTGAACTGTTGATTTGTAGTTTGCAATAAGCATTCCATTAATGCAATGAATATTAGTTGAAAGCCACACTTTAATAGTCTGCGTAGAGCGTTACAATGTATAAACTATTCATGCAATCAATGTAGGCAATTTTAGACGCAGTGTAAAATTCATAAGGTAAATTGCTTTCACAACTGGGATTAGAACAGGAGCAAATATCTAAGTGGAAGGAGAAGTACATCAATCAACTGAGAAGGTAATCTTTTTCGTATTAGTTTTACAACGCAAGATAGATCTTTGTCTCCTTGCAAGGTAGAGGTTTATCTACGAAAAACTGATGCAATAACCCCATTTACCTTTAAATCAAGTGCCCCCCCCCCTATTATGGGTTGTGTTAGCTGTTACACGGGCCGTTCAAGTACTGTTTTCTGGCCAACACATTAAATATATAAAAACGAATGAATTTACTGTAAGAAGGACTTACCAAGAGAAACAGGACTTCCGATTGAGCAGCAACAGCTTCGAGGATTTGAAAACGTTCCAGTGACTTCTCTAATGACGGTATTTGTTGGAGTATTTCTACAATTCAATTGATTGTTACATTTAAAGTTTCAAAGGACAAACGAGATTGCTGCTTGCTTATTGGATGCCAATCAAACATGCACCAAACAGAAACTAAGGGGTCATACATAATTTGTTATCAATACCTAGCCGATCCCTGAAGTTTCATCCTTTGCTAAAGATAGTTGTTAGTTCAGTGACAAAAAGTTTGGTTTGTGCCTACTAATAGCGAAGAAAAATTAAGCTGAGTTTTGTGTGATTAAATATTCTGATGAACTTTATGATGGTTAGCTCTGGTTTAAAATGGTCTTTGACGATCACAGATCTGTAATTTTAAAAGGATGACCCAAATAACAGGTCTAACCCAAAGCCATGGCAGCCCAAAAGTGTAAGTCTAGCCTAAGGTCTAGGTCTAATTGCAACATCAAAATAGGTCTATTGATACTCTACTTTTCTCCTATTCTTGCATAATTATTTATGTATTTTAACTACTCTTTTACCAACTTTAATCAATAGATTAGTATTATTTTTATCAATATTTACCCCCCCCCCTTCTACCCCCCAAGTTCAAGTCTAAAGTTCAACCTAGTTTCGCAAGACCCTGTTTTCAGTCCATTACTCAATGGTACTTCCTAAGCAGTTTAAACACCCACAATGCATTTTGTGGAGATGATGTTTTATGATCGCAACAATAGATCATTACCTGCTTTGGAAGCCTTCAACTCTCCTTTCATACCAAACAATGACGCTTTAGCAAGGACAACAAAGATGAACGACCTCGCGTATGATGTTCCTAAGAATAAGAATTAGTAAGTTAGAGAGCAAGTTTGTAGCAACTCTCATAATATGACAACTCGATAACTAAGGATCTTTGTTTCTCAGCCCCACAGTTTAGATTAATTTTGTAATGTAGTTTTTCTGTGAAATTTCAAACTTCATCTTAAAAAAAGATTGCAGGAAGTTTACGAGTGAGCTTCAATTGTCAGACTTTAGAAGTAACATATCAAATTTTAGTCTGCACGATCAAACATAGACGATTTCGACAATGTCATATGGCGATGACGATAATTAAGATATCGATAATTTCATATTCATTCAATTGTCAGATGTATTCAAGCCACTTCATCTTGTATTTAACAAAGACGACAGATGCCTGTGGATTAACTATGGATTTACAGCACAGTTGATTAAAGATTACTAATGGAAGAATAAGGAGAACTTTTTGGAAGACGTTTCTTAAATCGGCAAAATGACTTGTTGCAATTCACTCAAGAGGGTGTGGAATATATCATAATTTGCGCCAACTTCTTCAACTTCTTCATCAACAAATTTGAAAGCATCTTTTTTCTTCACCTTACAAGTAATTATAGCAAATGTTGACATTGCTATAAAAAGATGTCGATCTTCCGTAAAAGATCGTGTATTTTGGGAAGGTTTGATATTTGGGGCGTTTTTCAGTACTTTTGTGTGTATGCTCTTTAAACATCTGCAGATATTTGCACGATGATGTAGGGTAGATATTGAAAATTGCCCAGCATATGCATGACGATGTTTCATTATATCATGTATGACCAAGGTCGGAATGGCCTTCATTCACAGACTACGAAAAGCAAAAGGGATAAAAGTGAAGGTAAGACTTCTTAGTACGAAAGAAAGGTGCTCACCATAAGCAAGTGTATGCAGCATCTGCTGGTTTAGAATCTGTTTTGCATGATGAGGAAGACCAAGGCGTATCTAAAATGAAACAAATACCACGTTATGTTTATAGCCCTGTTTGGTAACTGACGTTGGCACTCATAAAGAAGGAAACAGCCATTTGTGATAGTGCTGTAGTGGAAATTGTTCGGGAGACGAAACCTTCAGTCCTTTTTTCAAAACAATACCGTCTTAAACCAATTAGTGTTGCAGGGTCATAGCGCATGCGTATTAATAACAGTATTCGCACAGCTGTTCAGTCTGGGACCACACAACTCTTGAACTTCTTGCCAGGGCTTCTAGCGATAATGCGCATGTGCAATGACCCTGCAACGGGGGCTAGTGCATGTCTGGACATTCATCTCCCGAACAAGAAAGGCTTTCATGTCTTTAAGTATGTCTACTGAAAGAGAACAGTAAAATAAGGACAAGGAGAACTGATGGGAATAGCTTGTTGAAGCAAAAGGTCGGGTAGGCAAGAAATAGGATGGAGAAGGACTTAAAAGAGTAAGGCCTATAAGAGAGTGCATGGAACATATAAAGTGGGTAATAATCTTAGAGCTTATCTGCATGAAACAGCTGTAGATCTCTTTGGTTTTTAGCAGATAAATTAAGTCTGTTTTGAATCGCAACAAATCATAGTTAGGTCACATACGTCGGATCTCTTCGGACCAGACAAAATAGTCTGACTTATGCGACCTACGATTTGTGAATAAAAAACCGATACGGCACACCAGAGTAATAGCAGAAATATGACATTGCAGACCGCTTCAAGTACCAAGTTGTAAAAACTTTATGTTAGCAGCTTGAGTAAAGATAGAATAAGCATCAAAATCATGTGAGCAATGTTGATCGTATCGTCAATGCCTGCACAGTATCCAAAAATAGTCACAAAAGATTGATTTTTTAGGAGGGCCATTGTGATGAAATTACTCAACAAAATTTTGGCTTTGTTGCAAAAGTCCTATTAATATGATGTCATTTAATACGGGACTTCTAGAAAGTTCTGAAAAAACACAAATACCACACTCTAACAATTCGACTTATGCAATAACAATTGATATCATTTTTGCCAAATGGAGCAGGACCAAGTGTGAAATATCCGACTAATGGGACTCCAACTTACACGGGTTGAGCTGTTTTGCGGGTCATATATTTAACATAGACTCGGTATAAGGGCTTGACTTTGCAATTTATCATATCAGAGACTTTAGCATTACCCATGGTAGAATATATCACACAAAAGTTACGAAGAATTCAAAGATTCACCTTGCACTGTGCTATGGATATGGTTATTTCTCCTTCAAGAGTTTTCATATTGAACCGTCGGCAAATATCTGCGCATTTTATCAGGTATGTGACTGCCTTTGGTACGTCATCGCTTGCGGCTAACAACTCAGCTTTGAGCTGAAGAAGCCTAAAAAAGATTCCGTATTCAAAACAAAATGAGATTATATAAACGCAATTCAATATTTTAGTCTATCGTTACACTGCTTCAACTTGGTCCTCGTCCACTAGGTTCGGTTCATCCCTTGTATGGGCTGGTATGATCAATGTCTGCTGACTACCTTCTTCTTCAAGGAGTTGCTTTTCGGTCCAGCTCATGGAGGCTTGAATCGGTTTGGTTCAAAATACATTAGCTTCGTCCAGTCTTGTCCGGCTCATAAAGTCAGTTTTGAAGCCGGATCAATCCCACCCAAGGCGGTTACTTAAAAACCAGTTCAACCCGGTTCTGCTATTTGAGCTCAGTGTCCTATTTTATCAAGAATACTAATCACGCAGTGCAAGTCTCACTTACCGGACCATATAAACAGCTCCAGGTGTATTCCCAACAGTCAACTGCTGACGATTCCTATGAAAAACCCATTTTTAGTTTTGGATCTTCAGAAATGAAACAACTTATGAAGAACACAACACTACATAACATGCCAATTACTAAAAATCTCCAGAAGGTTTAGAGAAGAAAGAGGAAGGATGGCCTTGTTAGAAAGAAAGTGATAAAATGTAAGAAAGGACATGGGCTGTAATGACAGTAACTGGAAAGGACAGCATAGAAAGAATGGACTGGATAAGATTTATTTGCTGTGGATCTAATAAGGCTTGCCTGGAATAAGCTAAAAGTTGATGATAACAACAATCATGGTAACTTATAATCTTTAGCAGCTAATTCCTAGATCCAGAGAAGGGGACGTTCAAGAGTACACACAAATCTTAATTTATCATACTAAATTCTGTGCAACCCTCGAAGGTAGAGCAGGCCGATGTACATAAAATATCGGCTAATCTGTATTGATTTAACTTACGGTGAGAACAATTAAAGCAGCTACGTTTTAGCCTAATGGCCTTTAAAGCACTTTACCAAGAAGCCATTTGTAATTATGATTGATATAAAAATGCAACTTACTCGACTTCACTTAAAAGCTCTTCAATCCTGGACGAAGCAGTTGTCATATTTCCCCTTAAATAATGAATCACGCATTCCCTAAATCGACAAGGAGAAAAAATGAATAAATTATAACTGCAAAAGATTAGAAAGCTCCAATAAAAATATTCACAAAGTATTTTCAGAAGACATTGTCATTTAATACGGCCTGTAGAATACAAGGTTTTCTTAATTATTGTCTGGCACTGAAGAAATGAACGAATTTTGTTTATGAGTATATGACATTCTGGCTAAGAATATCCAAGACACTACTTTATCTGCTTTCTTTTCAAACTAAAAGAAAAATAAGAAAAGTTGATTTCTCTTTTTACGGTCCCTGCGAAGACTAGATTAACACTAGTACCGCTCTTTGGTCTTTAATTTGAGACGTTAGGCCAAAAATTGGCTTCAACAAAAGGTATATGTTGCTACAATTTTCAGTTCAGCGAGTCATTTGCCATATTTTTGAGAACGAAAAATATATTTTCTAAAGTTTCCTTCACCCTTCATTCCTTCAAAACGCTTCAGCCCTAACGTTCAAAACTGCAATACATGATCAACCCTGGAATTATTATGCACACAAAAACATAATTGTGCCACAACATAGAATTGTTTCACGAAACACATTCACATATTCTTTTGTTGTCACTTAGCATTGCATGCTCTCTCATATGATGACAACGATACTGAACCATAATTCTAAAATAAACACTTGCAGCACACATGCAGAATGCATAAACAGTGCTTTACGGATATATATGATTGGCACATTGGTTGATTGCGGATCAAGAAAAGAAGGGTTCCTTACCAAATGCAATGTAAAATGTTTTTTCGGGACTCTTTCATTTAAACTGAGGTGCCAATCTAGTGCCATGTAGCAGCCATTTGTCGTGTAACAAAGGAATTATGAAGAAGACAGTAAATGAAGGTACATAGAAATGCAATACCCCTCAACACCTTCAGTGGTGTAACGGAAGCAGCCGGGACACCTAGGAATTTTCAGTTCGGGCCCCTGAATTATAAACATCAGACAAAGCACCAAATGCTAATCAATATACAATCCATCTAGACTGCGATATCACACAGGGTTGGGGCCCCTCGAATTCGTTTATCACATCCAAAATACTAGCTTCACAGTAAAAACATGATAGAAAACATTGTTGCTGGGAGCCCCTAAAGGGCGGAGGCATTTTTTTACTAAAGGTAACTTTGATCCGTTACGTCACTGAACCCCTCCTTCACACGTACGTACAAGAAAAACAGCCCCTTTTTAACCGAACAATGAATGTTGTCGAAGAATCTGATCCCCATTTTCGTCAACTTCATCTCAATTTCACAAAAAAGTTGATCGAACAATTATTACACTTGTTATTTAATATTAAAGATTGCACGAAATACCGGAAACATAGAATACAAAAGCAGTCTTTGTCTTACACTCTTCAGAGTATAGATTTACTTTCCTATCTATGGATGGCAAAATGTGCTTATCCAAACAACAGCATTTACACAATACAAAGCAAAAATTAATGAAATAGGACAAATAAAATAGGACAAAGAGCGAAAGTGTTACTGGAAGGCAGTGAGGTTCATACTTGAATTTTGCATCGTATTTATCCAGGACACTTATAGGTTGAATGACGTCATCAATTGAATTTAAATCTCGCCTCAGTACGCATCTATCGAAAATAAGCTGCCACTTGCACAGGATAATCCACTGAAACAAAGTAAAACCAATGTCATTTTGCTGATGAACTCATTTGATAAACTCAGCCGTTTATTAAACAATGCAGCTACAGGGTTGCAGGGGGGGGGGTGAGTTGGAGGTTTATAGTATAGATAAACTTCAATAACGTTTAAAAACACTTGAAGCTATATGTGAACCTTACAAAAAAGTTCTTATGACATGATCTCTTTCCAAGCATCAAACATAAAGAAATCCCTGTAATTCTCGAAATAAACTGTAGGGGAATTCGAAGGTTCTCAGTTTTTCGAATCTTGCATAGACCATTGTGTGGATTCCCCAGGCCGTTTCTCGGGGAATAATGAATATCAAAAGTGGGGCACAGGTAAATACAGACTTTTTAAAGCTGACTATCATATTTCTACCATATCGCTACCGGTCTTGACCACTTAACACAACGCAATGAGCACTACAGGCAATATCATGCTCAATCATGTAGTTAGCTAGCCTTTTGGGGACGAGAAATCATACTGATAACTTGAGAAATAAAAAAAGGTTTCAACGTATTAGATGGCTGGATTTCCCTACCGTTAACGACAAGAGCTCATACATCCAGAAAGCGCATGTAATCGGAATTAATCGCTTAATTCAAGTTAATACCCGCGGGAAAAGTGCGCAGTTTCCCCTTTTCTAGAATCGGGTCGTCCCACACGTATACCCGTAGTAGGCTGTCAATATTAAATTACTTCTGCTATTTGCAATTATCTTGTGGTGTCTTCTACGAGGCCTTGCCCTAGCATATTTGCTTTAGCACAGTTATGCAGCACGAGTCACGCTACGTTGTATGCGTTTTTCCACTCCCATCCCTGTCCCCTTGTAATCATTTCTATTTCTGCCTATATCCCGTTACATACTTCCTCCTGCCTTCTCTTGCCTCACTTCTTCTCACACAAACGTTCGATTGTGTGACAGGTGTATCAGTCTGATTGGCAGGGTAAAAAACTAAGGCAGTTTTTTCCCTTGGATCAAACACCGACCATAAAGTTGCGTTATTGCGCAGGCAAGACAAGGGCTGATGCACCAAAAGCCCAAAATGTTTTTCCTGAGATAAGAGTATAGTTTATGATAACTAAGGGGTCCCCGCGTAGGAACTGAATGTAGATAGCTACCTTGTGAAGGATACTATGCTCAGCTATCAATGTATTACCAAAAGCTAACACCCTTTGCGCATCCAGATAGTAACCCTGTTGAAAACGAATATCATTTTAATTAGATGTGTAATTGTCTGAAAATGTAATAATTGCAGTAGGGGGTTCTGTTATTAAGGCCATCAGCCCTCTATTATAAAAAATACGTGGATAAACAAATAAACTTCTGTGGCAAAATGAAATATTTTGAAAATGGCAAAAATTTCACAACATCCTAAAAGCTTTATCGTCTGACACTCTGACGTTGGTTATGTTCAAAGAATGACAATTTTGACTTAGTGTCATACTATACGTCGATAAAGGCTTAAGGTATTATAATTGAATGATGTTAAAGTTATTTAGCTATTATGTTTAGATTCTGACAGGCAGCTAATTCTCGAGATGTGTTGATGTGTGTCATGAATGTTGTGTTATGAGTATAAGAAATCGAGATCTTTGGTCGAACCTGCGTAGCATGAGGTAGCCACTGGCTATATTTACCCAGAGGTTATATAGAACCATACAATAAGGTTCAAAATGGCTTTGAAAAACAAAAATTTTAAGACATACTGAAGCTTTTCGGCTGACATTCTTTATGATTTAAAACGTCAGAAAAACAATCAAAAATTTTAAGCTAGGAAATATATATACCCAATTGTGGATCGAATTAGAACAATCAAAAAAGCGAGCAAGTGACTGTTAAGTTTGCCCAATCAGGGCTGCTTGCCTATAGAAAATATAACCAATGGAGACAAAGGTGAAAATGAACTCCTTCTGTCTACACAATAGCGGTTTCTTCATCTCTCGGATGCTAATCCTCATTTATCACAAACTAGTATAAGTAATATTCACTAGCTTTATCGGTTTTTAACATCAGTGCTAAAAAGAAAGCACGTGATTTCTCTTTGCTGAAGATGGCACAAATTTAGTGTCAAAATGTTTTATAAAACTGCTAGATCTTACTTGGATTAATTCTAATGATTTTACTTTGCTGTGCAGTAAATCCCCCCGAAAGAAGAACCCAAGAAATAAAAATCCTACATACGGTTTTCTTTGATTGAGCAATTTGTAATCAAGACCCTTATTGAAACCTAGAATACCTGGAGTTATCTCATTGGAATCAAGAACAGTCTGGCTCTTGAAAAATATAGTTGCTCTTTGAGGGGATTCCCTGGACTTTGATTCGTCTCTGCTGCCACATTTGTGGACTGTGAAATATTGATAAATATCCTGTCCGCAGTTTTCATCAGAATCTGGTGGTAGTTTATGCAACCCTCCAAAATTAAGCAATTAGTTGAAATTGTCAACGGTTCCAGCCTAGCAAGACTTTAAACTCGCCATCTTATCTGTTCTGTTTGGTTTCAGAGCATATTTCTTCGAGGATTTTTTATGCAATATTTCAATAGTTTAATTGCATAAATTATTTTCATTAACTAGACCCAGTCCTCTGCCTGGACTGAATTTTTATCAATATTGCACAGTCCATAAATATGGCAGCATTTGTGCAGCAATTGCAGGCCAGGTACCCTTGACATGAAAATTCTTGTTATTAGATTTGTCATTAAAATTAAGGTATTCCGCAACAAACAATGGAAACAGGAGATTTTTATCAATTCAAGGACCTGAATAGAGCAAAGCATTCATAAAAGTACCTCATCTGCAAGGAATCTAGCAAACTGACAAAGCGCAAGAATCGAGGACTCTGGGTCCAACGGCCCATACAGAAACGCGGTATTCAGCGTCGCTTGATCAGGCTGTTTTATGTTGTGAAGAACCATTTGTGCATACGTGGAGGCGACGGGCCTACAAAATTAAGGACTGCCGCAGTAAAAAACAAATAAACACAACTTAGAAAATCATGTTCTGCAAAGAATTGAACATCAACTTCAGAAACTGTAAGCAGCCTTAGAAATATAACGTAGCACAGTACGGCGAACACTGATAAGAAATTATCATATTGAATTTCTGTGGATAATTTCCTACTTAAATAAAATGAGAGGGAAACCAGCAGTGAGAGAGCTTGGTTTACTTTACTAAATGGTACAGACAGTGTATAATACAAAATGTCCTGTACAAACATTTTGGATTTTGCTTCTGTTATGAGAACAGGATAAAGTATGCATGGTACAACATTTTTGGTACGAAAGTGGTGAATGACTAGAAATTTTCTGAGAACGTATAAAAGTCCTGTATTGTCAAATCTAATGACAAAACCATAAGAAAGATCCTGATACAGAATATTTTCTCTTTCCTTGCAATAAGCATTACAGAACACTTTAATTATTTACACAGTTTGTTAACATGTTTGTAACTTTGTAACAGAAGGAGTCTCACACCTGTAGCCAAAAAAGTCCAAAAATGCGGATCTCGCCACTTCAATATTTCTTGTAGAAACGGCATGTTTAGCCGTAAGTGCTGCTTGCACAACCTTGAGCTTCTTAAGAATCCTGAAAGGAAACAAAAGGGGGAAGACGTTAAGAACACAAAAAAAACAGATTATATTGGCTTCCTATTATCCTTTGAAATTAATAAACAAACAAATATATAATTAATACGACCATGTGGGATGTTAACCCTGCTTGCAAGAGATCTAGACTAGCTTAGCCCCAACAGTTCCTGGGTACTTTCTCGCCTGATCTAAGGTTTCTACACAGAATAGGGCCTAGATGAGGTTTACACGCTTCAGCTGCACAGGTGTTGTCAAAAGAAAACCACTTAGGGAGCAACGTGAACGAATACGACCTGGACCAGATCAAACATTTACACGGGCCCCCGATACGATCGCATCCTCTGAAGGCGGACAAACACGATCGGATAGCGGGTCCAAAAATATACGGATCCACCATGTAAACGCAAGACCTAACCGTACTCAGATCGGATCTACTCAGTTCGGATGTAAATAGGGCCATAGCCCAAAAAAGGGACAGCACAAGTCTCCCAAAAATCTTTGCAAAGATTACCTCTCTACTCCATTGATTAGGATGAGAATAGGGCTAGTTCTTTAATAGCAATATATCATGTACTTACTGGTCACAACTACATTTGCCGCCAAATACATCACTTTTGCACTCGAGGAGTATTCCAAGAGCTCGCATTCCCTAGGAGAAACGACGACCACGTGTAAGCTTTTAAAAGAAACATCCGTCAAAAAATTTCCTCGAGACCTAATGATCAAATGAAGACCGTAGGCTTGGAGAATACCTAATGAAAAAGTTCTTTTAGAAGCTTACACGAATACCTAATGAAACATAAACTAAATTCTACTAAAATAAAAGGCGTGCCAGCCCATCCTCTCCCCCCCCCCTCCGCTCAGAGTCTAGAGGCTGGCGTCGTCATTGCAAACAGCCTGATCCTACCATAAGTTCGTGTTGGCCAAAGTAGCAACTGATCAATAAAATCGTTTCAATAGCAAAGCAAATGATAACTAAGAACATCCTCACTTCCTTGTGCTTTGGAAAATCATCAATATTTTGGGGAAATGCAAAGAACACATAATTACCGCAGAAGAAAGCTCAACAGCTCTTCTATTGAACTGAGCAAGCATTGTGCTAGCAATGCCCGGTTCCGATTCCAACTTCAGCTGATAAAGCCAAAACTGAAAGGAAAACAACAGACAAGAAAATTACAAGTGTTAACTTTCTGTTGAATACATATGGTGGGGAACCTTTTCTCTCTAAATATATCTCAAGCCACTTTCTTCGAGACGAACGAATTGTAGAAACAATTCAAGAAGCTCTAAGTATCAGAAAAAATTGAATGTTTGGAAATAAATAATAAATGTAAGATTATGTCTAAGATCATCATAAACATACATTAGTATCAACTAGCCGTCGCCCTTAAGCACAAATGTCTCTGAATATGGCCTACGGAATATATTGACTTCTTGGCAAATGAGAATAAAAAGTAGCTCTTAAAAGAGCTGGCAGCATGAAAATTAATAAAATAGAAATATGTAAGTCTGTTTGTAGCAACAGCAACTCGACCGATTGAAGGAAAAGCCTCTAAACTTCTGAATAACAATTCTTGTTAGAAACAGTGTTCAAAATGTTTAATGTTTAAAAAATCAGATTCAAGGGCATTACAAAAGACTGAGCACCCTTTCAATGACCGATATTTTTACAGCATTTGACGATAAAATTCAATTCGAAAGATAGAGATACTTAAAACTGTCTTAAAACAAAAAGATCCAGCCTACCCTGGCCTTAGGCTTTAGCCCTGGCAATAGAAAAAAAGGAAGAGCTAGGTAAATATCAAGATCGGAGAAACGAAATGGCACAAAAAAAACAAATGAAATCTTCTACTAACCAAGGCATGAAGGAGGCAATGATTATCGTTAGTCTCTTGTGCCATTTTAACGGCCTCTTCAAGAGCAGCAAGAGACACTTTGTAATGCCCATGGTAAAAATGGAATATGCCTAAATTCAGTGCACAGTAGCGAAACCTCTTGAACTTCATTTGGTGCTTTTCAAGAGCGTTCTCCCCGTTACCAGCCATTTGGTCTTCATCCCACTTTTTGTAATCAAAATATCGATGCAAATCAAACAAGGCACTCCTAACTTCTCCAGCATGAAAGTTGTTCAAGTAACTCAAGTAGTACTAGGGAATAGAATGCGATAAGCATGATAAAAACTTGCTTTGGAAAGCATACGAATTTCTACTTGAAAGGGGTTTCCAATCAAGGTGGCATACACAGAAATATGACAAATCGTAAATTCTCTAATAAGCTTCCTATAATTCCATAAAAGATTCATATTTTTCTAGCAACGATTTGGAGTTTAGTTTTCTTTTGATTAACTGAAATATTTTATATTACAGCACACGTCACGACATAACACAAAAAAGTGTTTACTATTTGACATTCATTTGAAATTTAAAAATTTTTAACGGCAGTGCGAAATCAAAAAGTCCCAGAAAAAGGAGTTTATTGCTTAGGGGAAGCAAAAAATTGGTCCAAAATAGTAAAATTCAGACTTGTATCACTTATGAAGAGTCCACTATAGCTTGAACCTAATCAGCGCTTGGCACTCGTTAAAGGCTTTACGATAAGGCAAAGGTCAATGATTTTTCATTATAATGCTGGTTACAAACAGCCTACGATACCGAAGCAGATTCAGGACAAAATCAACATTAGAAAACTCAAATTTAAACATGTTATGATGCAAAGCATCCGAAGAAACGTACAATTTCTTAGCTATCTTAGTTATCTAATTGACACCGTTTCACAACAATCTATATTGTATTGAATACTGATATGGACGGAAGATACATATTGTGCAATCATTACTTGATTGAGTTTATGAAAACAGATTCATTTAGTATTTTTAGCAATAAACATATATGGAACAAACTCAAACGTTCTTTTAACTGTCATGCAACAACATTATCAAATTAATCTTGAATGCTAACTGCCCATTATAATCATATATTTTGTTAATGTACATTAATTCGATTGATAGATTGATGAAATGTGACATGAGAAGTATGGGCACAGAGAGCAAACAATCATAAACATTGCTGCTACGAAAAGCTAAAACTTCTTTGTTCACAATTAGCTAAATGTGAACAATTTTTTTGCGGTACAGAATTTGAAAATGGCTTTGAAAAAAGCAAACATTTTACAACATACTTAAAGCTTTTTCGTCTGACACTCCTCAGAGCATAAAACGTCAGAATAGGTTCCAAAAAAAAACACGATGGAGAAATATATACCCAGTTGTGGATCGAAATAGGCCAATCAGAAAAACGCAAGCACAAGACCGGTATAGTTGACCAATCAGTGCCGCGAGCCTAAAGAAAAATTACCAATGGAGTCCAAGAGAGAAAACGAACTCCTTTTGTCTACACAATGGCGGCTTATTCGTTTTTATGTAGATTGACTCCAAAACTGCTAGATGGAAGGACGACCGGGCTCTGCCAATTATCCGAAACATGTCGTCATTATAGAGTTTTGCACAATCTGGGTTGTCTAAAAGATGTTGACCAATGGCAGAATCACTTGTTTTAACAGTGTTTCTAGACCTACAAGATCGAGGAGGCTGTTCTCTTTGAGGGGCAGTTTTGTTTCGTATGTTGGAAGGAACATGCTGTTTTATCCTATCCCCCAATCTTTGGGTTGTGCGCCCTACGTAGCCAGAATCACACTGGCACTACGAAAAAGCCGCCATTGTGTAGACAAAAGGAGTTCGTTTTCTCTCTTGGACTCCATTGGTAATTTTTCTTTAGGCTCGCGGCACTGATTGGTCAACTATACCGGTCTTGTGCTTGCGTTTTTCTGATTGGCCTATTTCGATCCACAACTGGGTATATATTTTTCCATCGTTTTTTTTTTGGAACCTATTCTGACGTTTTATGCTCTGAGGAGTGTCAGACGAAAAAGCTTTAAGTATGTTGTAAAATGTTTGCTTTTTTCAAAGCCATTTTCAAATTAGCTAAATGTGATACTTACTGCTTCACTGAATGAAGGGAACTTTTGTTGGATAATTTGTATTTTTTCGTGGATCTCCTTTGTAGTTAATGGCATTTTACAGTGAGCTTCCAGCAGTTTTGTCTGATTAAGAAATTTGATAAAACATTTGATTTAAATACTATCTTTTTGACAGAGAAATGTTCTTTCTGGATTCTCAGCAAAAGATGACAGCAATACTAGATATAAAGGTTTCTTAGATAAAGGTAATAGTGACCAAAACTAAAGGAAAACATAATTATTTTGCCTGTGTAAATTCTGTCAGGATTTACGTAAAAATCACATGTCTCTTTTATGAGTGTATTCCTTTTTGCTTTTATCAACCATTCTGAAAGGGTGCTGCGTACATCTATGGATTCGTTGATCTCACAGTGGTAAAAACAAATCAAACTGCAACAGTTATTTAGAGAGAATCTTTTATCAACAACAATTATTATTACCTTAGGATAGACATTAAAAAATCTATCAGAATTATCCCTATAAAATGGTAGTTGTAGCAATATGATGTTTAACGGCTCTACCTGCTGAGAGATAAATCTTCCGGCTTGAGAAAGAGTCTTCATTTCTTCTTTAATTGTTTCCCTACAAACAAAGTACAGAATTGAAACTGCAGTATAATTATGTATGTAATACTCAAATGAAAAATTTTGTAGCTTCGAAAAAAGTTATTGAAAAAATTTATTTGAATACTTAAATTTATCAAAAGTACAATTACTCTAAGCATAAGGCAAATTTGTGAAATGTAAATGAATGTATTTCACATAATGTTCAATAAAATTGAAGAATAATAACTTCTCACTTAAAATCTCAACCCTATCAAGATGAGCAGGCTATGATGCCCCCCCCTGTTGTGTGAATTCCTCCCTCATTGTAGGTCTAGTATGCCTGGCAGCAGGTTCTAGTCCTGCCCTGGTTTCGTCATTTGCTAACATTTTCTTTCAAGTAGTGATGTGTTTCATCAGCAAACATAAAAATGATAAATTATCAAAAGTATAGAATATATCAAATCATTGAAACATTAAAAACCTTTTTTCAGACTCCATGACTATACTATTGTCGAGCATTGGAGAATCGTGAATTTCTTCAGTTTTGTTCAACTTCAAGTAAACTTCAACAGATTGCCCAAGCCTTCCGGTATCAGTGAAAGTCATTTTTTGATAATTTAAATACATCTTTCTGAGAAAAACCCCTTGAAGAAATAGGAAAATTAATGGCATAAGAATTTATATTCATAATAAAATAATTTATTTAAGTATTAATGGAAGATCAAAGATCTGGGGATGGAAAAGATAGTTAACCAATTCACCAGTACTTTGAAATTATGTTGCAAATATTTGAATGAAGAACCTATTGGTGTTGGGAAACTATAAAAATTTTTAGGGTTCAGTCTAAGATTCACAGTAGCAAGAATTGCCATGTAATTGGAAAATCAGACTAAAAAATCTGCATGATTCCCAGTTTGATGGAATTCTTCTGAATGTGTAGCTATTGGATTACTGATAATTCTCTGAGAAAATCATCAAAAAAATTTCAGAAAAACACTTGATTTTTTTTTCTTATTAGAAGGAAAAACAGGCAAGAAAGATTTATTCATTAACACAAGTTAGCAAACTGGTAGCCTGTAGCTGATGATGACCTGCAGCTTGTGCCCAAGATTAATACTGTAGAAAAAATACACTGGGGGCTGGGGACCTGGAAAGGATGGAATGCTGAGTTAGCTGGAGGCCTGTGGAGGTGATCAAGATGAGACTTGAACCCAATTTATTCACATCATGGATCAAACGCCTTGATCACAGCTCATCTGAGGCCACAAAAGGAAAGCTGATAGATGAATACTTCAAAAAGGCATATTAGTTCTAGCAATATGTGAACAAAATGTCCTTAGAATTTTCACCAACTTGCATGAGGAGGAACATTTTTTTAATATATATAAAGTGTAATCAGAAGGCAAAGGTTGACAGGAGGAAAATTCTTTCCACAAGGGTGCTGCCCAAATGTATCGAGCCACTTTTTGTCGGAATCAAACTCCAGTTTGCTGCTTCAAAACCCACGCTCATTCTACTGAGCCAAACGGCCCAATGAAATGAGCAAAATCTCCAAAGCCAACACTAGATTATATATGTTATATGCCTGTACTTTTTAATAAATCTAACTGTTTTCTCAATCACTTCAAGAAATTTTGCTACATCTATTTCAGTTTTCCGAATTTTTTTTACATACACTCACGTTTCACAATTCACAATAAAATGTCATATGCAGCTCTCAAACTCTTGACAAGTGTGAAGGGTAGTAAAAGTTTAACCTTCTGCCATTCAAATATCACAGTAATCAAATTAAACATTTTTTCGTCAGTATTTTTTGTTTGGGTTAAGCAAGTCTTCCATGAAGAAAGAAATGCAAAGCAAGAAATGGTTTGGATTATATCTAATAAACAATGAGTTAGCTGCAACCATGAAGACACATAAATGAGAAAACATCAGTAGTATACATATAAGATTTGATTTGACAAATAAACATTTTATTACTAACCAAAGGGACTACTTCTTTCAACATAGTTATTGTTGTTCAATGTGAGTGGTTCAAGGGAATCAAAGAAATCCAGAATTCCGTTATATTTATTCTCAACCAGACTCATCATTCTGAAAAGAATGAAATAATTATTTAAAAGACTTAACATTAAACAAGAATAGGAAACTTAATCTGTCTGCTTATGACAAAAATAAACATGTAACATTTCTCAAAAACTATTTCTCAAACAACACTAGGGTGTCAGAAGAATTGTACCATTGTGAAGGAGGAGAATAGAATGTTAATGATTAAAAGCTATTGTTATGCAAATTAATGGTGTTTTTAAGTGGCAAAAGGGAATGGGTCAAAAGTTAAACAGCCACCAATCAAAACATCAATATATTTAGAGCACCTGTTGAAAAATTAACAGTAATAAACACCTTTTAACAGTTTCAAAAATAATGACTCAATGGTTTTTGGACGACCTCAGGTCACGGTTTGTAATGCTTTTCATTCATGTCAAATCTTTTAAATAATGTTGAAACTGGACTTCATTCTGATCATAGCAAAGCTCCCATTCTTCATGCAATAAATCTTTGTAAAAATGGTTTCCTTTTACCCAGGTAACTCTTCATTTTGTCCCTTGCAAAAAAGCTTGATTTGAGTTGTCAAAAGTTGCTCAGCCTTGAGTTTCATGTCTTTTAGTGTCCCTTAGTGCAAACACCATGAAAAAAACAGGAATTCTCTCCCTTCTAACATTAATTTCTTTTGGTTGCCCACATCAGGGCTTCTTTACAACCAGTGGTGGCGCCAGGGGGGGGGGCTAGGGGGGGCTACAGCCCCTCCGTCGGAAGCATCTAGCCCCCTCATCGGAGGAAATTTTAGGTTATTGTCAGAGCAAATTTGACAAATAACGTACGAAAACTGCTTATTTTATTTTATTTGTCATTTTAGTCACCCTGTTGGAAGCTCCAACTCCTCTGTCGAAAGATTTCTGGCGCCACCTCTGTTTACAACTGAAATACTCTCGAGAAATCTTTTCCATTTCACAGAGCTGTTGTGTGGCTGCATCTAGCATGTTCAGCATTTTCTCAAAAATGAAAGACCACTTCCGAATTAATATTTTAAAGCGACCTCTCATTTTAAAATATATCTTTCTTAGGCATAGTCTACATTTTAGCATTTGAAGGAAAATGCTTTTGCATAATTTAGACATTTCTAACTAAGTTTCTATGACATCAACAAAACTTTCCTGCCAAAAATTGCTAAAAAATATGCCCATTTCACTCAATTCATGCATTAAAGGTTATGTATTGTCAAAAAGTGGACAAAAAGTGGCACCATTTTGAACAAGAGGTGCCATATTTCTGATACCCTAGTGTATTATTGGGAAACTTGGGCTTACAAAGCTTCATTGAAAGTAATTGTGTATATAAATCTAATCTTTTCGCTGGGATTTTAATAGGCTGCCCTTGCACATAAGCCGCCCCCCCAAATTTGAGTCCTTAAAATTCAGAAAAATTTTTTGTCTAATAATTTATCGTTGAAAATATGTTTAAAAATAATAATAAGTAAAATCACGTGTGATGTTTCTAGGAGTGTAGAAACATCAAAAAGAGCATCCAATGAGCAGTGACGTAGCGTCAAGGCATGCTAGTAATGTGCCACATGCCCTGTAAAATTTGGTTAAAAATAGTTTAAAACAATCTTTTTTTGAAAAAGAAACAGCTGCTTTTATGATTTATTTTAATGCACTTTGTCACATCCTTGCTCTACCCATTGGAGTTCAATGTGCCCACCCTAGCTTTTACCCTAAGTAATTCTAGTACTTCCACATCTCTATGAGTACTTCATATCCCTGTTTCTAAAGATTCCTTTCTATGCTTTCTATTGAAATCAGTGGATCCTGGCTAGCAACCTTCGTTTGCAGCACATCTCATTTCCGGGAAAGTGGAATTCTGACCGCATTCCCTGATTTAAATAGTTGTTTTTCCCTTTTTTGATGAAATCTTTCGCTAAAAAATGAATTGGGTGGTTGTATCAAACAATAATCTATCATAGTGATGGAAGATTGCTGCAATTTTTGGCTGTGAGAGATTGATCAAGCTTTGAAAGGGAAGCAACTGGTGTCAGCTTGCTTCATTTGCAGTTGTTCAGTAAGGCAAGTCACGTGGCCAGGTACTGAGAAATAAAGAGCCAGGGAATGCGGTTCAGTGAATGCATGCCCTAGATGTATGTTGATGTATCTCGGCGTAATTTCTTGAGATTTGGATTAGAACAAGTGCATTGCGTAGATTGTAGAGAAGCAAAATGTGAGATTATAAAATAATGCTATTTTTCATCATTTCAAACTTAGCACCAAACTGCAGAGATGGGCACTCGAATAGGGATAGTACGGGGCCAACAAGGGTTTGCCTTGTCAGGGTACCCATTTCACCTTGATATGGTTTATAAAATATTCTTATATTTGACAACATTAAATTGTTATAAAGGATCTTGGATAGTTTTTTAGTTCAGAAATTGTACTCTGATATGAACATGACATGGCAGGGGAGACAGGATAGATTATATAAGAGGACGCTTTCTATAATGCAGTTATTGTTTATTGTAAAAATATGTTAGAATGATCTGAAGAAACAAATCTCCAAGTGGATTGCCATGCCTCTGAGACTTAAACAGAGCTCAAAGCAGTCCATCAAGTTTAATGACAAAAGAAAAGACTAACCTATGATTGAATGTATCAGCTAAATCTTTTGAAGCTATGCATTCCAATTTTTTCAAAAGGTCTTCATAATCTAGATGCATTCTCTACAAAAAAGAATCATAAAGTTAATAAAAATATACAAATAAAATATGATCTCATATAATCAGTTTTTCCCAAAAATTGTTCACATCCGTTTTTTTATCAGTTCAACTGAAGGAGCGTGTGTTTACATGATCAGTCAAAATTCTTCAGTCTATTACCTTGGCGATGGATAGGAACACAGAATGCGCTGCAGCTGCAATCATTATTGCCACAATTTCAAAACAAAAAAGGAGGAGAAAACAGAGATCCACATGGGCAAAACCATGGCTACAAAAACGTTCGCAACTTGGGATGTGTGATATATTGTTGAGGGAATTTTGCCAACAGGAGAATGATGAATACAATAGATTTTTAAGGATGGAAACCAGAAAATTTCAGGAACTGTTGGCGAGATACCAAATGTTCTTTTCCACTCAACCTTTTTCGTTTTTGTAGCCATTTTAAAGCTTGTTTTTACACAGATTTACTTTAAAAAGATTCGCTACCTGATGTTTCCCTCAAAATATATTATTGCTCACTCAAAATAGGTCATAGATAACAGGGTGCATTCCATGTACTTAGGTCCGAAGATCTTCAGCGTACACCCAGGTTTTTTTTGGCGTTTGGCATGCAAACAAATGAAAAGTTTTTAGGTGTACCTAAAATTTTTGTTAGTAGGCATGCTAAATATGAAGCCATGTACTACATAGTTAATGTAAAATAAAAACTCACACACCACAGTTTTCTCTAATAATCAGCTTTCTTTGTCTGGCACAATAATGTTTACAGTTTTACTAATTGCTTTTATATTTTCGGCGTACCTAAACAAATGCCCCATTGGACCTTTGGCATACAGTTTCAGCCTTAACAGCAAACAGAGGGTCAGTAGAATGTGTGAGACTGAGAGGATACTAAACTTTAATATGTCTTCTTTCTAGTGAGCTGTTTATGACAATGAAAAGTAGGAGATTTGATCAATAATCTTTCCATATTTCTCCTGCATATTCTTACATCAGTCAGACACGTAATGACCATATAGGGAAAACATACGAATCTAAAGTGCTGGCCAAAATGTTAGTAAAATCCATGATTAAACTAGAACTTTTTCAAGCAACATAATAATTTACTAAAATACAAGAAAAATGATACAAATCGAATAATTAATAAAGCAAACTACATTAACATCCATCAACAATAAAGGAATATAATCGGAATGTAGCCACCGTAGGATGAAATGAGCTATCGGATTATTACAATATGCTGATCTAAAGGACAAAGTAAATAAAGTTTGAAGTAAATAAATCATTGATATACTAAAGTTAACGGTTAGCAATAAATTAAGAGAAATGATGTTTCTCAACCCAGGGTTACCGAAAAAAGAGTGTAGCAAACTAGCCCTTTAGTATAATTAATATGATAGAAACACACTTTGCGCTAATTTTAATAAGATCAACACATTTCTTTAATTCTATCTTACCTTTATAAGATCTAACAACAACAATATGAGTTGCGCACAAAATTTTTTGCACAATCTAGCCAGTTGGTGATTCTCTTCATCTTCTGTTTTGCACACATTGTAAACCAAAACAATACATGAAATTTGATGTGGAAAAATCTTCTCTTTTTCAGTTAACAACGCTTCCATTTTTCGTTAAAATAAAATCCTTACGATGAACTTAGCATGAAGAACATATCATACTTTTTAAGTCTCAATACGTTTCCGAACTTGGGCCTCTTCAAGTTCGCCATTATCGATATGCTCGATTTCGATTCGAACAGGCGCCAAATCAACAACGAAAACGAGGCTACGCTGAAGCCGGCAGAAACTGGCGCTAAAAACAGCGCTTTCCGCAGGGCGAAATGAAGTTAGCAAGTGAAGTCAGCGAAAGGGTCGCTGTCCCAAGCAGTGGCGGATTCAAGGGGGCAACTAGGGGCAGTTGCCCCTCCCTCGACGAGTTGTAGCAAGTCTGGAGCCCCTTTTTGGAAATTGTGGGCCCCTTTTGAAGAATGAGAATCCGGTGAAAAGTTTCTGAAACCGATAAGTTATTTTGCTTCAAGGATTACCTCAAAGTCATGTTGTTTATTCTGAAAATGGATCTGAAATTGTTGTATACAGCGTAATCTCGTCATCAATTTTTCAGCGCCCCCACTACCAACTGCCCCTCCTTCAAGTTTGCTCTGGATCCGCCCCTGGTCCCAAGTGCAAAATTAAAAAAAAATTAATTACAAAAGGTTCTCAAATAATTACCTAGATAATCCAGACGATAAAATTTTTTGCAAATTCAACGCCGGCACCATATTGCAAGCAAAAACGGTTTTTCTTGTGATGTGATTTAGGGGATTCAGATCACGCCTTTCAACTAAAATCAATCCAAGGTCCAAGGTAGCGTTCTGATGTAGATGTACGTCTTATATTTAGACAAGTTTAATTTGTCAAATTTATAATTAGCAACTTCGAAATCGTCGTCAGAGCATCATTTTTCCTAGCCTGATAACCAGACCCTTATTTCAAAGGAACTATTTTCTTTGAAATCGGGGTCTGGTTACCAGACTGCATTTTTCCCAAAGACCGATACCTCAAACATTTTGCACTCAAAATTTATGTTTTTAGATATTAATCGGATTGCTTGGAACATTTTGCACTGTTTACGTTAGCAGTAGCCATAACCTGGTGTTTGTTGGTTCATCGTTGAAATTTGAGAAGGCCATTTTTGTATTACAATCGCATTGTGCTGTGATTTGATGGACTTATAAGGCACATACACAATTAGAAAAACAGAGGCCCCAGCACGGTGCCCTGAAGCACTCCGAAAGTTACGTCGTCAATGCGAGAAGTTTTACCATTTACAGCAACTTCCTGTGTTCAGCAGGTCATAGTCGCCTATTCCAAGGGAGGGTAAGCCTCTGTTTTTTTAGGAGAAAGACAATAGCTTATTTTTGAAACAATAGAAAGTCATTGGGACTGCAGGGGCAATTGCCCTGTATGTTAGAAAAGGCCCTGCAGCAGGTGGATGTTCGATATTGGGCCGAGTTTCAAGCCTTGTGATCAAAGAAGTTTCTTGGCAATCCAGATGACTTTAAAATAGTCATAATCTTCAACTCATTTTTCTTGATAAACAAAGCAATCGCGATTATTTTCACCATCGCCACATCTTCTTCAATATGGATTGTGTTCCACTAAGCTGTCAGATAAGCAGAATGTTCATGTTAGCTCTCAACGTTATGGCTGTGCTACTGGTCGGCTGAATAAGTTAAAAAAGCCACAAAATATTGTTGACATTGTGGGTCACAACTTGGATTCTACAAAAGGATTCTAGAAAACGAGTCTGAAATGGAAGAGTAAAGAGTAACATGCAATGCAGGTCATCGATGTCTAAGCTATGTCGATGGGCTATCTGCCTCACGAAGACATTTGGAAAGTTCAGCCGAATAGCCAAGAGTGGAAGATACAGTCTAAAGATGGCGACTTTGAATTTTACCTAAGCTGAGTCAAGATCCAAAATGGGCTCATTTCGATAAAAAATTTCAACTGACTCATTTCGATCTCAACGAGTTGTTTAGTGAAATCACCAAAAAGGTCTATATTGAAAGGGAATCTCCGCTGTTAAAAACACTATTTTATATTTCCGTTTCTCAGATGACAAAATTATGCCTTTATTTTGCTATTCCCCGAGAACCTGCTCTGCATGAAGAAGCCCCAAAGAATGGCTAAACCCTCTCCTTCAAAAATTCATAGGGGTGACGCCCCAAGGCTTCCGACGAAGGGGGGCCGGAGGCCATGTCCCCACTTTTTTGCAAAACAATATAGCTTGTACCTAATATTTTGTTATGGCTGTTAAATTCCCCCTTGCCCCCAATTTTCCAACCTGTGTTGGAGCTCATGCGCTCCCAGACCCAACGCAGTGTTTATCATACAGGCACTTTCTTTTATGTTTATGGCATTGTTGGTGATACTGTCTTTTCAAAATAGCTTAGGTGAAGATGATGCTTATCTGGCAGTTAAGGAAACGAAGATGCTGAAGAAGATGAAATGACGGACGATGATGCGGACGTTTATCCATATGTATATTACCTCATTCCTATTTGATTACCCGACTGTGAAAGAAAGATGCTGACAACGGAACAAGCACGCTTGTCATTCTAAACATATATTAAGCTATTATTTTTCATAGATACTCTTGCTATTCTTTGTCGTAGTCAAAATTTACCCACTTTTGTGTCAATCAATTCCTGCAAAAGAGTTCTTCTCGGATTTGAAAAGTTGATGACAATCGAAACAAGTTTCAATACTTCTTGATGTGTAAAGTATCATTGACACTGTTGGCCAAAACTTCCAGTGAACCATCCAAGACGGTTTCATAACCATAAGTAAAATATTACTGTTCTCTGCTCTGGAACGATAATCCTAAAAAGTAGCTTGCAACTGTAAAAGCGACTCCTTGACAATAAATAATCTATATTTGAACCAGTTTGACTTTTATGTGTTCTGTTCCAATAGACTAGTTAATCCTGTAGCAAGCACTAAACATTTTGCCAGTTCAAGGTTTGTCAAGCCTGCTTGACAGGAAAGTCTCAATCATGTTTCTTTACAGAGTTTGTCAAATGCATTTTCAATTAAAGAAGTGTATTTTCAGCTGTCAATCCAAGCTAAATGTCACAAGAACTGTATAATGGTGTTTTTGTAATCAAGAGGCCTCAGCTCAACTAGTACCGAAAATATTTATATGTTTCTTAAAACCATTGGGAAAGTATAAATAATAATTTGTTCAATTTCATTTATATTTGACACATTTTGCTACTTAAACAAAATGTAATTGCAAATGTTGTCCCAAGATTTTGAATGTCATTCAATATTTGAATTACAAGGTATGAGATAACAAGCTAATCTGCACTCTGTTAGCATTCACTGATATCCACGGTTCTAGCAATTCGAATGTATCTTGCCCAACCTCCAGTAAATTCGACTTGTTATTTCCAAGTTCATTCTAGGCTAAGGTCTAGGCCAGGCTAGGTTTATTCTAGGCAAGAACAAATAGGACAGTATTCCAACGTTTATACAAGTCTCAGCCGAGCCATCTTATGTTAATAATTAACGTCTTCACCAAATTCACACAAAATAACAAACAAATGTTTACCAACAAAGCATATTCTAAGTAAGGTCTCTAAAGTTGATAGCAAATTGATTTCGAAGAGAACCCTTTTTGAAATGCAACACATTAAACTTAAAGCAGTAATGATGCATTTTTATGCAAATATTTGTTGACAAACCTTTCCTTCCTTTATATCATGGTAAACATCAAAATAATATGGTCAACGAACAAGGGCAAGGCACAATTCAAAGGTTTTGCCCATGAATCAAGAGAATATGTTTGCAAAAACATTCTAATTTATCCATTGAATTCCATTAAATAAGTCTTGGTACTTGGTCTCTTCAGAAAATCAGTCTCTGTTTAAATCAATAAACTGGAGCATTTGATCAAATTTGATAATTTCCTAGTCAGAATCTATTTGCGGAAAATCTGCAAGCATTTTAAAGATAATTTAGCCTTTATTTGATGTATCTATTTTGTCTTGCTAATAATCAAGGTACTATATGATTGCAAGGTACTATATGAAATAATTTTGAAGAACAAATCACCATTTAACAGGCACTGACAAAAAGACATTGATTTTTGAGGAATAATTGAATATCTATATCGAAAGAACACAAGATCTTCACAGTATTTCTTGAAGAAGAAAAGTCGTGTTTCTCAGCTGAACTTTGAAATAATTCCAAACTATAATAATCTTAAGTCTTACTTTAAACAACCTAACTACTGGTCTTTTTTCTCTCCAGTTAGACTATTCTTCAGGTTTTTAATATCACTTTCAAATGCATTTGCAAGCAAAAGCCCATCTTCATCTATCCATTTTGACACAGACCTGTAAATGATATAAAATCGATTTTGCAAGGAAACTAAAACTGACAAGAGCAAAATTAAAATACTATGAAAGGGTCAGCTCTTTCAAAGATAGATATACATAAAAACACTCTCTTCTTACAATCTCCATAGTTCTATGAGAATTCATTAAGTCATGACATTCTAAATCTTAGTAAAAGAAAAATCTTGCAACAGTAAGTATTGTCTCATAACTATATAGTGTAAAGTTTAGGTTCCATTGTGAGAAGATCAAACTCCTTGGTATTTAAAAGACGAAATCATTTTAAGGGAGCGCAAAGAATCAAGCAAATATCTTGCAAGGACTTACTGCTTTAGATCCACTTCCTGGATTTCTTTGGTTTTTCCATCTTGATACTCAATTGTTAGATTAAACATATGATCAAATCGTTGCAGTGTAGTGCCAATTTTCCATGTGTTAGATGGATCCTGAACAAGAAATAATTCTGATTTGAAAACTATTTTGGTAGCCTTTATTTACAAAAAACAAGGAGCTTAGATGATCCATATGGTTTGGTAAGCCTTCTAGCAAAAAGAATTTACAATCAATGCATCATTAGGGTTGTGAGTTGTATCAATATGGGGACAAAATAACAAAATAGAAGAATAAATATTTAAATATGGATGAATATGTTTATTTGTGGTTTGAAGTTTACAGTCACAGCATGCAAAATTATGTAGACACCTTACACCTACAAATTACTGAAAGTAGAAAGATTAATGTTTCAATTTATCTGCAACTCTAGCAATTTTTGTCTCAGCAAGAAAATACATTAACTTTATATGCCATTAATGATCTGAATAATCCTACCAAGCCAGCTTTATCTTTTTCCATAGCCACCAGAATATAATTCTTTTCAACCATTCCAGTAAAAACGGTGAGAATTGACATTAAAATAAAGTATCTACAAACCATGTTAAGAAATCAATTTAGTGATTATCATAATAAATCTAAATAACGAATGTTTACAAGCTGTATAGAAGAAAGGAGACGTTCCCTAAGGCCATCCTTGTTTATTTCATGACATCACTACATACTTGCAGATCGATTTTCCGCAAAAAAATTCAAAAGACTTAAAGTAATAATAAAAATATCTTATTTTATGCAGTCAGATGTGGTCTACAAATGCAGAGATTTCTAACTGTGCTTCCTCCTTGATTCTAGACATCATTGATGAAAGCATTAGTAAATAACTATTCAAATTTGTTGATGTGACAGGCCTGGAAGTTTGGCCAAAACACTCATTTTGCTAGCATGGCATTTTGGCAAACTAAAAATGGCGGTAACCGTAGTGTTCCTGTGAAATAAATGATAATAAAATGCTTAGGCATTTTCATTGTTTTCTTTACTTTAGACTTCTCAATTTTTAAGGTTTTATTTGAATTTTGATCAACCTTAAAGTAAATTAAGTAAAAATGGGCTTCACAGAAGACTTGTACTTGTACAGAACTAGGGAGAAATGTTAGTGAAATTTTTCTTGTAAAAACATACATGAAGCCAATGACCTCAGCCAGTATGAAAGCTGCAAATAAAAAATGATTGAAATATTGTTTTGATTTGCACTTGCTGTCCAGCAATTAAACATTGTTTTCTCACATCTCCAACTTGTCAATCACCATAATGCTTTGTTGTTCCACTAAATGCCTGTGCCATATTTCCTTGGTTTGTTAGGTTATTTTTTGGTGGACTTTTGTAGAAATAACTTTTTTGTGATTCATCAGGCAATTATTACACTGCATACTGACATAAAAGAGTAATGCAAGAAACATTTCTTGAATCTCTCAAGGGGTTTCATCTTCAGTGGCTACAGCATACTAACACTAAGTCTGCTAGAAAGTCTGGCAAATCGGCTACAGAACCCCTTCATAGAATTTGAAGAAATTTGAGAAAGTTTGCTATTTTGGTAGAATTTTTCAGAAGGTTAGGACAGGTTGGATATCCAAATTTGCCTTCTGTAATATTTGGTTGAGCACTTTTTTCCCCAATAGCCCTTTTTCCATCCTCAATACAATTTTCAACTCAACTTTTTGAAGTTTGAGCTCAACGATTTCAGGTAAAAGGATACGTTATGACACAGGTAAGAACAACATATTTAGATGCTGGGTAAGGAAAAAGGTAGTCATAGGCCAGAGCTGACAATGCAATAGCACATCCTGCTCCACTCAGCGCCAATCTGATATCAATGTATGCATGACTCTCTTCAAATCCTAGTGTTTCAGTGAAAAACTGAAAAAAAATAAAAAGGAACTTTAGGCTGCATCCAAAAGCAATTGGTGCATGAATTAGGTGGCTTTACAAAAAATATTTGTAAAACAGATATTCAACAGGATTAGATATCATTAAATATCTGCTAAACTTTGTAAAAAAGATCAATAATTTAGAAATCCACGAAGTTGTGATATTATTGGCCAGCTTGCAGAGTAGGGCATTTCCAAATTAAGACCTTCATGTTGACTGAAATTTTCTGTGGACAAACATTCTTGATCTGATGATTGCATAAATCGTTAAACTCAAAGTTACAAATCGATTATACTTTTCATTGCCAAAGTCTTGAAGATTGATTTTAAATGCATATTATCTAACATTATTTTATTAATCAGTCCATGAAAAAGAGGTTGTTTGTACTGCAGTGGAAGACAGGAAGTGAACATCCTAACAGAAACAGGGCAGAGACATTTGTCTGTAGGAGCCCAGGTTCACAGACAGTAAACATTGCTGAAAGTAGTTTAACAATGATTCAGACTTAGTAGCCTTGCTACAAGCATCAAGATTTCACGGCCTGTCATTTTTTCAGACACTACATTTTGATGTTTGGAAAACAAAATCCCTCCTACACACAGACTGTCTCCAACAAAATGTTTGCTTACAGTTAAGGGACCCAGCCCTTTTAAACAGGCAATTTTTAATGAGATTGTCTTTATTATAAAAAAAAATTTCCTAGGGAATTACTTCAAATGTGAAAAAATCTGGCTATAAAAATATTTGGTTTGGCATTATTTTTGTCATCACTACATACTTTCTGAAAAATGTGGAAAAAATTAATATGTAAGTTTACAATATTTGTTTTCTTGATTGGGTAAATTTTATGTGCTAAAGGTGTGAGATGAATAACAAACTAACATCGGCATCCAATTATAAGGGTTTTTGGCTCCCGTTCTTCCAGAATACCAATATTTTCATGCTTATTTTGGGCAATATGTTTAAAATAGTCCCAAGTTCTTATGGAGGATGGAAAAAATGTACTTAGTTTTGTATTTTCCTAAGTCTTCATCCTTACATGGTATTGTCATATTCCTTTTTTGCTTGTTTACATACAAAGTAAAAGTAATACAAATGATTTACCATTCCATAACAAACTCACCTTTCTAACAACATCATCAAGAGCATTTTTTATTGCATTTCCATCCCATTTGTTAACAATCCGTGGCTTTTCAGAATCTAAAATCTGCAAAGTACAAATATGTATGACAGATAAAAGTGCAGAGAGAAAGCCAAGTTAAAAGGCTATATTAATATCTCTTAATGAATATAGGAAAGAAGAAAAGTTTCAACAACCTTAAAATAACATGATTCCATGTCTCCCTAAAGCATGCGAGTGCAGGAGCGGCGCTCACAGGCCAACCATGCCGATCATTTTTTTTCATTTTAAAAATCTTTATACAGGAATTCCCTATCAGCTATAATATAAATAAACTACTTTTACTACAAATTATTTTTCAATATATATAAAATAAAGATGTTGCTGTTCTACCTAGGGATCTTGTTTTGTTTTGGGAATTTATTAACTTTGTAGGAATCCCTTCAAGTTTCTTTTAAACATGGACATTGTGGGGCTCAATCTGATGTTTCTTGGAATCTCATCTCATGTTTTGGGCGATCAAATTATGTCTACAGGCACATCTGAATAAGCAATCTTTTTCAAAGTTCCTAATCGTTTAAGAATATAGAGAAATAATTCAGCTACAAGTTTCACAATGTGAATATTATTAAATGCGTTTTTTCCTTTGAACAGAATTATTAAGATACTCAGAAAAAAGATTAGTACAATCAAGTGCACTCAAAATAAAGGAAAGCAATGCTTCCTATGTTGCAGTTGGAGCCCTTAAATGGTATTGATTTGTCAAAAACTTCAAATAAATTGGGTTGATTATCTCAAATGTATCTGGAAATGAACTTCTGTGCAAATTCAGAGAACTTTGAGACGTCTGCAAAAGTAAAGCTTAAGGTGTTACCACTTTGTGAAAGTGATTTATATAGCAAAGAGAGAATAATAGATTTTCCTAACAGCCTACAAGACCTATATTTTTACATTCTGTATGATGCGTCATTAAACATTTCTTCATGTCTCTTATTTTAAACAATTTCATATCCTACGCATAACATACAAAATAATCTACTAGGCACCTTTTGCAAAAATGTTTGTGCTCACAGGCACAAAAATTTTTAGGGAGGTCTGCATGATTCTAATTCTTACTAGATTACTCTTAAGTTTCTCCCCTTGGCTCCAATTTCAGCCTGGAATTTCAAATTTTTAAGCATAATTTAAGCACAGTATGTTTCTTATTTTGCTCCCTATTTTCGTAATTTCTTACGGTGGTCCTAACAACTTCAACTTCAACTTAAATCTCAGCCCGATGTTTCTTATAAGCATTGTTCTTAAAAAAACATGTACTCTACAGGGCCCGCGCCAAGAATTTGAAAGTGGGGGGCCAAGGCTTGTTACCCCTTTTATTGCAGCTTTAAAACTACTTGCTTTGCAGAAAAGTGGGGAGCCATGGCATCCCTGCCACCCTGGTGGTGCGGGCCCTGCTCTATCATTTATCAAGCCAAATTTAAATCTTTTTCAACGTTGGCCTTAACTTTTGAACCCTAACAGTATTCTTAATCAGATTTATATTCATATTTCAATTGTATAAAAATTCATGTGTGAAAGGGCAGCAGGCTAGATAGCTTGTATGTGTTTTTCACTAACAGGTCCTACACTACATGAGACTTTTAAAGTTCCAGCAATTTATTTAATTTTTATATCTATATTCTTTTATTAAGCTGAAGGTAGAACTTTTCTACATTGACATATAAAATTTTTGCATTCGTTTGTTAATTACAGATAATATATTGCTTTTGAATGATATATTAAATGAAAAAATTGTTTTTATAATGAGAGTTTATGGATATTTCCAAAATTGCTTTCACCGAAAAGCCCTTTTAGTAAGAATATGTCAGCAAACATCCTTTGTCTACCGAGGGGATTTTATTGGTGCTAATTATGTTATCAAGTATGCTATACCAAAGGTTGCTGAATGAAAGTTTAATTTGATTTAGCTATATTGAAGCCAGATTGGAATTAAATCCCCTGGCACATCAAGTATTAGCTGCGATTCCAGCCACGCATTTTCTTTAAAATGATTCATCCAGCTGCACGGGATTCTTCTTTAACTGTAAAACTTATCTTGTATGTAATAATTAATGCTTTTAACGAAATTTGAATTTGAAGACCCTCAGAGTTGCAGATCACCTATGTTGTCATTACTTTTTGCTTGTGTACACACAAGGCTGGTTTTTGTACACACATATGCCACATAACAGCAAACATGTGAAGGATATTTGCATCATTTCTGGGAGTAAAATACATATGGGACGGGATGATTAAATTTATTGCAATGCACAAAGTTGTCAAAGTTTGAGCAGATTTTGGTTTACGGAAACTATTCTCATCTGGTTGGGTTCCCCTCGCTCTTATTTTCAGGAATTATGAAAGATGTTTATCTTTGCTATCTTGTTTTTATCAGCACCACTAATGATGTTACTAATGTTTTCTCTGAAAAGTATACCCAAACGTTACATACTGTGTTTCTATGATAACTAGTCTCAGCCACACAAAATCTTTATCTGTGCTATTTGCAAATGCGCAATTTTCATGGACATGAAACAGATCCCCCATGCATCTTTCAAAGATTCCAATCTGGCATTAAAGCGTTGTAAAATCGTACCGTTTATTCAGTGATAAGAGTCATAAAAATATCGGTTGCTTATAGATTGAAGATAGCAATCAATCTTAAAAAGCTTCATATCTACATTGATAAAAATACAGCAAAACACCCAAAAATATTGCAATACCGAGTCAAGGATCCCTTTCTTTTTCTTGTCATTTTTCGCACTTGCCGCCATCTTTGTTACAATGTGTGGGTCTTTCATTTGCTAGTTGAAATCCTCCTTCACAGCAACCGCTGAAGAATCCAGTGGCACTTTATTGTTTCCAAAACTGGTAGCAAAATTGATCTATTTAATAGTTCACGAAATTTTATAATTTTTTGTTGACCTGTATTCAAAATATTTCGTGTTCAAAGTCATTTAGGGGTCCCGTGCCCTGTACTCCAGACCCTTAACTTGCAAAGATCATCGGAGAATGTAAAATTTATCCAGGGAAAAGGGTAACATTCCCAAAATACGTAACAAAGAAAATTGTAATCTTATCTCATCCAGGGATCATGGAAAATCCATTTTTTCGGAAATCATTTTCTGCTTAAAAATGTCATTCACGCCCTAGACAAGGGTGTATTTCGATGGGAAAGCAGTCAAAGTAATTTTCAGAAACCACCGATATGAAAACATGGAAGGGGCAGCTGTAAACACAACGGCTAGAAGTTGTTCTAATCATTTTTTTTACAAAAACCCACGCAGATCAATATCCAAGGTATGTTATCTTTTCCAAAGAAAAATCAACAAAATAAAATTTTACAAAAACTATTGGCAAAAATGTTAGTTAAAAAATATATCTATAGTAAAGTCATCTCTACACCATCAATATGATTAAGAGCTATATAGTCCTCGGAGCCGCCTTTAAAAGGAACTCGGTACTTATTATTGAATCTTTTTTTAAAAAATTGGAAATTTTACAGTTTCTTACCTTCTTCTTGAGCCTCGTACCAAATTACCTTGAAATGGTTTTGCAATCTTCGAACCAGTTTCATATAAGTAAAGCAACTTTCTTGTATCATAGCATGGGGATGATTTGATGATAATTTACCAGGTAACAGGTTAATTGGTGAAACGGTTGAACAGCAGTGGAATAGAATTTGATGAGATCATGTCATATCAAAGTTTGCATGGTCAACCCTGGTCAAGCGTATTCAAAAAAAGACATATTAAAATTTCTTAAATATTTCCACAGCACGGGGCAATCGGGAAGAGTAGATCTAAATTCATTGCGTTTCAAAACCCTTCTGCTTGAATGGAAAAAAGAAAAAAAAGTATAGTAGTCTTCTTAGTGACAGTCAATCAACATTGTCGAGAAAGTGTTAGCTGCGAGGCACTGTTTTAGGCCCACTGCTTCTTTTTTGGTTAATATAAAGGACAATAGCTGACACTGGTGACAATAGCCTTTTGCTAACAACACTTAAATGTAGAGAAATTTCAAAATATGAAACTGAAAAAAGTTAAAAGGGAAGTAAAAAGCTCGAATTTCAACAACTGAATATAGGTACCCTTGTAGTGACCAGTGACGGTTGTTAAACCCTTCTTTTCGCAGCTTCAGATAATATAACACTGTGATAATATTCTCTTGGGGGAGGGGGCTTGGGCTTTTGCTCCTCTTTTAATTACATTTTAGTATCAAAAGTTCATAAACTTTAACTGCACATTTAGTGCCCTTGGAAGAAGCACAGAAGAAAGAAAACATTGAAATTCGGGATTTGCTATAATTTAAGGCCAGAAAGGTTTGAATTAACTAAAGTAGAATTTCATGAATTGGGGCGACTTCCTAATTTCCGATTGTTTGCACCGCGGAGCGTTTAGAAAAGCCCCCGGGCCCCTTCTCCGCAGTACCTGTGGCCACCATTCCCCGAAATACGATAAAAAATACCCCCAGTATTTGTGGTTGCTGATGACAAAAATTCCTTGTATCTACTTTTCTTAACAAAAGGAAATCTGTTACCCGACCCATGGTGCTAACGTTCAACAAAAAATAAAAAATCATCACGTATCAAAAAGATTAATTACTAGAAATAGCTCTTGCTAGTACTGCCCGCAAACAATTAGTTCCTTGATAATGATTGTTTTGAAAATTTAGGTCAGGATATTCGAAGAAGACACCATCTTGGGTTTTCACAATTTTATAAAAACAGCTGCTCTAGTTGATGCTAAACTATTCTTTTTATCAAGAATTTTTGGTGTTCAGTTTGCCTTTGATTTAAGTCCAACGCCCTTTTGAAAATCATGAAGTTTTTCTAGGGTTTGACATTTATTTTTCGTTTTCGTGAAGCAAAGACGTATGAAAATGGACACGTGATAGAACGGGTACAGCTAAAATAGATTGCGATAAAGGATTCGTACAGCGATGTACAGGCGATAATCACGACAATCATAACTTTTGCTCGTACGGTGTCGAGTTTTTGGGAGAAAGGTGTGGCATTCAACTGGTTTTGATTCCCAAAACTTCGAATCAAAACTTCCATCCATTGCGGAGAACCGAGCTGTGATGCAGCACCGTTTTCGTGCCAAAAAAACCGAAGGCCTTTAACAGAGTCTTGGCAGAGAAACGCTCCGAAGATAATTCCCTTCCGCACAAAGAGGTGGCGGTTAACGACCTCCTCGACAAAGCCGATTGATTGACAATGAAATTGATTGACAGTTGTCATGGCAGCAGAAAAGTGACAAAATCTGCTGACAAAGTGCTGACATTATAAACTGAAGCTTCCGTATGCTACTTATACGCGGGGCAGACTATAAGCCCTTCACTCGCGCGCTATCGCGCGCGAGTTGCGGGCAACAAAGAGATTAAAGCTGCGTCGACAGATCAAGTGACAGAAAAGTACCCGTCTTACTATATTTATCCAAACGTATCATCATGGTCTGAAAGAAAAGTTTCAAGAATGACGTCAGGTTTCATTGTGAGCAGGTGTTGTTTTTGCCTTTCGTACGTACGTGCGCCATACTTCCCCGAAAATTCCATACATCGAATAGATCGGTTTCGGCCATAAACACTGATACACTTAACATAAAATAGATTTAAACCTAAAAACTATCCATTCAAAGGAACTTGGTATTATTGAAACCTACATCGAATACAAAACGCTGATAATGATTTATCTCCAAGTGCCCAAGTCAATGGTACCGAGTACAAACGATCAATCATAGTCACTTGAAAAACGTGTAATTTTCAGGTCACCATGGATCAATTTTGTATTCACAAAATTTGGCCAAAGACCTGAGGTCTGAGGGATGATGTAATGAAATCCAGCACTCTCATACTTGTTTACCCGTTCCTGAAATGAAAAACATCGTTTTACCCTACAGTTGAACGACCCTTTCGGATAATCATAGATTTTTGCAAAAAGATGCCCATAGGATTCCCTTTGAGATTTTGCCTACCAGTCAAACATAGCCAGATCCTATGTGAAACTTTTTCATCATAAATTATAGGATAATGGTCAAACCATTTCATTTTCTTTTACTTTCAAAACAACTTAATGTAATCTTTGTCCGTAACAATAAATTTTTTTGAGTACAAAAGTAATAATTATTAACTTACCAAATACCAACAGTGGAGAAAATCAAGATATCAAAAGCAATTGACTTCAAATTTTCTTTGCAAGTATCCAAAACATTATTATTCTACAGATACCAATTTAAGATACTTTAGGTTGATAACAATCTGATATGTACACAAAAGGCAAAAGGCATCATCATCATCATCATCATCAGGGGCATTGGGTGAACAAAATTAACACTGTCCATTCAATTTCAAGGATTCATACATTAAGAAGGTAAAGCTGGAAGAAATAATTCCTAGAAGAATAACAGTAACTTAGTAGAAATATAGTTTTCATATTTTGCATGTAAAAGCCAGCCTCAAAGGCAAATTTTCAAGCTTTCTTTCATTCTCAGGTTCTCAAATCTTAATCACTTGACAGCTGTAATGCATGTGACAAATCTTGTGACCAGTGTTGTTCAACATCAACAATAATAGTTGCTGTCAATATCTGTCAGATCAGCTTACATCAATATTACTTTAGATATTAATATATGTTCATACTTTACAAGTGAAACAGGCAACATGTATGCATGTATAAAAGTACCCTTTCAGTACAATGTTTAGACAAATATAGTCATGATCAACCCTGATAAAGCTGGGCAACGCTGAAATCTGAAAAAATCTATGTATCATATTTTAAATACAATTTACATCAATTTTCAGTTATCTTTTTAATCTTGTCTTAGCATTTTTATTCTCAGAGCCTACCATCTTTGAAATGTGTCTCTGAAAACCAGCTTTCAGGATATAGAAATATTTGATTCCCAACTGACACCAATTTGGAAAGAGACAGTTATGCATTTGCTTTTCAGCTAATACATGGCCCAAGAATAAGCATTGCTCATGCAAACCCTGTTGGGTTCCACTACGCAGAGCATGGTGGTGGTGCACCCATGATGCAGACATGGTAACGTTGAGGGCACACCTAAAAACTAGCTTTATTCAATTAAAGCTTTGAAAAGTTGGTAGTTCTGGGGCAACTAGCATTTCCAGGCATTTTTGCACAGCTGTCAAAATTGCCATACTCTCCAAACTGGGTAGGTCTTACAAATACCTGCTAATTTTCAGGTAAGGAATCAACTTTGACAAGAATTATGGTTATTTGAAACTGAAGGAAAATTTTGCAAAATACTATCATAGTTGTTTGCTGCCAATTTATGTCCCAACAAGATTTGCTGGTAACATTATAATTTCTGATATGATAATTTCTAAACGTCTCTAGGAATTGAAATCCAAGCCCTTTACATTACAGAAAAACTAGCGCATTACCAAGTTTAGATGCATGAAATGTACCTAATGGCAATAACAACATGAAACTAAGAAATCTTAGCGACTTCTATTCACTAAGACTACTGATCGTAGAAAACTTAACTATTTACACAATAATATCCATTTATACAATGGTAGGCATAATGAATACGTTTTTAACATATTCAAAACGGCGGTTTACAAAACCGAGATTTACCTACATACATAATAGGCTGGCTGCCATAATGTCGAAGGTATTGTCTTGGGCAGGTCCGTGCAAGTCAGCTGATGAAAAATCTGTTTTTTAGACGAGATAATCTGGTTCTAAAGCTGAATTACAAGTAATCTTCTGAAACGTTTTCAAATAGGAATGCAACATGATTTCAAACATTTTAGTTTCATTTCACTGGGAGGGTTGCCCTTAAGCAGAGCTAGCATTGAGGTTTGGTACATGAGTTCTGTAGCTAGCTACGTTTTAGAGGATCATCCAGGGGTTTCCTTTGTTTTGAGAGGTCTAAGAATATTAAACGTAAGATTTTCAACAATTTATTCTAAAGAAGAAACTGCAAAAATTTTAATCGATAAAGTATGAATAAAGGTTAAACCTAATTTGGGTTTTTGACATGTTGCTTTATTAGCAATGTGTAAGAAATCCATTTCTCTTTATGTATGTATGGTGTTGTACATATGTGGCAAATCATAAACTGTTAGCTTGCATGGCAAAATACAGCAGTTAAAATGTTCATCGAACTGACATGGGAATCGAAGCGAGTCTTCGAGGGCAGCGGGGAATGCCCAAGCGTTTCCGACATAATTTATCCTCCAGAAATAAGCTTTTACTCATCGACTTAAAATAATTTAAATCTTAAAAAAGTCAATTGCTCTACAGTGTCTATCCAAATAATACGAGGCAGAAGGTCATATTCCCATCAATTATTGTTGAACCAAACTGCCGCAAGAGTTCATGTCCTTACCTTATCTGGGTGCTGATAAAATCTTCCGAAAGCACTTCCAGACCGACTTCACATGTGGCTAAGCCATTCCACTGTATGTATCACGAGAAATAGTTTTTGTTATTCTAGGTATACCTAAAATCATGGTTTGACCTATGCTCGAAAGTTGAAGACCAATCTTAACCGCAGTTAGATGAAGGCCGAATCCTAGGCCCAAATCGTGAGTTCTGCTGACAGTTTGAATATATGTTTGAGACAGAAATGTCCTTTTTGGTTCTCTTCATTGGCAGTCTAGTATCCCAAACAGAATTTTGTTGCAAACTATCATCAATGTCCATCTTATCGACTTGGTCTTTGAGTTCTTCACAACACTGGTCGAGCAATGAAGAAATGGAAGCTTGGCTAATGTGTCTTCGTTTGCCTCCGAGACTAGGACTAGGGGGTGGAGCTGAAGGCCCAGATATGTCGTACACATAGTTGAGTGTTAAGTTCTGTAAAATTTCCATTTCAAAGCTTTCCTCGATGCAATTTTCAGCTAAAGTGTGGTAGCATATGCCATTTTCGGTGCGTAGAAAAAAATTATCCTGACGCGTCCCAAGATGAACTTATGAACTTCTTCCCACCAGGAGATGATTCATGTAATGATTAAAACAATACTTCAAACCAATTGCTCCCTCGTAGCTGCTCATTTGTGGCAGTGACTAACATGAAAGCTGTGCGCACGGACAGTAGGTCGAGCTGACTTATGGTAGATAACAACAGTTCAAAGGAAACCCATAGTGAACGAGGTTAAAATTAGGGCGACAAGCAACCAATCAGCAAATCGGCTAGGGAAATGTCTTCGAATTTGAACCTCCTGAGCCAATCAAGTTCACAAGCTGTTACCGGAAGTATCCAGGAAAACCAATCACAGTTATTCACTTGAATACAATGGTTTCACAATTTCGCAATACGTGGCCTGGGGCATACCAAAAGGTGGGTGCGTCCCTGTGACGTAATTGACAGGTGCACATAGTACAGCGCGTACGTAATAACGAAAGTAGTCCAGATAAAAGAGTGACAACATATGGTAAAAAATGAACGCCTAAGCTAATTTTGTATGGTTCCAGGAAGTTATTTTGCGTTTTGAGGCTGGAGGGCAATCCTCTTCCATTTTAAAGTATAGGTGGCAAGAACCCGACTCTTTTGTGTCTTAAATACGAAAACTTCAAGAGTGAAACTTTCGGGTGATGGAGGGTTAGGGTGATTCTTGCAAAAAATATTCTTTTCTCGATGAACTCAACCATCCCAAGGTGATTTTGGGACACTAAGAAGCTAAGCTAGCTGTGGGTGAAGAAGGGGTTTCGACTAGCCGACTGACTGACTGTTTTGCCAACAGGCTAATGACTAATTCTGTAAAACCTGACTAACTTACGACTAACTAATGACAAGTGCCACATATCGAATAGCTCTAGCTGAGGCAGGCTTTCCACTAGCTCGGCTTAAAACGAAAACGGGTTAAAAGCAGTGGCGGAAATTATGGGGGTTCAGCCCCCTCCCCCAAATCAACGACGTCGTCGGAAAATTCGGGCTTTCGTCGGATAATTGACAACCGTTTAACGTGTCGAAATTACTCCAAAGAATCGTTTTGAAAAGTGAATTTAAGCTAATCTAAGGGGCCTAATTGTCAAATTTTCTGTTCGCTTCACTCGCAGGTGATCCACGTTTCCTTTTTTACCCCAGGGGCCTTTATAACCTCTCTGTGCCCTTTTTGCAAAATTTGAACATAGCATAGCTGATGAAATATTAGCCATTACTAATAATCAATCAAACAATATATGACCAAAATCAAAACTGCTTGTGAATTGTACATTTAATTTCAATTCCGTAAAGATTAGCCAAAATTTCCATCGGATTCTTCTAAATAAAAGTTATTTTCAAACGTATTTCTCACTGGTGAAAACAAGATAAAATGCATAAAATGAACGTACGACTTGTCAATAGCGTAATCGGTCTACCTCTTGTATCATCAATTGTCTTAGATGAGATATCGATCTTGATATCAAAAATCATAAATGGATTGTTATTCTTGCTACTTAATTATGGCGTGGTCAGCCAAGATTTCTAAAGAGTCCCGTCAAAAAATCAATTACTTTTATTAAAATGTGCAGTTTCTTTAAAATTATACATGGTCCATGATGCTATCTTGTCGGAAAATTGCAGGCCTGGGCCCCCCAAATGAAAGCCTGAACTTCCACCACTGGTTAAAAGTTATCCGTTTTTGCATTGCATTCCCACTAAACTAACCCATTTGAAAAACGGATAAAAACGGATCCCCAGTGGATTAGTTTAAACCCAGGTATCTTTTAACTCACCTGTGGGCTAGTGGGAACGCCAAACCCGGACAACTTTTGATCCAACTTTTGTAAGCAACAGCAACAGCGTTATTCAAAAAATTCAAGAAAAATGGTTTTAAATACTGATTTTTCTCAAAGTTCTGCGTGCTTGGGTTTCTGTTTATGATAATCTAAACCTGATTAACCAGAAGTGTAAAGGGCTGAGGACACACTTGAAGCCTGGGTTCTTTTCAACCCAGCTCAGTGGAAACGATAAAAAATGAACTGGCGTTTCCATTGACTCACTTTAAAGAGCGACTGTTGACCACGGATACAAATGGGTAAGGAACCACTTTGGGTCCGTGGCCAGTTTTGTTGGTGTTTACACTAGAACGGATTCAATTTAGATCGCGTTTACACTAGCACGGATCCAGTCCACTGTCTTTCTCAAGTGAGTTGTTCGCTTTTGCATGAACGATCGTAGTTAGTCTAAAATTATCGTACTATTCTTCAGGAACTATCAAACGCTGGTTCTTCCTGGTCATTGCCCGAATCTTCTTAGTTTGCGGTGCCGATATCACTGTTGTTGAATGTTACGATGTAGGCCTAGTCCCAGGCTGCTTTGTTTAGATATAACCAAAGCTAGTCTCAACTGACGAATCCTGTGTTGAGCACATAAAAAAGCAATAAACTGCAGCCAGGAATTAAACCATAACACTAACAATGTGAGTATAAGAAGAATTTTTTGTTTGTATATGAAATTCGAGATTTTGGCGCCAACAATCGGCCTCTTAAGGAGAAAAATTCATGCCTCGTATCCGAAGTGTGCTTGGTTTGGTTCGGTTCCAGCCGTTTACAACGAGAACGGACCCAAGTGAGTACACCTTGGAAAGCGATCCCACACAGGTCCAGATAGCAGGCCGAAATGAGTACGGATCCAGCAGGTCTAGTGTAAACGAAAAGCCTATAAGTGCTAGTTTGGGTACGGATCCATTTGAATACGTGCTAGTGTAAACGGGGTCTTAATGATACAAACACAAACGCGATAGAGCACTTACGTGCCCTGTGAGCGGAGCAAGTAGAAAGTCTTTACGGCCACGCCCTTTAAATTAGCTTGAAATACATTTCAGAATGTTTTTGCAGTCGTTTACCACGTTTTACAATTTGTTAAGCTGTTGCGTTTCGTTAAAATTCATTTCTAAATAGGAATTCCTTGCATTAAGAGGCCCCTGGACCTCGAGGCTCTGGGGCAGTTAACCCCTCTTTGTCCCCCTCTCGGCGGCCCTGTTCATATTCCACGCATCTCTTTCACAGAGGCCTGTTTGTCCTGGGTTTTACAAATTCACTTGAAAGGGGGCCTGCCGGAAAATATCAATGTGTCCCACCTAGCTACAACGCCCCTGATGTTAGGCCAATCTACCCTCTTGATCCAGAATCTTTAAGATCTGGGACTGAAACTTCGCTCAAGAAACGTTCCTCTATGAAATCCAAATTTTGTTGTAAACGTAAAAGCCCTCTCATCTAAAAACCATGAAGGTACCACATTTTGGGTCATGGGCATAACTCGATGCAAAGCATCTCTGGGCTTGTAAATAGGAACAGGAATCCTGTTCACCTAAAAAAAGGTAGAAAAGTTAGCGGTTTTTAATGGACAGGAAGCAGAACATTTTCTGAAGGTGCTTTACATTTCAATTTCATAGTAGACAAGCCATGTCTTTAACAGCCTCAACGGAAAATACAATATTTGTATAGTATGTATCAAGAATGAACCAAAGTTTAGAAGACAATAATACGTTTGAATATACATTTTTTAAAAGACCGTGGAAATGAGGGGGTAAAAGAAGCCTAATATCTCCTGCTCCATAGCTTCGTTAGGGACGATCTTCCTAATTATCACTGGCAATGGCATCGCCACCCTTACAGGGCTGGCAGAGGAGCTGAACCACATCAGGTTTTGAAATAGCTAAGGTATAAAATGGCTTTTGAATTTCAAACTTTCAACTCATGGTTTTACAGAAAGAACTTCAATACTACTAAGAAGACTCTTTACGTTCAAAAGCAATCAATTTGTTTTTGACGACCTCAAAAACAGCAAACCTCTATACTCTAATATTCTTTCAATCAGTCGATTAATTCCTTGTACACTGTACACACCGAATGTTTGTCGTAAAATACCAAGAAAGTTTCGTCTATTGCCCTGATAGAAAAAGGATTTTCAACAGGCAAAAGAACCATTCCAGGGACAGAACAAGAGACGGTATAGAAAGATGCCTCCAGTGAAATGCACTTTCAGGCATTGTTTGCAATTAGGACAAACCAACACCCAGTATCTTCTGTCTGAGCCTTGAGGATTATACTCTGGATCGCAAAGCTTAACTGGTATGAAAAATGTCGAGCTATGGTGGCTTGTTGTATAGAGGCCCTTAGCAACCTCGATACAATTATCTTTCATCCCGTACTTTCACGACAGCCATAGGAGGCGTGGTTTTGGCACAATAATGAAGAATTACGTCCCTGAAATATATGAGACCTGAATAGGAGAGTTGACAACCATTTGAGTGTTGGTGCTTTGAGGGTTAAGCTGTGTGAGCTGGGCCCCTTGAAGCTGTCCAATGTTCCCAGAATTCAAGATGGCCAGTGCACCTTCATTTGGCAAAAGATGTTCAGTTGAAGACGAAACTTGAGACATAACTGGTAATCCTGACGAAATCAAGTTAACGTTAGCAGATGAGGAAACGTTCAGACTTCCAGTAGATGGTACATTCAGGCTTGCAGAGGAGGCTGCACTTAGATTTGCAGGCGAGGCCATACTATACGTGCCTGCATTCGCAAGAGCAGCCGATGGTAACTGTTGGGCAATATTAAGCAATGTCAGTCCATTCTGAAGAATGCTACTAGGTGATTGATTAGCTGGCGCTATCTGAAGGAACTGGGTAGTTGTTTGTTGCTGTTGTGAAGTCGAAGCGTTCGTTGTATGTTGGTGCGTTGATAGCATGGGTGTCAATTCGTTAGAAGTATCCATAATATTTTGTGTTGCTGCCGCTGCTGCTGCTGCTATGAGGAACGTATTTGGTTGGCTGTTACCATTGGAAACCATCGTTGGAGCAGTGGCTTCCTGGAGAGATATAAGAATCATGCTATAACTAACCGTTAGCGTCACAACTTAATGGCAATCGACAGACATTATTTGGGCCTAGGATATCTTTCAGTAAAAGCTGACCAATCAGTGAGTGTGGTTTCTCTCATAAGCTTATTGATTGGCTAATATTCATTGGCAGATGGTTTAAGTCACTTTTATATCCGTCGATTGCCTTTAAATTTGAACAAAACGTGGATGTAATAACGTTATACTTAAATGAAGACCTGTTCTGAACAAATTACTAATACAATATTTATGCATATTTCGAGACAGTTTTGCTAACCATCCGAATTAATCTTACTTTTACTTTTTTACAATTTTATGCATTGTATCGACAACATTCGCCCGATGACGGAACTACATTTATCCGTCAACAAACGAACCAAACACATCAAAGATTTTGGATGAAGGAAGAGAATCCCAATTGTGCACTACAGTTTCAAACACTGTCAGCTGCCTTGTTGCTTTGTCTTGTTCACGATGGACAAACATGGACAAAAACTGTCTGGAAGTAAAGTCGAGCCAGGACAAAAAGGACCTTGGCGCAAACATTATGAAATTTCAAAAGGCCAGTTTGAACATTTATGCTAATTGCATTTTTCCCAGCCGAAAATTGCAAGGCTTCTCGTGTCAACATTTCATATCCACAATCAGTATCGACATGTAGAATCTAATCTTGATGACCTGATGAAGAAATGGAATCATATTCTGCCTTTTCTGATGATGATGATGATGATGATGAGATGATATGACCAGAGTTAGTATTAGTGAATGTACAATGTATAGGCAGAGCAGAGTGGATCCAGTCAGTACTGCTTTTAGCATATTGACCTTTGCACCTACGCTGGTAAGGTATAAATTCATGATGGAAAAACTTTAGTAATAACATATGCCAACTGTTGTAACAGCAACAAAGCTGACACGTTCCAAACATTGACGGAAATCACCGTGCACATTTGGGGATTCTTGGCTTAGGTAACAAGTTGATTCCTTGGTTTCGTTGAATTAGAGTACAGAACGAGAAAAGTTAATGCCCACAGCAATAACAAATAATTCTAATGCACTAGATGTAATAAACTGAAATGTTAGCTAAAGTCAATGTTGTCGGAACTGTACATAAAATCAGTGTAGTCAAAAATAAATTGAATGGAGTGAGAAAAATAAACACTACATCCACAATACGTCTCCTTTTATTTTTGAAATAAAAAAGCTTAGAATTTTCAAATAGCTGCTTTAGTCTTAAAATAATAAATGGCTAACTGACAACTGTGAATTGACGACAGAAATGACCTACTTGCTGTCATAAAACTTCTCAATTTTAGCAAGGTTCAGAGCACGTCCTTAGCTGCTGTCAAAAGTTCTTAAAACAAGTAAAAACAGAAGAAGGGCAGGAAGTCGAAAATGCAAAAACTTGCTGCTTTACCTGGCGTGTAATGGTTGCGATTGGGTTAAGCGCAACAGCAACGGCCGGTGCATTCTGCTGGTGCTGTTGTTGCTGTTGGAGCTGCAGCAAATGCCATGGTTGAAGCTGTTGTTGTAGCTGCCAGTTTTGTGGTTGTAAGGCACTCATTGGAATGGCAAATGAGTTACCGTTTCCGGTTTGTATTATCAAGCTTTGTGGTATAGTGATAACAGGGCCGTTGTTAGAAAGGGCACTGCCAGTAGACTGGTTTTGTTGTTGCTGTGGCTGGATAACAGCTGCCAGCCCTGAAGTGTTCGCAGCAGTCTGCAATATGTTTAATGGTTGCATAAAGGGAGTTATAATTGGCGTAGTGCTGTCCTGGTTAAAGGCTGGGGCACAGCTTTTAGTAGTGATCTTTGCCTCTGGTTTCTTTTTCTTTGGTTTCGGATTGTTCTTCCACCATTTTTTCAGACCATGTTCAGGGGGCTCTCTATTTCCTCCTAAAAAGAGAAAACAGCTTCAATTTCAATTTGAAATCATATTGTTTTTTGTATGCTGTCTTTTATTAAAAGTGACAAGAGACAAAGGATTAAACATATGTTGCCAAAAAGCTGTAAAAGAAGGTATGTTGGCAGAAAACAATTAACGCATGACCTTGAACATCGTCCATTTCATCTCGACACAGATAACATACCTGTCTTTTTCATTTGATCATTAACTTTCCCTATGGTCGTCAAACTGCGACCTGTAACCCATGAAACAAACTTGTGACAATTCGTTCTACTTCCGCCAGATGGAGTTAACATTTCTGCGATCACCCGCCTCGCTTCGGCTTGGCCTTTTGTCGACCTGTCACGCCATTCTTGTAGTAACGTCTGGTGGGTGTATGCCATCTATGAAAAACGTTTTAGAAAATCTATAGATGGAACTTTTATGAAGTTCATTGGACCTCCTTTTTTGTTTCTTTGAAAATGGATTCTTAACAAAGACAGTTTTTTACGGTATGCAACGAAACATTGAAAACTAGCTGATTTTTAGCATATTAATATTCTACCGTAAATATCATCCTATTAGCTAGAAGATTTATCCAACATTTGGATTTATCAAACGTTTTATAAGATAGGAATACGTCTCCGAGGGTATATGGCACGAAAACTCTTTAGAGTTATTTTGTCTGTCAGCACTTGTTAAACTACTTACGGTGTAACTTTCAACAATCTAATTCTATCTTGTTATCTTGCTATATAATCCTATAATAAATTATTCTGTTCTTGATAATTAGCATCTTAATATTTATACAAACTTGTAGTTAATTGCTGAAAATCTATTTGAAATGAAATGAAATGAAATAATGCTGGTGATAATCCACACAAAAAACCAAAGAAATACTGCGAAATATGGAATAAATTTTATCTAAAAAACGCTTTGCAAAATGAAAAATAGATACTCTAAACTAATTGAAGCAGGATAGAATCAGATACACACCCGTACACAGTTATCCACACAACACTGTTCTTTAGGCAGATCTTCGATAGAGCTCAGTTTTCCAAGGGCAATTTTACCCTTTTGCCTCACGACACGACACGATTGCTGTTGGGATTAATGGAGATTTTCCGTAGTAAATATTTGAAACACATCAATAATTCTAAGCTCGATGCAATTTTTTTCAGAATGAGATAAATCACGAAACGGTAGAATTACTAGTTAACTTATTGTAAACTTATTGAATGGCGGGTTTAAAACTTTAAAGACCTCAAAATTATGATATTAAACAAATCACATTTAATAAAGATATAAACAAAACAAAAATTGGCTTTTCGTTCATATTTTTACCCCTTAAAAGAAATTTTAACGGGGGATGGGATGATCTCGATATCAGGAAGAATTAACCAAAACTTGATTAGGCGGAACCTTGAAGTCGACTAGATAGCATTTTCAACAAAGTTAGGCGATGAAAAAAAGAGGTACTAGCTTTGCTTATTTTTTTAATATCAAGAGATTTTTTAATACTCAAATTATCACGTAATCTACCGCCACATCTTTGTAGAAAACTAATTTTGGCTCTGAAAACAACGCGCTATCTTATCATGTTCGTCGGGAAATATTACTGCCTATCGTTATTTGAACACCTTACTTGGAGTAAGTAAATTTAATTTCAAATGAATGAGTCATCAATCACGTCAGCTGCAAGAACTTTCCCAGTTTGGTCAGAACTTGGCAATGAAGAGACTAGAAAATACTTACATCCGGATCTGTCTTCAGCCTTTTGTGTAAAAAGTTGTTGGAATAAAGAAGAACTCTTTTAGTTCCTGTTTCGCAAAATCCATACTTCACTTTTAGTCTAGAACGCTGATCAAGAACAAAGCTCTCGAATTGCTTTGATTTCTTCTGCCCATTTCCAAGGCCAACGGTACTTCTTGAAAAAAGTGAAGAAAAATTACATAAATAAATAACACAATCTTAGAAAATATTCGCAAAGGCGAGTTATGATAAATGCGAGGATCATTTAAAACGCAGCAAATCTTTCATATGTTTAAAACATGGATTGGACAAATTGTTACTTTTTTGGGAGCATCGTTCCTGAATTTATGGTCAGACTGTTTGTTTGTTCAGCCTTGGTCAATAGAACAAGGTTTCTTCTATTGTCTATGGTTCAGCCTTATCCGCCATCTTGCATGCAAATAATCATTTATGAAGCCAGACACAACTGTAAAAACATTGCTCATCAAAAGCAATGAAAAACGCAAGAAAACCTGCAGCAGCATTTGCTGAAAAAGTCAACCTAATAAATTTTTACAGCTCCTCAAAAGTCGATATTTTCAAGAGTGCAGCCTTACGAAATTTCTTTGAAAAGACATACGGCCTAACATTAGACGAGACATGAAATAAACAAAAAAATCATAAGACCAAACCAAACACAAAGACAATAGACCAGACACAAGACCAAATTGACGATTTGTAAAAGACAAAACACAGAAACATACACAAGAAAAGAGAAAAGCTAGCCTTATATCAGACAACGGATCAGACACCAGACCTGATATACGACCTGACATAGGCCAGAAATAAGGCAAAATTTGAGACCTGACAAAGCATCAGACATAAGCCAAGACATACAACCTGCAAAAAGGCCCGAAATAAGCCAAAACCTAAGATCAGACAACGGGTCAGACATCAGACCTGATATACGACCTGACATAGGCCAGAAATAAGGCAAAATTTGAGACCTGACAAAGCATCAGAGATAAGCCAAGACATACAACCTGCAAAAAGGCCCGAAATAAGCCAAAACCTAAGATCAGACAACGGGTCAGACATCAGACCTGATATACGACCTGACATAGGCCAGAAATAAGGCAAAATTTGAGACCTGACAAAGCATCAGACATAAGCCAAAACATACAACCTGCAAAAAGGCCAGAAACAAGCCAAAACCTAAGATCAGACAACGGGTCAGACATAAGACCCGACACATGACCTGACATAGGCCACAAACATGTGAGACCTGACAAAAAAAGGACATAAGCCAAGACATACAATTTGCAAAAAAGCCAGAAATATGCCCAGGTTGTTTGGTGTAAACAGGACATTGACTCATCTTTGATAAACAAACATAAACAGATTTCATCTTAACAGTTCGACAAAATTACCTCTTCGATCTCTTTCTTTGCCTCTTTTGCAGATTAGAAGACTCGTTTTCGTTGCTATCTACATGGCCATTGGTGACATTCTCGTTTACACAGATCTTCATAGATTTATATTCCCTCGCTTTCAATGTAACTTCTAGCAAATCTTTGGCACGACCCAGCGATTCATCAGTTTCGCTAGAACAAACATTGAAAAGATGAATCCATCATCAGATTAATGCACTTTTACAATTTAAAAGACTTGAAACTGGAAGTATAAGTGAGTATAAGACAAGTATAAGACAAGGCATGTCTCCCTATCCCCAGCAAAAGGCGATTTCTCAAAGGATCAACATCTGTAAAATTACTTGAAAGGGACAAGGCTATTCTCCCAAATTATCTTTAGAAATTTCTAAAACCATTTGCAGTCAAACTAACAATAGTCAAATTCGCACACGTTGGACTCGCACAGGTTGCATATTTCATATCTTCGTTTTCATCACATGAGTTGGATGTTTGCCTAAATTGGTCCTTCTTAGAACTCTGTTATGAAAATGGATTCACAAAATTCTGACATTTGCGAAAAAATCAAGATGTTTCATATTCTCACCTCTAAAGCCCCCTCTCGAAGAACACATCCATGAATATTTTTGGAAAATCTAAAGATTACTACAGTACCGAATTGTAAGAAAAGAAAGGGCAGAAATCTGCTAGACTAAAAATACATACCATCACCTATAAATTTCTGAATGCAACCGCAAGGTTTTTTGGTGAAATATGTACAGTACAATCGACGAGCTAGAAATCAGAAGGATTTGTATACTCAAAGGCTGTATGACGGATGTTTTAAAAACATACAAGGAGCAGCATAGGGAACTTTCTAAGACGTTGACAAATCAACAGTGTATGTAGCCACATTATGCCTCTCGATACTAGATATTTGCGACAAAAATGTAAGATAATAGATGTAAACAACAACAAAAAAGACCAATTAATTTGCTCGCAATATTTTCCATTACTACTTTCCAGGGTAACCTAGCGATGAACGAGCCTTGAAATTTCAGATTTGGTCGAAATGTTTGAAATTGGTCCAAAACAGAGTTTACGCCGAGCATTTTTTGGTCCGCAGTAGTGGCCTTTTGTGGCGACTGTCTACAGTTTTTTGGTATACCTCATTGGTCAGGGCTAGGGGGTTTGTCTGCCGTATTAACCAACAAAAGTTTTTTAACATTTCGAGCAAAATTATGTGTAGATCTTATATTTTAACAGCTAAATAAAAGCAACAAAAATAACAAGGGATGCTTTAGCTAACTTCAATCTTAGGACTATTTTTGATCCAAGGTCAATTCTTCTGTGCTACAATCCTTAGCATTCTTGAGTGCTTGGCAAATGAAAAGGGAACTTTTAAAATACAAAAACTGTAAAAATTCACCATCTAATCGCATAAGTTTTATACAAAGCAACAGAATTTTAATAATTATAATAATAATAAGAGGAATATTTATACCGGGTAAAACCTTGTCAGTACTACGGGTATTGTTATCAATAAGGGCCATGTTTGAAAGAAAAAAATGTAACTCATTAAAATACAAAATACAAGTAAAAGCCTTGTCTTTCAATATTTCTTCTTAAAAAATCCTAAAAACTCTTAAAAATCGTAGTTATGAAAAAATACGACTCTAATCTTTTAAGATGTTCTTTAAGTCTATCCTTAAAAACAACAAATGGAGTCTAAACTTCGAATGTCGATTGGTAGTTCGTTAAAGCAAGATGGGCCTTGGAACCAGAAGGACCTTTTGCAGCTAACGTTCTGACCCTTTGAATGCGTAATGTAGATTTATTGCTTCTTGTACCATAATTGTGGTTAACTTGTACCATAATTATCAACTTGTTTGTCAACAATAATTATGCATAAAATGATACTTCTTATTGTGATGGTTACAAAAAACAACTGATCTTGAAAAACCTGAGGAACAAACCTTCTTCATTGTCTAGCTCTTTTACTAGATTTTCAGCATATTTTTTCCCTTCATCAAAGTATTTCTGCTTCTCCTCAAGAGATGGTTGTGCAATACTTTTTTTTGCTTTTTTTGTTCTATTGAAAGCGAGCCCTGAAAGGATAATAACAGCAGAATAAAAAATGGCCTGACACAACAAGGTGATAAATCTCAACAAGCAAGGTCTTAACAGCCATTGAAAATGAAAATAGTAATTATAAATATATAACACAATACAAGCAAATAATCTTGAATTACAATCTACTGCATATAGGCATGCATGTGGACTTACCGATGTTTTGAGAACTTCAGAACAAGAGTGATAAAAGAAATGTCAGAGTTGGAAAGAAATTGCAATGGAAGAGGAATGGTGGAGTAGATTTTATTTCCTCAATGGTCATGCATTAAAATATCAAAAAGGTTCATTGATTGGGAAATGGGATGGTTTTATGGAAAATTTCATTTGATTCCTACTTCCAATTCATTTCACTATTGGAGATCCAGTTCTTCCCCTGTTGCTTCAAGTATGGGTTGGATGATTTGAATACTATGTTCAAACATTGCAGGAAAGGCTCGATGCCTTTTTGTTGAAAATGTACCTCAATAAAAACTTAATCTAATCATATCCGACATGCTTGAAAGTCCATTTCACTTGTTTCAAGATATTTTGGTAAATCTTTGACTTGAAGCACTCTCATCATTTATGCATCTCTTTGTATTTATCCCCAAAATAACATACCGTAAATCCTCGAATTAGCCCCCTGTGGGCTTATTTATTTTTGATATTTTTGGATGGGGGCTTATTCGGGGGGGGGCTTATACGAGGGTGAGGGCTTATAAAATTATTATAGACATAAAGAAGACATCATTAAAATACCTTGCTTATTTTTATAGGAATTTCTTTATGAATATTTAATTAATTACTACCAAAAGTATGAATTTGTTGTGGTAATTCAATATAACGCCATAGGCAACCTCAGCTGGCAAAAATCATCAAATTGAGGGGTCTAATTCGAGAATTTACTATGGCAGTGGGGGCTTATTCGAGGGGGGCTTATTGACAATTTGTAGTTCTAGGGTGGGGGCTTATTCGAGGGGGGGCTTTATCGAGGAGGGGGGCGGTCAATTTGAAGATTTACGATACAATCAATCACAGATAAGTGGTGTCTTCTCATTTTCTGTATATAGCCTTTGGCAACATTTAGTTAGTAAATTCATCAATATGCAATTGTCATGCAACAATATTTCTTACTGGCTCTGGGTTTTTGCACATTAAATAAGACAATAAAAATGATGTCACTCAGTAAGCAATGTTTATGCAGTACCAAAATCCTCAAGTTTCTATAAACTTTACCTAGATTCGTTTTCAATTATATTTGGGATAACACTCTTTCTCATAAACCACCAATCACAAAAATTTAGCAGTGCTTTGCATACTGCCAACATTTTGTTGCACTTCTTTTCAGGTTGTAAAATACAATTCGTAGAAAATGAAAGCAAGCTAAAAGCAAACTGTACAGTAGGATAGAAAACAAGATTTTTCAATAGGATATAGGTAAATATAAGTTATAAAACATGTCAGGAAAAAAGCAACTTACCACAAGCATTGCACAAACTTAAAATCTTTTTTGTCTCTGGATCCAATTTATGCCTTGGGCTAGGCAGAACTTTACTCTTTTTTACCTTGTTACCTCTAACCATTGGGTTGGTAATGAATGGACTGCCACATTTATCACACTTAAAATTTTTGGTCTTTTCCTCCCTTGGTAATGGTCCAATATCCGAAATATTTGCATTCTGTCTTGATCTCTCTTGAATTGGAGATTCATTATCATTTTTGGGATTTGAAGAAATCTTCTTTTTCTTCTTACAGTTTATAATTGGAACATCAGTTGTAACCCTTTTTCTAATTGTTTCATTTCTCTAAAGAGAGGAAACAATCTTAAAATTAACTTCAATGCAATTTTTATACAGTTAAAAAGAAAGGATGAATATTCTTTAACAGACGAAAACATTTCCATGTAATATGTGTTATTCCTTCTATGTATATACGCATGAACATATGCCAAGAAAAAATGCTTCTAATGTTGCAGTATGATTTGTTTCTACCAACAAATAGAAAGTTTAGAAATGGCTGATGAAAAGGGTAGTGTCATAGGTAACAAAAGCTGAAACTTACCACACGTTTACTGTTAATGTTGTTCCTAACTGAAAGTTTTGGCCCACCCTCTGTAATGCCTTTACTTTTGTCATTCTCAGCTGGATTTTTATCTACATCCGAAACTTCAATATTATCTGCAAAAAACAAAAAATTGACTGGATCTTTCAAACAAATTAACAAAAAAAATAATAAAACAAAATTTAGAAAAATGTTAGGGTATTTGAAAAAGCACATGGCTACTAAGGGCTATTTTTGATAAAGATACATAAAGAGCCCTAAGAGAATGGGATATTGAGTGGCCAGTGTAAAAACCAAACTTTACACAAAATAGTAATTTAAAGAGTTCAAGAAATGCTTAGAAAAGTTGCGTATTACAATTTCTTAATATTTGCTAAAGACAGATAGCAAACATTTTTAGTCATACTTAATTAAGCTTTTCATCTATCACTCGTCAGAAAATAAAATGTCAGAACATAGATCAATAGAAAATATATGTATGCCTAGTTGTAGACCAAAATAGGCCAATCTAAAATGTGAGCACATGACTATTGAGGTAGCTCCATCAGTGCTGTTTAACCACAGTGGTGGCCCGCGAACTTTAATGTTGTGTTGTTTTGAGATTCTATCGACTTGTTCACTGCTAAACATACAACTAACTTAACTCTATGTGCGCGTGATAAAAAGTTCTACCTCAGCGATCATTAGAACTTTCTAGAAGCTTCTAATTAGCTAACAATAGAGCAGCAAGCAATCTACTCTAACTACGCGTCCTACACTAGCTACTAATTACGAAGGTCATTAGTTTACTTACAAAATCAGCAATTACGTAACTGTTGAGTGCACGTTCCCAACATGTTGGGAGGGCAGAATGGTGATATTTGCAACACACATGCACAATATTCTTGTTTCCAAAAATACTAGCAGCACGTCTTGATTGAGCAGCAGAGCATTCAATGGAAAGTAAAGTAACCATTCACAGTTTCCTTAATAGAACCAGACTAGGTCTTCGATAAAAAATTTAAAAATTGGCTGCCTTATTTTGAAATTCATAGTTATGCAAATTTTAAAAAAATCATTTGGAAAAAGCATTACATGGCAACCACTGAGTGAAACTTGGTTGTGAACTTGGCAGAACCTTAAATCTGGATAAAGAATTATTAGGATTCAGACTGCACAAAACAAAACACTTTTTGTAATTTTACTTTAATCTTTATCTATGAATGAGGTAAACTTTAATCAAATCATTGTCTAATTTTAGCCTGGAAATTTTATGGGTTGTTTCCTCTGAAGAACAATCAGGAGATATTTTCTATAGAAACAGTTGTAAGATCAGAAATTGAAAGTTCTTTTCCTTGCAGAGATTTTGCAAAAATTTGTAAAATAATAAGAGCTTCTGAAGACATAATTAGCCTTCTATAATAATCAGTCATCATTATTTTGAAAACCTGAACAATTCCAGAGGCATTAAATTCTCAAGAAATCATTCATCAAGTTTTAGGTATTCCAAACCCCTTTTTTTCTTGATTTTTCAGTCAAGTGATTGCAAGAAAATAAAATTGTGTTGTCACTAAGAAAGTCAAATATGAACACAAAAATGAGAAGACATATGAAATGTGAATGTGGCTGGCTAACTAGAGTCAAATGTTCTGAATTTAGAGCCAACTATATTCTAGCTTTGGTTATGGTGGAAATCTTCTTCATGTATGAAATGAAAATTCAAGTATGAAACCAAGTAGAAACACAAAATTTTAACTGGCCTTAAGGAATTCTAATCATTAGCATTGAGAAATAAACAAAAAGCGGAGAAAAAATTTTTATGAAGGCACTTTTACTTCTTGTAGAATAATTTTTCCCTTCTTTTTTATAGTTTGGAAAAGGACTAATAACATTGCAATTAAAGTCCACAAAGTTTCTTATAAGGTCTGGTGCAATTGACAGCATTACTAGAGCATTTAGTCTATCCTCTGATGTTTTATTCTTTAATAATGTCTTGACTTATTTGAGAATTGAGAAACATCTCTCCATTCAAAGAAAAACATCTGGAGCAATTGCAAAACTCTGGCCGGTTATGTATCACTGCAGGCTCAGATAGATATCAGTTTTAAATCCATTCAGCTGTATTTTAAAAAACCACAGATGGAAAGCATTGCTCATACTTTGAGAAGGAGTCACTTTTAAACAAAGTAGCAGCAGTAAGGTGCTCAATTAAGTCAAATCTCTGACAGCAATTAGCAATAATAATGCAACTTCACTGAAAATTTTTGAACTTTCTGCATCAGAAGTCTCATAACATGGACTGTTGAGTATCTGAATGTGTTTTTGGAAAAAGACTAGCTATCCTTTCCCTTGAGTTATTGATGGCATGGATAAAAGCTCTTCTTTTGTTGGACAATCCTGACGCTTTTTTGGTGGCGCAAACAGTGTATCAACATGTTGTGGCTTGAGATGTTGGTATTTAACCTTTTCAGATAAATTCCTCCAATTATTCACCCTTTTGATGTATCCAAAATTTTGGTGTAGTGCCCGCAAAAAAATCAACAGTTGTCAGTACACTTTCCCTGAATTGCTACATCCCGTCAGCCAACTGTACTTTGTATAGGTCTACAATGTTGTTGTAAAGTGATAACTCGTTACTGGTGTCTTGGTGTTGAATAAAGAAAGATCTGGCCTGTCGGGACCTAAATGTTTCACCTCAAGTTTTTTCTCAAGTCATAGTCAATAAAAGGGAGGAGTTTCCAAATTTTTTATTGTCTTCATCGTCTGTTGTTGAACGTCACGGAGCACAAAAGAAAATAAACATGTAGATGTGGTTGTTGTTTCAAGCGGGAGGGCAAAAAAATTCTTGACCCAAATTCCTCAGAATGAGCCAATCAGAGGACGCGTTTCGCAAAGCTCAAGGCTCTAGTCAAGCAACTCAGAAGAGAGGCTAAGAACAAAAAGCGATGGGAACTTTTTTGTTTACACAATAGCTGTTTTTTTATGCTTATGTAGATAGATTCTGAAACCGTTGGATGGTCTATTGTGTTCCACAACTATATTCCCATTCTTCACATTGGCCTATTTTGATCCACAACTAGGTATATATATTTTCTAGTGAACTTTTTTATCTGTGTTCTGACGTTTTATTCTCTGAAATATGTCAGACAAAAAGCTTTAGTATGACTCAAAATGTTTGCCTTTTTCGAAGCCATTTTAAAATTTTGTACCAGGAAAACATTGTTTGAAGAATTTCATGAAAGAGTTTAATCTATATTGGGGGTTGGACAAATAATAATCTAATAGGAATTCTGTAGTTTTTTTGGATTTGCTAAAAGTAACATTTTAAAAATAGTTTTGTGTTAATTGATAATTCTGACAGGGTATGAGATTATTTTACCATTATCAAATTTTCAATATTGCCTGGGCTTAAAAACTTATCCTGCATGTAATTCAATTCCACAACTACAATTTAATGTTTCTTTTATGTATACATAATTATTTATTGTTTTTAGTTCATCACAACACAATTTCGGAATTGTATGCTTGCATACCTTTAGATAATCTACAAAATTTGTTAATTTCAACTAAAATAATAAGTTATAATTTGATTACCTATCGTATATTGCTGTGTGTAATATGTAAAATAGTGCCGAACAAATAAACGTTAAACGACTAATAACACTTCTTACCATGTTCTTGGTCTGCACCTGCTTCATCTTTCTCCATTTCAAGCTTTCTAGGCCAACAGGCTGTAAAATACTACAGTGAAAATTTCAAATAACACATTCAAAAGTTGGAAATCTTTTCAAAATATCCTAATACAAGTAAACGTGATTGAGAATGTTGTTGTCTTGTCTTTAGGATCAAGAATTAAGTTGAATTGTAAAGCCGCGAGGTAACACGCAGGGAAACCGCAGCAATTCCTATCGGTGGACTGGTAATGAATCTCAATTCCACACACGTTCTTTCCGAAAATCGTGTATAGGGTTCTGCTCGTCGAGTGTAAGTTTGCCAAACAATGGTTCATCACCATCGTTTTCTTCTAGTCCTTGGTGACCTCAGAAAATATTTTATACTTCTTAAAAGCTTTTACTTCCAGTGTTGTGCTTTTTGCCCTTTATTTGGTTGAAAATAAATCAATAACGTCTTGTAGGCTTTCACAAGTTTTAGGCCTACCTACCTACCTCAAATTATTTCTTTATCATAGAAGTCATTTTCTCACGTCAGAGAGAAATGTAAAGCAGGTTTGTAAGTTCTTGCTGTATTTCCAATAGTTTCTTTCCAATCTTCAAAATTTCTTCCCTGTAATTGACGCTAAAGTAAAAATTCCACATAAGCCTATTGTAGTTTTTATTGTTTAATCACTGAAACTTGAAATTAACTTTTAGAACACAGGCACAATGTCAGCCGATTTGCAATGGATGCTTATCAGGAACAATTCCTGTTTTCTTGTAAAAAGCCTTGGAATGACACTTACCAAGGTCAGTAATGGAGCCTAAATGGTTAAGTTTTTATAATGTATTGTAGGGTTTAAGTGGCTTGCTTCTTAAATTTATTACATCTTTTTGCATGTCCCAGTGTCATCAATACCTTGTTGCAGTTACTGCTATTGCTTTCTTTGTAATTTGTAGCTGGCATGCACTCATCTACAATCTCAAACAAACTGTTGAGACAAAGTGCAATTTTTGGCAATTTTCTCTTTTGTAATTTGAATCCCCCCTTTTCCCCCTAATCAACGTTGGGTTAGTAGTTCTGTCATTAGTAGTTGAAAATGCATTGAATTATGACTCAGGGGAGGGGAAAAGTTTTCAAGAGGATGTCTAAACTATTTTCGTCCAGGATTGTCAACTGACTTTGTATGAACTTGTATGAATACAATCACTTTGGTTTCTTGCAGTTATTTGTGGCACTGCTTGTTTTCTCTTTATTCTATATTTCAATTTTCTTTTTTATGTTTACAGGAACCAAACAACATAAAGAAACTGAACTGCTTTAAAGGCAATGGGCTGGTCCATTCAAAGGTTAGATTTTACAGGAAGCAATTATTTTGTATTTATGTTTTCATCATCTTCATTAATGAATCAGCATTGAAAAGACAGCAGCATTGATGTAAACAATATTTGCTTTTGCATTAGCAAACATACCAAATGAAAATGTTTTTTCAGTCCTCTTCTAAACTGCTATTTTTAAATTTGCATATTTTTAGAATTGCATTTTAAACATTCATATATGTTGTTAAATGCAAAATTGAAAAAAACTTTTACAGGCTGTGAGTGTGGAAGCAGCCGCTGATGGCAAAGGTGTGGTCCTTTCAATGAAGAGAAAGCAAGGTAATTTCTTTTACATATGACTTAACAGCACTTTGTTCTGATGAATTGGGGATCAACCAAATTCTCTTTTGGTGAATTATTTGGTAGATTTTTAAATTACCCAGGACTTATTCATTTGAAATTCAAAGAAAAAGCTCTGTATTGAACAACAACAGTGAGCAATCAACAAATATGACAATGAGGAGGGTGGCCAATGAATCTTTTTAAAATAAAATGAGCTAAAAACACAGCTAAATGAATCCTCATATTTGGCCATTCCCTTGCTGATTCATTGAAGCAAAATCCCTGTGATGCCATGAAATTGTGCGAATACTTGCAAAAGTGCCTTAAATAAAGACTGTTCAGCATACCCATTATACCACTGTTACTTTAATTGAAAATTGCTAAAACCTGCAAATGCTTTGCAAATGAATTGAATTTGACTTTCCAGGAAAGAACAAGCCTGTCAAAATGATCAAATCAACAACCATCAAGCGAGGAGGTAGACATACAGTCAAGACCATCAAGAACACATTGGGCAAAAGCCGCTACCGATCAGATCTCATGGATGTATGTATTGGCCTTTGTGATATATCTAGTAGCTAAAACAATTCTTTTTTAATTGATATTTTTGAGATCAAATACCTGCTCTATTATATAAAAGATTTATACACACCTCGCAAAGTTATATGTGGTCTGAAATATGGTAGGAATCATATTACCATTGTCCTAATACTGAAACTGGAAAAAATGCATCTAAATTGATAACTTTCAGGCAAGCAAAATTTTGTGTAAAATCTTAATTCTTCAGTTATTTCTTCATAAATAGAATGCACAAGCTTTTTGCAGATAAAAAGATTTGAACCAGGGCATAAAATACCTCGTGACAGTTTTGTTAAAAATCTCCACAACTTAGATGCTACAGCTCTCAAAGTCTAGGTCATGAAATGTTTGGTAGTTTGTTACAGCAATTTTCTGAATTTGTTATATGCATTTTTGCTTGCAACATAAAGAAGCAAACCCAGATTTTAAAATGGTTTATTTTGCATGATAAGCTGTCTCTTTTTACAAAATATTATAAAATCTGCTTTAAACTTTGATGCGCAGATTTTCCCAAGTACCCTAAATAGCTAGTTGAAGTCTCCCATTCCATGATTAATTATCATATATTGCATTCAGTTTTGGCTTATATGTTGGTATCATCTGTACACTTACTGCCCAAATGGTTTTTGTGAGAAATTCTTGACAATGGGTATAAGTGTTTTTGTACCACTCATTGAATGTTCATTTATTGCAAAGTAAGTGCAATATATATAACATTGTATGAGAACTGCTCAATGTAAAGTTTTGAAACCTTTCTCTAGGCTGCATCACGAAGAGCCTGTGCTATCATCAAAAGCCAGTCAACATCAGCTGTTGTGAAGAAGAAGAGGAGTCACAGGAAGAGAAACTAAATTGTTTTGAGAATCGAAAATCTGATGTTTCAATGTTGTAATATCTGTCTTGTCTACATCTTGAACAAGGGTAAATGTTGAATAACTTGAAGCCTCATAATTTGAAACCTCAAGTCCTGTGCTTTATCTCTCTGAATCAACAACAAAACAGGGTCTTAATTGCTCTATAGAACTTGCTTTTAAATTTGAAATTATAAACTGAAAGCACTTGCAAAATTACATATTCTGAAGTCCACAATGTCAGTACAGTTTAACCTAGTTATAACATACTTTAAGGGAACGGCAGAACCAGGGTAAGTAAAAATTGATTTAAATCAAGTTGTAAACAAACCACACTTTCAACTAAATTTTTTATAGACTACATAGTTGAAGAAGTCTGCAAAGCGTTTGTGAATATCGTTTTTCATCAAAATTTTGTTTACTGCTGCATCAACTTTGCTCAACCTCTTCAATGTCTTGCCGGCTTCAAGGAAATCTGAAAACTCGAAAAATCGTTGTGGAACTTGGATGGCACTTTAATCAATCAAAGTAATAATAAAAGTATATCAAACAATCGCAAAGATGGGTGGTAGATTTTTAACAAAGAGACACGCAAAGTACCTTATATGCTATGGAATTGGTTTAGAATGGTGGAAGAAGAAGTACACTATAACTGAAAGTACTTTATAAGCAGGGTACTTTCTTAATGTTAAGTAGGGACCTTTTGCCGTGACCAATCACACCATTACGTTATACCCAGAAGTACGTTATAACCAAAGATTATCTTTGTTATAACTGAGTACGGTGTAACGGGCTTATACTGTATAGGGACTGCCTATTCACCAGGAAGGAGAGACTGTTATTCATGTTTGAAACAAAGTAATTAACAATAAAACATTTTCAGCTGTTTAAAGAAAGTTACTTCTTAACAAAGCATGAGCATCCTGTGATACAGGCTCACCATTCTCTGTTGACACTGCCAAATTTCTCTAGCTAAATGGAATCAAAATTCGAATCTTGAAAATATAATGGGTTTGCGGATTAACATTACCAGGACACATTCCGAGAGTTTAAAAGCAACGTCAAAAGACTCCTGCCCTTTGACAGGATGATAAATGGGGACCCAAGTGCCCTTTTAATGAAATTTCTCTTGACATTGGTCATCACTACTCTCAAAGAAATGTGTATTAAAATCTAATCCGCTTCCAACCATTTTTCCTATTCGAATTAAGAAGACTCTACGCTAAACCTGAAAACGATTTTCATCTGCCAGATACTTGTTGCAAGCTGCCTACAGCAATACGGCAAGAACAAAGGACGGCAATCACTTTCAAATGCCCTGAAGCCTGCCACGTTGCATATAGGACATACCTGCAGCCCTAGACACTGAATTTAACTAGCATTAAAAATAGATCTATCACTGATATTTACAACCCAAGGGAACAGGAACATATATTAAAACCCCATAAAGGGGGCACAGTACAGTACCCTTCACTGATAGAATTTATTTTGCTTGCAAGCCATTGCCATGGTACTGGCAACAAAAATACGGATCACAAAGCTCAAAAAGAAGGAACGTTGTAATTAGCACACAGAATAAGATGTATTAAAAATATGGCATAATCTGCATAATAAGATGTCACAAATTAAATTCAAAATCATAACAAACTGGCTAATGTTTCTGTGATAACTTGTTCACAGTTTAAACGTTTATTACTGCCGATTACATCTTGAATACTTTGTAACGCTAATTGTTCAGGGTACATTTCATGCAGACCATGTAAAGTACTAAAATCCTACTTGGACTTGTAACGGTAGATTTGGGCTGGTTTAGTAACTGCTTTGGTGGGAGATGGGATGAACTGCTTTGCAGGATGGAAACCCCCGTTCTTTAAATGAGTACAAAATTGATGCCAGTCTTCATTAGGCTTCAACCTAAGCAAGCTTTGTTTTGCACACTACTACTTGACTGTATGTAAAACATTATGTCAAAGCTGCAGTCAAATTGCATTCAACTTTCTCGTTAACTTCTCTAGCGCCTAAATACTGTGAAATTGCAGAATATTATCTAACCCGTGAGAGGCAAAGAATTTCATCAGGATTCTTCTGAAACCTGTAATGAGTTAAGGCAAAATGTCGTTCTGACGTCAATGAACGAACGAACAAATGCATTATATTACGCTGTAACAATAAGCATTATAAAGAGCTCAATAAGAAAACTCGTGTGATGTGTATACGAAATAAGAAAAGGAGATAAACAGAATGTCTGTTACTATCTGCCGAGTGAAAAACATCTGAAACTAACATCATTAATTTACGAAGAATAAAGAGCAAAGACGACTCTGGTCTGCCCTGATAATACATACGCACATTAAGCACACGAATTTTCATTAAAACAGCCAATTACACGTTAATGCTTGATTGCAGAAAATCCATTAACGACAGTTCCAAACTAGAAGCTGAGGTACCAACGATAATTTATCTCTCACAACAACGATCTTCATCATCATTTCCCTGCACTACATTCGATCCTTCTTCCACTTATAACAATTAATCTAGCGTTCTTTTACCTTTGAACTTTTGACCTTGCGACTTTTACCTTTGAACTTTTGACCTTGCGACTTTTGACTTTGCGACTTGTGACCGTGCGACTTTTGACCTCGCATCTTTTGACATTATAAACTTACTTCCATATGCAAATTTAGCTAGCATACGATTAACTACCTTAGTATCGATGCACAAAGTAAGAAACAATCAAAAATATGAACGGCATACAGTCAAATTTACACTAAATGTGCAAGATAGTCTCGATGTAATTTAACATAAGACACTGTGGCCTCATACGACTCTGTGGTCTGCTGCATCGAATTGCCTTACTGGACAGTGGCTTCAAATTTTCACATCATTTCCTCAAACGAGCTCATTATGTCACTTTGCATGTTCATGTCAACAGTTCGTGCTTGCTATAAAGAGAAGGATTATTAGGTCAGTAAGCATGTCTATAACACACTGACCCCTTGCCCAAGCCATTCCCTAAGACCTCTGCAACCCCCATCCCCCCCACCAATTTATTCAAGCGCGCTGGTTGGATAGTTGTCACATACTATATCATGCTTTTGAAATTTTATCACGTGTTGCAAACGAGTTTTGGGCCTCACATCCATTACTGAATACAACCAAATTCATCCTTTAACAAGAATTTCTATACCGTGACCTAAGACCTTACTTAATTTCTTCTGTATTTCTTCTTAAAGTACTGTCATATTTATTCCTAGAAATTGACAGGCATGTCAACCGTCCTTTTTTACTCTTCAGTGTAACAAAATGCCAATTCCTGGCTTAAAAACTATAGATGTTAGGGTGAAGTGATAAGGAAACGAAATATTTAAACCAGAATGCTAATATAACTTGCCATGGGTTAAAAACAATACACTTCTCGAGAATATAAGATATGCTAAACAAAATAACGGCAAAACAACGCAATCTCACCGCTTCACGTTTTCGCCGCTCTTGTTCTTTTCTTCTTTCGATCTCCCTCTCTCTGTTTTTCTGAGCTTCTGTTTTCGCTTGCTCTGATTTAGCAGACAGTTCTGCTTGTTGCTTTCTTGCTTTTTCAAGAGCTTCTTCCTCTTCCTTTTCCCTGTAACATAGCACAATTGCTTTAGGAACGAGTATTCAAAAAATATAGGTACATGTCTCAACTTCGATGGCCTGCCCTTGTCAATCAAACGATCAGAAATGTGAGTTAAGGTGAGGAGTAAAAGAATACACGAAGCAAAGAGTAATAGAACAGTATGAATTAGCAAAGTGGTGAGAATGGGAAGAAATGAAAGAGTGGGGAAATGAGGCGAACATGCCTAGACAGAGCCAATACAATGCTGTCATCAGTAAAACAGACACAGCGTGCAGGTGTTGAAAACAAATACAAAATTAAATGCTGCAAAATTTAGCAGCACCTATATGAATGATGCCAAGATGACAGCAAAAAGTTGCATATACATATTACGGATGTCAATCTTGTCGGGAGTGGGGGGGGGGGCGGCATCTGCAACCAATGAAACTTGTTCAAGGGTAAATGGAAAAGCTTTACAACAAAATACTGTGGCTAATGCAAAATTGATTTTTTTTTCGGAAAGAAAACAACAGTTACATTTTTCTTTCTTCAGCAAGTCTGATTCGGTCTTGCTCAGCTCGTTCCCTTTGTTGTCGCAACTGTTCTTCTTGCTGTTTCAGAGCTCTTTCCTGCAAAGAGAACAAATTCGCTACAGTAAAAAGAGACAACAGGAAAAAATGCCGAGCTCAAAACCAAGGTCTTGTTGAAAACGTAGAATGAGCGAGAAAGAAGACTATGAAATATGATTAAAAATTTCTATTTCGATAAAATACTATTAATTGTTAAATGCCAATTAAGGATAGACAGTGTTAAGATTTTGCGGCCCTTCACATTTCGCCAGCTTTGATATATCTGCTTTGAGAATAGTCTGTGACACGCTGTCCTGTTTGTAAAAGACTTTCCAAGATCGCAGGCCAAGAAACACTTCAAAACAACAAAATTTGAATACCTTTTCTTCTTTCTCCCTTGCCAATTTTTGATACTGTTCAAAGTGAGCACTGGTTGTGATTTTTGTTGTTGGTTTTGTTTGGTTTGTGCTGGCGAGACTTCCCCACGAGCTCACATGCTTCAACGGATTCTCCTAGAGAAAATCATAAGCAATGTATTTTAGCTTTTAAACATGCAGCAGTCCTTCCCTACTGTTCTCTGGCAGGTTAGCGCGGGAGCACCCTTGTTCATGATCAATGTTAAATACAACTTGCTTCTGCCAGCAGAACAATGACAACAATGCCTATATGTAATTAAGAGGCATATCCGGTCGACGAGGGTTATTCAGGTAAACTGTTCTTATAGAAAAATATCATCGTTCTTATTAATGTGAAGGGACACATTCGGGACTCAAGTTATTCTAGGCTGTAGAGAGGTGCTTTTTGCCTGGAGTTTAACTTCTATAAGCCTGCAATGAAAGGATGTTCTTAAGCGACCATTTTTTGCCTGGTGTTTGGAGTTATTAGAATTTTTGACGTATCAAAGTCGTTGCAGCCTAATTGCTAGCTTTCCTATAAATATCTCCATCAGATATTTCAAACTTGGTTTTGAAATGTTTCGAAAGCAACATATCATACCAAAGTAAAACAGTAAAATCTCAAAGTAAAAAACACTAATATATGTATATAAAATAAACACAAGAACTTGGTTTCATATAAAAGGGCTTCAAAGACCTGTTGGAAAATTCAATAAAATGTATTTGAGAAAGGTAAGACAGCTATATCAAGAAATAACACAATAATTCGTTGAACAAGTTAAACATTTCAGAAAGAAGACAGCAAAGTTGAACCGACCTTTTTGACTTGTGTTGCCTCTTGCTTATTGTCTGTCAAGAAAAATAACATAAATATATACAATGTAGGTATTAGAGAGTGTACAGTCTAGTAAAACTAAGCTAAAAGTGACGAGGAAACTCGGGGGAAATTCTAGAATTCCTAGACAGACAATGTGGAGATTTTGCACCTCCTCCGCCATGTTCAATGCCTCCTCTCCAGTTCAATGTTAATGTCGCTGCTATCAAAGTAAATACGCAATAACTTTGAATATGGGAGAGAGGGTAGATGTATGACGCGTGAAGAGGTTGTCTGAAGATATGATCAAGGTCGTAGCCTATTATTCCATAGGTAGGAGCACAGGCGAGATGCCAAATGACTACAGGACTCACCAGGTAAATCACTGGACGAATCTTTCGAAGCTAGAAGACTCCCTATATAAAAAATAAGGGGTTAACAGTGAATGAGAGCATACTTTTCAATAATAATTAGAAATAACTGCAAATTTTAACTAAAACAAAGACACCTTTAATAGTAAAATCTAGAAATTGAGCTTATAGTAGGCAAATATATCATATTTTTTGCAATCGTTTATGGAATCGTTTATTGCAATTCTTTCATTCAGCAAAAACGTTTTCTCAAGTAATAAGTTTCCTGAAAAAAACTACTTTTTCCAGCCACGATTATTATATAGTAGTTTTAGTAGTGTAGCCATTAACATTGTGTTATTTTTGGATAACTAATAAATTCAAATGATCTTGGCTATCAAAAGCTACCAAAACCTAATTCTTTACAGTCCACAAAGACGATTACAAAACTGACCTGGTTTTTTACTAGGAGCAACATTCGCTGGGATAAGCTTATCATCAGCCATTCCAAACGAAATCTTGTCTTTTGATGGTGCACTATTTAAACCTGCTGCACTATTTAAACCTGCTGCAGAAGTCACAGTCGGTGTACCAGCAGCATTCGTAGACGCGCTGCTTTTAACATTGACTTGAAACGGTGACTGCGGTGTCTTGACAGAGTCAGACTTCGAGGTCACCACTTTTGCCGTCTTAGTTGTGTCGTTCGTCGTAGATTTATTTGCAGAAGCAATAGGCGTCGCTGGCTTTAAGACGGGGGTCGCAGGTTTTGCGACTGGGGTCGTGGGTTTAGAGACTGGGGTCGCGGGTTTAGAGATTGGGGTCGGGGGTTTTGAGACTGGGGTCGGGGCCTTTCCAGTCACAGTCGTGGCCGAAGACTTTACATTTGGGACTGATGATTTTACGGTTGGAGCTGAAGATTTTACAGGTGGGGCTGGTGTCTTTGCGGCTGCATGCGACTGGTTTGCAACAGGGGGTGACAAAATTGGAGTCCCAGGTGCCGGCGTGACAGGCTGTTTAGCAACAGCATTGCTTGAGACATTCAAAACCGGCTTAGCAATGGGACTCGTTATAGATGGCGCCTTTGGAGTCAAGGAAACTGAAGGATTGGTAACCGCAGGAGAAGAAACCGACGGATTCGTTTTCTTGACGCCGGTTGATTTCACTGTAGTAACGGTTAGCTTTTGTTGCGAGGTGACTGACTTTGTAGTTTCATGTATTGCTAAGCTCTGTGGTCGACTTGACACTTTGTGTTGCTCTGGAACTGGTGGCTGTTTTGCAGTTACAATAGGCGACGGAGCAGAGATTTGACGACTGACGGCTGACGAGGCTGTTGGCTTTTTCGCTTGATCCACTGATAGTCCTCTTGATATGACGGGTGGGTTGGCGTCAATAGGCACTTGCGTCTTGGCTGAAAAAGTGATAGAATAAGTTAAACAGGATAACTGTAGGGGCTGTACATCTGGTAGCATATAATCTGAATTAAGTGTTCTGTCGAGCAGTATGGCGTTCAAAGTGTTTAGAATACAGTCTGAATAGACAGAGCTACAACCTTCAAAGTTAGAGTAGTAAATAAGTAATACCGCAACGCGACGAAAATGAACAACAACAAACACACAGAAAAATCAATAATGGCTAATACGATTGAATATACTTCCATAAAACTCTTTTATTATGACTAGGCCAGTAAACATTTCAAAATTAGGCCAGTAATAACGATTAAATATTATAAATTGGTAATTATCGCGATAAGTTTACCAAAGGCTTCTAAATTAACATACTGGCATAGAGAACCAATTACCATAACAAGCTCTAAAAAAATTAAAACTCCCTATTTCGAAAGCTAAACAATGTGCTACAAATACACTGGCACGAGCTTCTATTGAAATAATATCAATTCGGCGAATCTACTTTCTTGTTATATATTTCCAAAAAACTAGCACAAAATTCGTGAAGAGAACCCGTCTTTATGGAATTGAGAAAAACAAAGGCCAGAAAGTGGGGGAAATCTGAAAGCTTGTAGAAATTGCTTCAATGTTTTAAAGATCTTTTTACTTCCAAAGATACATTCTGTCAACTTAAATTAAGTGGCTTTTTATCGAGATAAAGTTAGTCGAATAATCTCGAAGCATTTTAAAGAAATGCTGGGACCAAAAGCGTCTCTCTTAACTCGTAGTATTGATCCCTGTATGCTCTTTTTCGAAATATTTCTTTCAATTAACATCGGAAGAACAAATGTGACAAGATAGGCAGGCAATTCTCATCTTTATTACTAATCAATTTTCTTTCTCCTACCTGCTGCCGATACCTTTGTCTTTTTCTCTGCTGTAATGCTGGCCTGGTAAATAATTATATACAATGCTTAAAACCTTTCAGAAAATATTAAAACATAAACGAGTGTACGAAAATGCCATAAACGCCTGGAAACAAAACCCAAGTGTGTTTCCTTGCAACGAAAATGATCTTGATCTGCAGATGCAGCATTGCACCATTGGCTTGGTTGTGGTTTATTCATTTTAATAAAAAAGCTTTTCTTTAATGTTTCTACGAAGTAATCGTCCGATCTAAACGAGGACGTGAATTTGCACCATATAGGTAGCTTAGACGCAACTTAGGCACAACTTCAAAAAATTCCAAAATAACTGCCATACTCCTCTTAAAATTTTACTGAAGATTAACCATAGTCCTCGAATAAGCCCCGGGCTTATTTTGCAAAAGGTATGTGGAGGCGAGGGCTTATTTGGCCGCAGCCAAAATATTGCAAAGCTGCTGTCCAGGCAATATTTCATCCCAGGGAGGGGGGCTTGATCGAGGGTGAGGGCTTATCTAACAAAAATAATTTAGGTTGGGGGCTTATTCAAGGGGGAGCCTATTCGAGGGATTTTACACAGCCAGTCAGGTATATTTTGTGCAACAGTGATAAAACGTTCGGACTGAATATTTTTTAAACAAGATTTGGAAGCTCAGGTGCAGTAGCAGCATCTGCTGAACATTTTACTTCAAGCTGAAAGTGGAGGACGCACATACTGGCAAAATATCATCGGGGAATGGGCGGAAATTCTACCTCTTTAAAGTACCAGATTCTTTTCTGTCTATATATAAGGGCTTGGCAGGCCCAGGTTGGAAATAAAAAAATGGGAAATAGAACTTGGTTATTAGGCCAGTAATTCTTTCACAACTTTATCTAAAAAATTGTTTTTTAAGTTATTTCCTCACTAAGAAAACGATGGGCTGTGTTTATTATTTTGAAGTCCCCACAGCTCGGGCCACTAGCACAGCAACGAAGTCCCCAGCGAAGCAGCATTCGAATGGCTGGCTCTCATTAGCACACTTGCCAAATGTCACAAATAGTCTGCTAGTATCAAAACTTTTCTCTACCATTAATCGTCATAAACCCGCTTTCGGGAGCCCCGAAACAACATCAAACGCTTAGGGTATACATTGAAATATTACATGTGGCTCAAACGGGAATAAAAATTTTTTGGGATGGTTTTGAATTTGAAAAAATACCGAGCGATAACACTGTTTTAACTACCAGTTGTTATGTCTCTGATTCATTCTCAACGTTCCAAAGAGTATGGAAATACAGACACCCATCTAAATATCATGCCTACAAGAAGTTTTGTCAAACTACTAAATTCTGAATAATACAAACATTTCAAATCTCTTTCAGTCTGTTTCATTCTAATTCATTATTTCTGATTAACAGATAACAACTTTTAGATTTGTTCAACACATTTTTAGATAAAAACCTAAGAGTTAAACTGATACGAAGTGCAAAATTTAGGATTCCTTGAAATCAAGCGAAAATCAAATACCTTTGAAGTACTGTTTGGTGTCTTGTGCGCCTTCACAGTAGCAACTTTACCTGCGCAAACAAAACACAAATCTTAGAAAAGGGTTTTACGGTTAAATGACTTAGTTTATGAGGTCAAAGCCTAGTTTACGCGTTACTTTATCAGATCAAGAGGCAGTCATTTTCAAACAAATTTTGTTTGCTTCTGACCGAGTTTTGTTTATCATAAAAAGGATACAACAGGCAGGGCAGAGAGGTTAGTGGTTCACGTCGAAACACAATACGTAGGATTTTACGTCATGCGTTTTTGAGATTTTGAAAGACTTATTTGAGAAATATTTGACAACAGATTCTTACAGTCGATCAGCCTAAGATGGCTGTAAGCTACGCCTTTGGCATTTTTATATAAACTGGGCTAGCCCTGTTCCAATAAAGGAATCCGCTAGGTCAAAAATAAACAAAAAAACACTTTGCAAAGCAGCAGACAAGCTCGAACAAAAGGTACCAAACAGAAACTCTCAGGTGGAGCTTTACTACCGATCATAGAATGGAATGGACAAAAACAAGACAACATTATTGCATATCCTATACATTGTCTCTTCGCCAAGACAAACAATTTACAAAATAGCTTACAGAAGCCATGTTACAGAAAAGGTGATCTACTTCATAAAAATTCACAAATAGCCTTAAACCTTTTCTAGCTTAATAATCATCTTACTACATGGTGAAATTAAAGCTAGACGTTGCCAAACAAAACAGTAAAAAATAACAGGGAAATATGTACTGTCCAAAATCGTTCCTTGATATCTATTTGCATAAGCATGACAAAACGAAACAGCTTGTTAACATTTTAATAACAAATTAGAATGTTTATTATATACATTCTCATAGGACATCCAGATTTCAATGAATCTCCACTTTCTAGTTAGAAATGGACGTACAGAAGGCTCAAGAAAATATTTACTGCTTCAGTCATGTTACTGTCCTATGCTAGTTGGGAAAAATATCAATGGCTGAGGCGATCCCCAATTTTGAGGCCAAAGAGCATGCATATTTAAACGTAACCATTGTTGAACATGCTCTTCTGACTCCGAAATAGGGGCGGGCTGACATAGGACAGATTTCTCTGTCTCCCCAAAATTTGCTGATTGAAATGCTGGGTGGGTGTGATTTCTTGAAAACTGTGCAATACCACAGTTATTGACAGAAAGAAAAGCAAGTTAAATCGACCCTACATATATATCTAAACTTGACCAAAGAAATTCAACAATGGAAAGTGTTTTTTAAAGTACTGATAATCCAAATTTCACTTAGATTTCGATCATATCCCCAATATTTAGCTGAAGAACAATCTATCACAGTGAATATCATAACTAGAGCATGACGCTTAAACAACACGTCAATCTATACAGATATTTTTGGGATAGTCGGCGCGAAATTGTATCACCTAGCAAAAACTTTAGACTAACACTTTTTTCAGTAGCTTTAACTAACACTTTCCTTGCAAATCAGTAGCTTTTGGCATACTGTTGTTTCTGTCAAAAGAAGTAATGAAGATTCTGTTCTACAAATTTTGCGTATTTGATGCAGCATATAAAAGCCGTGCACAAAACATGACACTTCTACATACGGAAATGATTTGTCATGTTTTGATTTCACATTCAAAAGTCATCATTTTCACCTCGAAATGAACCAAGCCAAATCAGTTGCAGTTTAATGATTACAAAACTTAAATAAAAAATTTCGTGTAAATTTTCACTTTGTACAGCACCACTGGGACAATTGAGCGTACAGCCTCAAAAGAGCAATGGATTTAAGCAGAAGTCTGGATGCCCTACGATATGATAGCTCTGTGCAGTACGATGAAGACTCTTTGGCCATGTTTCCAATAAATTCTTATAAAGGCGTTGTATGTCAGGTAACAGAATGAACTATATATGACCATTTTTAAGGGAGGGGACGCTTGTACCATGAATAAAAGCTGGTCCAATTGCTATCCCTATGAAAAAGGAGTGTTTCCAACCCATAAGGGGAGGAATGATCCTGTTTCACTTGCATGTTAACAATGATACAACCTCTTTAATTTCTTTGAAAGGAAGGCAGAGACAGTTAAGGTCTTTGCCTACCTGTTTCGTTATCAGAACTTTCAGAGTCTGAGCTTGATTCTGAACTTGAGCTCGAGGATGAGCTGCTAGAGTCACTGTCACTGCTGCTGCTACTTGCGCTCAGTCGGGACGATTTCGGACCAAGTTGCTGCGAATCTGCAAAGAAGCGATCACACGTTAACCACAATCAGTTCTCTTCTCTGGAGAGCGTAATTAGATTTTGAGACAGTTGGACACGATCGAGGGGATTAATAGTGTTAACTGCATACACTTGCAAATGGCGTGAAGCCACTCCGTCCAGTAATAGTCAGACACAAACCAAGTTTACAAAGAATTAATGCTGATGATACAAATATACAGAATTCCGTATGGCATGATACAAATGCTAAACTTCCCTAGCCTTGTAGCAATCGACCCATTTGCAATTGAGTATATCGACAAACCAAAAATTCCCCAAAAAAAATAATCAAACACCTCACCGAGCATAAACCAAAATTTAAATTTTTATGAGTTTTTTGCTCAAGGCTGTAGTCAAACAGAGCTTACTTATTAGAAACATATTGCTCGATATGCGATATTAGAAAGTGTTTGTAAAGTAGTTGAGACGCTCAAAGCGTAGTACAAGGCCTTTTCACAAAAAAAGCTGGGAGCCAAAAGAGTCTCCAAAGAGAAGACTGAAAAGGTTTTGGGTAAAAATGGGAATTTTAAAGAACTTGACTTCGATGTACGATTATTGAGGCTTTGTCATCCTGGGTACATAACGACTTCCACCACAAGACTGAAGGGTCAATTTTTCATGTTTTTCACCCCAATCGATGAAGAAGCTAGCAGAGAACAAAATTTTGGGCAGCAAAAGATCGGTAACGTGCATTCAAATAGTGTATTCGTGACGGAGGGCGTAAAGAAAAAAAGGATTTGAAAGAAAAATACACTTACCTCTTTTATTTGACTTCTTTTTAGGCTGCGCAGCTTGTAATTTTCCACTGACATCCTGCAGAGATGTTAAGAAGTTGACATTAAAGAGACGCATATCATTTGATAACAAATAGCCATGACAATAATGCCTTTCGTAAACACGAAAAGATGACTTGATCGGGCGGCCTAAGCTTAAATGCTACCACATTTAGAATTCAAAAATCAGGTACCAGGGAACCAAATAAAATGCATTTTGATGATGCACTCAAACACGAATGGAAGAAAGGAAAGTGGGAAATGAGAGCAAAAAAGAAACATACACAAAAATGTGCAGGAAACTTCAGCAGGTAAGTAGGAAATTTTAACTGGGTTAACAAAAGAGTTAGCAGCAGAGGGGTAAGAGCTGGGGTGCCTAGGTCCCATTTAAAAGGCCGAAAGTCATGAGACATCCCTTTTCTACTTTTTTCTATCGTTTTTGAGAAATGTTTCGAATGCAACCCCCCCCATGTACCCTTAATTTTATCACATCCCTGGTTAGCAGGAAATCTCCGAAATTGTCTTCATCACGAAGCTTTTTAATGAAATAAGTCAGTGAAAATTGATAGGCAAAAAGATCATTTAGATCACAATGAAACATTCGATTGGAAGCAAACAATTAACAATAGCAAACAGTGATCAGACTAACCTGCAGTCGTTTCTCAAGCTCTTCTTTCTTTCTAGCCTGTTCTGCTTCTCTGTCCTCCGCCGTTTTCGGTTTCTTCGCTGGAGGTTTCGACTTTTTGCGCATGCACGAGTTAACGTATTTTTCCAACTCACGCAACGTTGCCGGCTTCAGCGTTTCAAAGTCGATTTCTATTTCATCTGGATTTGTTCCTTTGAGTGTCGGCTCGCGTGTTTGTATGATATGGACAACTTTGCCGAGCTTATCGCCTAATATCATAAAAAATAAGTCCTTAGTTCAATTGCACATCTGCATTAGAAACTTCCTTGCGTGTATCAAAATGTCTAGATTCAAATAATAACGAAATATTGGGGTGGCAACTTGGGTGAGTGGGGGGGGGGGGTTGTAGTTTTGATATAACAGTTCTTATTCATATGTACAAACGTTTCTGTTGTGGGAGCTGCAGGGTGCCATATACATCGTTATTAAAAGCCGCAAACAGCCCTTCGTGAATATGTATACTGGGTATATTTGTATGGACTAGGCTTAAGCTAAGCTAAAAACTCTCAACAGATCGTGGTCAATGGAGACTTATTTTGGCATAAGAGAGCTGGAGGAGAGAAGATAGTTGAAGCGGAGAAAGTGGAGTAATAAAGTTAAGTAGCGGAGTATCGAAGAAAGGAATTAAACTGAGTCGTAATCTGCTAAATATTTTCGTTACTGCATACTTCGTTACACCTACTAATAACAAAGCAATTATTAGAGGTGTAATAAGTGCAATAGGTAGGTGGCAAGACCCTTGTCCTTTGACGAGCTATTCATACCTGGCAGTTTGTTTATATCCAAGCTGAGTTGCCTCTTCTCGTCATACGTCATTGCCCGGGCAGCAGCAACGTCGTCCTTACTCTCCTCGGCAACAACTTCCTTCTCGACAGGCCTACAAAATGACAAACATGAATCTTAGGAGAAGCTTTCAAAAATGCATTGGCCGAATTTCATTCTCAATAGAGAGAAGCTCAGTCATACATTCTCAATCGGATCCGAATGTTAAAGTTAATTTGACAAAGGCATACTTTTAAGAAACTCATTCACAAGGTTGCATCAGTAAGAGCAGTAAAGAATATACGATAAAACATTGTTGCCTTCCAAATCCGCTTCTTCAGATCTTTCACTTACAGGTTGGGACCATCTAGTGAACAAAAATACCCAAAACTCTATGCATGCAAATTGATCTACTGTATTTGATATTCTTGATATTTTTGGAAGGGGCTTATTCGTGGAGAGCTAATACGAGAGGGGGGGGGGGGTAATAATATTATTGTAGACATTCAGAAGACATTATTAAAAGACCTCGTTTTTTCTAGTAGAAATTGCTTCATGAGAATGTAATTAATTATTACCAAAAGTATGAATTTTTGTGGTAATTCAATAAAACGCCGAAGGCAACCTCAGATGGCAAAAATTATCAAATTAAGGGGTCCAATTCGAAAATTTACGGTAGCAGTTGGGGCTTATTTGAGGGCTTATTGACAATTTGGAGTTCGAGGGTGGGGCTTATTTGAGGGGTGGGGGCTTTTTCCAGGGGGCCAATTAGAGGTCATATATCAAATACGTATCTATCGGGGTTTCTTTAGGTATAGGGTCAGTTCACTAAAAACATGCTCGTTTATCTAAATTTCAAAGAAGCGATACCAAAAAATATATAGACGCAACACTTAGAATCAACAAACCATTAAGAAACCTGTAGCGAGGATGTTAACAAATGGCTTTCTTACAGAAACTACTTACTTGGGCTTTTTGGACCGCCCTGCCGCTGGTTTTTTCTTGGTCCCTTCGCTCTTTGCTGGTGACTTTGATTTCTTCTTTTCATTCTCCGACTTCCCCGATGTTTTTGATTCAATAATAGGTAAATCGTCTTTTTTCTTTGTCTGACCTTCCAACTTCTGTTTATCATTCTTTGTTAACGTTGGCTTCGATTCGTCATCAACAGATTTGCTTTTATCTTTGTGTGACTTCTCCTTGCCATCTTTGTCTCTACGTTTGTCTTTGCTGTCCTTTTTGCTTTTCTTCTTCCTCTGTTTCCGTTGTGAAGTTAGCTTTGACAGAGCATCGTGTACACGAATAAGCTGCAAAAAATAATAAATAAAGGTAAATAAAGGTATAATTTTTACGAGGTTTAACCAGTGTTCTGAAAAGGAAAAAAAGCAACACAATAGGCCCAATGAAAAATGTACCACATTAAACAGCGTTCTGAAGAGGAAAAACAGCAACTTATTGTGAAAACATATCATGAAAACTGTTTCTTTGATTGGGGAAATTAAAATGAGGAACGAGAGAAGCACGCACCTCATATTCCAACTGTAGCAATTTCTTCTTCTCTTCGTCTTCGCTGTCTGAGGATGACGAGCTTTGTTGTTCTTCCGATTCCGATTCCGACTCTGCATGTGTGTCCGCATCGTCAGTTCCTTTAGTGACCGGCTTTTGTTCCGGTTCAGGTATAGGCTCGTCTGGCATTTTTGCGAAACGGTATTCAAATACTTCCTATGATGAAATCATGTCTAATGAATTCAAAAGTTGAAAGTACTTCATTCAATTCAAGTGATGACAGAGCTTTTTTATAAAGTTACAGGGTTGAGTTAAACCAGAACTAGGGGGAGGGGGTGTAAAGGTTTTACCTACTGGAGGTGTTTTTTATCTGATCTAAATTTAATAAACTTAACTTGAATATAACAACAGATAACATTGTCTAAATACAACTTCAAAACGGTAATTCTAAAGTACAAACAAATGCCTTCTTTTTCTTCCGTCCCTTGCAAATTGAATGGTTGCTTCTTGAGCAGTGGAGCTGGGTAGCTGGATGAGCAGTGGAGGTGAGGTGGACAATTTTGGGCCTAATCTGGTGATGTGGTGGTGTTGGTATATCAGTACAAAATGTTAATCACCAGGGATTGGGAATTGAAACTCATAATGATGGATCTATCAAAAAAGCCAGAGCAACGTGAATGGGGAAACTATGAAGGACCCATGTCCCTCATTTTTACCCATTCTGCTTTCTTCTCTACGATGGCAGTTATTGTAAGACTATTGCAAAACACTATCAAAACATTTAATAAATAATGCTTTAAAACATTTACAAACATTCATAAGCTTTTGGAGAAACAAAGAGCAATCAAAGAGTATTCACACAAATCGAACGAACCTGTAATTTCCTTGCCATACCGACAACATCATGATCGGGTGGATTGTATTTGTAACAGTTTGCGAAAACTAATCTAACATCGCTGGCAAACTCCAGCACATTTTTGTATTCTCTGCTATCCATCTTTTTCTAAAACAAACAATCATATATTTTATGTCGTTTGCATCCTTTATCTAGGGGCTTCACCAGCCGAGAGCAAAGAGACTACAGCCAACACAGCATGTTACCCTCCCAGCAAAAGAAAATTCCTTTATATTCGTTGATTTAGGTAGTGTTGTTATTGTAAGAATCAATTAAACTCCCGCAAGTTTTAACCTCGAAGTGGCAAGGCCCCCTTCTCAGTGGCTTTCTAGTGCCACAGCTGATTTGCTTTCAAAAGGTAGTTCAAGCGTCTACAATGTGGGTCAAATAAGGGGTTAAGTCATGAGGTAACAAGGGTAAAATCATATTTCTTCTGATATACTTCCACGCTTAATTTGACGGGCTCAAAAAGTCAACATGGGCTGCAGGTTGGGGTAAACATATCTACACACCAGATATACGAAATGACAGCTCACACCCCCTTTGTAACTTCCCAAAATTCAATTACGACTTTCGAAAATTAATATCTTATGTAATTAACAAGAAAAAATTTTATCACACTATATATGCGAAATCCAAAACATTCATGGTTGGCGTTTCAGCACCATTGTCACAAACGGCTTATCCTGCTATCATTTTTTCTATTAGTTCTACTCATCCATCAATAGCATAAATGAGTTACAACAGCCCTTCTTTTTCACATTCAGTGATATATTCATTCCAAAGGCTTCCAGCTTAGATATTTCAACCGGGAAATATATTTTGAATGAAACCAAACAGATCGAATAGGATACAGAAGCTAACTAAAGCTCAACCAACCCTAGCAGTTCCCAGATCCATTGGGTGCTTTATTATATCGAGGTAATCGTGCAGTCCCAGCCCTTGGACGTCAACTGGCTTGTAAAAAGGCCACGCGTAGGACATATGCTTTTTAGAAAAAAGTTCCTTAAGAATTCCATTGCAGTACTTCATCTGCTCGCTGAGTTTTGATCGCTTCTTGCTTTGTTGGGGCTAAAATAAACAAATAATACCAAAAATCATTGTTTGCCACTTGGTGTGTTAAGTATTCAAAATTTTTTTAGAACAAATTGTTAAACAAATCAAGCAACTTGAAATATCAATTTCAGTGGCTGGAAACTTTCTAGAAGCTTCGTAGGAAATCTTGAATTTTTTATTTTGCTGCCAGGAAGAAAAATGTTTTTTTCAAGGCCTGAGCTCAATCCCGAAATATCAAACTAGGATCTCTAATAAGATGCCTAACAATCTTTCGTGGCGTAGCATGGAACTAGATTTTTATGTGTTTCTTTACAATAAAGGGAATGCAAAGTTTGTTTACTAAAAATTCTAAAAAAAGGATTATATTTTAAGACAAGAAATACGCTAGCATCTGAAAAAAGCAAAAAATGTATTGATTGAGTAACCATGGCGACAAACTCTGGATTTTGAATGTCTATCATGCAAAGGTTTTACAGGCACAGAATCTTACAACAGAAAGCTTTGGAAGCAAAGTTATAGGACCCCTAAATATAAATGAGTTGTGTTTAACTTAATTGAAAAATGTAAGCCCCTGTTCAGAACAACTGTCTCCAAAAGCAGGCATGACAATACCAAAACAATATATGCTTAAAAGCAAACACTTTATGTGGATGCCTAAAGTATAGTGCTGAAACTTACCTTTGCGAGATCTTCACCAGGCAAATCTTTGTTTGGCTTCTTTATACTGCGGTGAGACTCTCTTCTTGATCTTACTTTTCCAGAAAGATATGGTGCAGCAAGCTCGATTGGAGTCACTGGAGATGCAGGGATGTCATTCACTGTAGAACTTGGTGTAGTTGTGTCTGCCTTTTTCCTTTTCACCCCGGATTTAACCTTTGATTAAAAAATAATTGCTTTAACAAGCAATCAAACTTTAGCTATATAGATATGTATCTTCAGTGACATAAATTTCAAGCAATATCTCCAAGGTTATGCATGTCTATTTGTTGTATGCTCTGGAAAACAGTGGGATTTGATATTAATTGGCAGCAGCCATGAGGTTATCAGGGTTAAGTCAAGATTAGGACTGTGGCCCCACTTTATTCATCACTCACAGCAAAAGTATCCAATTCAAAAAATTTCAATTATAATCAATTATAATCTATAATAGTTGTCTCTTTCCGTAAACTTTTATAAACTTGCTAAATTATTTTTCTTTTTTGTGGAATTTGGATCCTTTAGGAGAGACTTACCTTGGTTTGCATAACAATTGGGTTTGCAGGAGTATCGGCAGACATTGGTGCAATCGTTGTGCTGGTGACTGCATTAGCGTTTACATTTGATGGACTTGTCACTTGTGCATTCGTAGACCCAACAGTTTCAGGTACTTGTGTAGTAACTGGTGCAGATACTAGGGCCGGTTGGGTTGTATCTGGTGGGCATAAGGTAAATCTATTTGTACCACAAAGGCATGAATGCTTCACATAACTATGAGCCATTAACTGATTGATCAAAGAAAACTTCAGAGTCTTCAGAGAAAACATAGACCAAACACATATCTTCAGAAAATCTATGTATGATAAATGGTTAAAAACAAGCAGTATAAATTGCTACATTGGCAAAGTACATTTTACTGTGGGGATTACAATTAAGATATATAGCATGGACAACCTTCTTCCATTACATCTTAACTCTTTTACACAAACAAGAACTTTTTGCCACAAGAACTCCTTGGAGTCTGTCCAGCAGACTGCTATCGTGACCTTTCTTTATTCACAAGAACTTTTCACACAGATTTTAAACTATGGGAGGTTCTGAAGCCAATTAGCTATTGCAACTATAACTTTACAAGACTACTTATAAAATTTCACCATATCCCAATAGAAGCATCTTGTTTGGTAAGAAGATGAGAGAAATTGAGGATGTGAATGGAAGATAATGTGCAAACAAAATATTTAGCAGCTGTACCAAATTTCTTATTCAAGCCATAAGGGTCAAGTTGTGTGTAATGATAGTTAAATATATATAGGTACTAAATAATTGCTGTAATATCACCAGCCAAGAGTTTAATGAAAAAATTACAAAATATCTTCAGTTGCTGTCAAGCATACCTGCAGCAGTAGATTTAATTTTTCCACCCCTTCGACTTCTCTTTGTAGGCGGAGCTCCATCTTGAGTGGAGGTTGCTGGTTTCAGTTGTGGGCGAGAACTTTTGGAAGGCAACTCAACTTCCTATAAAATGAAAACACAATGAAATTAGAAATAAAATATAAAACAGCCCAAAATGCATGTTTTGCCAAAGGACATATTTCTATTTAAATGGTTTAGATAAAAACAACATCATGCAAAATTTCTTATGGTTTTTCTGCCTTAATTTAAAAGATGTCCCATTGGAACTTAAAATACAATTTAAGATCTCCCTGATAAAAACGCTCATTACAGCAAAATCCTAGCTAACATTGAGGAACTGGTTGGTCAAGATGTCCAAAAATAGATATAATTTGCTTATTCTTTAATGGGAATTGATATACGCTCTTTTTTTATAAGAACCAGTAAATTTAAGTTCAGGCTGACTGTTCTTAACTTTTTTCGAAAATCTGAGGCTGGATTTTTCTTAATTTGTTCTTAAATTAAGAGGGTGTAATCAGTTTTATTGCTAGCTTTTTTGCTCCAAGGAGGTGTTCAGGCCTCATTTGTCAACAAAGTAATTGAGACAGCCTTATGTTGTTGATAAATTTGAATATTCACCGAAAAAGCACCCACATATCGCTAAAAATCCTCAATTGTGAGAAAAAACGTTGTCCAAAATTGCATTTTGCAGAAGCTCAGCCTCAGCTTGTTCTTAATTTGTTCTTAACTTTTGACCAGTTTTGAGGCTTGTGTTCTTATAAAACTGTTCTTATAAAAAAAGTGTAACTTGGCAAGGTTACCATATCTGTGCATGCTTAATATATTTAAAAGCCTTTGTAACTGTAATATTATGTAATGACAGCAATAAGGACAGCTTGATTTCTGCATTCTTAGACACAAGTCTGGTGGCATTTTACCAATTAACTCAACTTGTAGAGTCAAAAAGTTGTCCTGCAGTTATTGGCCATATACAAGGTGATGTCTAATCCAGCTGTGCATGCAGCCCATGGTGTCTTATTTCTAACAATGAGGTGGTATGAGTTCTGATGTAAAGGGGATTTGTTTTCTAGTGTCAAAAAGTTTTTGTGTAAAATTCTCTATTTAGACTCTTTTGACCACTTCTTTTCAAGTATTCTTCCCGCCAGAAGACCTCAACATACTATGTTATATCTGTCAGATTATTTGGCAACAGTCTTGCCAATAGCACGTGGTTAGATTACAAAAGCAAAAACCCACCTCAGGAGGCATGGACATAACTTTATCTTGAAAAAATTTCTGGAGTTCTTGTGCCATAAGAACAACATCCTGGGAGAATAATATCTTTTTCAAGAGAATGACATCAATTGTTAATAAGGAATTCATACACCATAGAGGGATAACCAAAGGTAACATAAGATATCACAATTTTAAGCATAGATTTATGTCATTTATAGCTTCAATTAAGCATTTCCATTGTTTGAAGGGTAATCATAATAACTTAACTGAACCTTGCACATCATCACCATTTTAGGAAGAATCACATATTAGTTATCATTCTATTAAAAGGTAAATATCTCGGCAGGGCAACCAAAAGCCAGTCTCGCTAAAATGCTTTGAAATTGCACTTTTGTCTCACTGGAAATGTTTTCCAGAAAATTTCAGAGAACATAAAACATTTCCACTTATCAATTCTGTTTGACAAAACATGACTGAAGGGTATAAGGATCTTTTAAGTTACATATTTCTTTATGCAAAGTGTTTCAAGTCAGTGTCAGAATCTGGCTCCTCTTTATCACCAAATTCTCTAAAACATTTTTATGGGCAACAATGATCTTTCTATAGACAATTTTCATCAATTATAATTTTGCCAGTCATTCAAACAGTTAAAATTATGACATCAGCATTTTATCAGTGATGAAAAAGATTTTGAAAAGAAATACACCCTTCCATTAATTTCCTGTAATGGTTTTACGAAAAAAAGGCTGCAAATAATTTTTCAAGGAACATCTTCAACCTCACTAGCTGTCAATTTTTCAATTCAACACTTCAAACTGTAAGAAATTTTCTAGATTCTGTGTTAGGCCTACTTTCAACAAATTTTAACAACAAAACTTTAATCATTTAACCTTTTCAACTGAATCTTTTGGTACTAAATGTAAACTCAACCCCTACTTCAATCTTTCTTCTTACTGGTTCTAACTGTTTGACAAAAGCAAATCCTGTCAAAGTACTGTCCCAAGGATTTTTTCGGTTATTTCTTAGCATATTAATTTAGCACTAAATTCATAAGGTAATTTTCATAGATAATTTTTGTAACAAATTCATGAATCTTTTTATATAGCTCTCTATTTTGATTGACAATTTATATTTCCGATTGAGGCTCATATGACAACACTAAAAAGTCTGGTCTTCAACATTCTTATAAACTATATAATTGAAATGCAAAAATACATCATTTGACAGAATGAGGAAAAAAATTAGGCAAAAGATAATCAAAAATATGACAACAGGACAGTAGAGTTAGAAAACTTGAATTTCACTTAAATGAAAGAATAAATAAAGAAATTGATTTATCGTACATTGTTAAACTTTTAAAAAGAACAAACTAACTGACTGATGCCCTGAAAAACTCACCTCGCCTGGTTTATTATATGTATAACAGTTTTGAAATATCCTGTTGAAATCTTCAATACATTCTTTAGCATTGTTGTACTCAAGATTTTCAAGCTTTTTCTTAATTGTTCCTAAATCCATTGGTTGTTTGATAATATCATAATAATCCTGAAATGATAGATCAAATAAAGAAATTCAAAATGGCCAAAGGGTGAAGTCATTCCAACTTATAAGAAACAACTCACAAAACACCGGATCAGGCCGGATTAGGCCCTTGCTCTAAGCAAAATGAAGGTGCTCCATAAAACAAGCTTCAAAGAAACTTAAAGGACTCTTTTTCACACCTTTAAAGAGGCTTGGACAAAAATTTTTTGAATGTGAAGAATTCAACAGTAATTTATGCTCATAAGGTTGGAGGCTCATGGTACCCAAAAATATCTTTCGTTTTTCTGTACTCACTGGAGAAGTAAAGTTTTGAGACTTTGAAAATTGGAATATATATTTTTGATATCCCACTTCTTTTCTGGTCTGCTGCCCGGAAACAGAGGGTTTTCTTTGGTAGTTTTCAGTCAGGTCTTTTTGCCCCGGCTGGTTCAATCGGAGGCTGTTGTTTCTTTTCTTTTGCTTGTAAAGGTAGATTAAGGACACAGTGAACTGTTGTATTAGAGGTGGAAGTAAAGGAAACGTCTTTGGTGTTTGTCCTCGGTATAAACGAGCAAATTTTGTTCCTATGTTATGACACGCTCAAACACTCACACCATTTCACACACCGTGGCTTTTACTGAAATCATACCCCCATATTTCTGCCCCTGTCTCGTTTGACACAAAATTTTGTTCCCACATTGTACATAACATCTACATAGACTGACCTCCATGCATTGGGAAATAACTGAATTATTTCAATTTTTGCATCAGTGCCTCTTTCAACAAAATTGCCCAGAGAGCAACCTGAGGAGGAGTGCAATAATTTCCAAAAAGAGAAGCAAAAGTGTAAACAGGATAGCACAGCATCTTCATTACTGATGAAGACTTCGGTCGAAACGTTTACATGAGAGTGTTTTTCTCGAAGATCTATATATATATATATATATAGTTTATTTTGGGGGTTTTTGAAGCAGCAAACTGGAGTTTGGTTCCGACCAAGAGTGGTTCGATACAATTGGGCAGCACCCTTTCCTCCTGTCAGCATTTGCCTTATGATTATATATATATATATAGTTTATATAGTTTATATATATATAACTGTAACTGACTACTAAATATTTAGAGTAATCTAACATAAAACTTCAATGAACATGAAAATTTACTGAAAAAATGTTTTCTTTAATTGAAAATCAATACATTGAAATATTTTTGTTATACTCTTTTCTTGATTGTAAAAAAGGTGAGGCTGAGTGTTCCTAATTTTTTTGGAAATCTGTGGCTGGATTGTTCTTAGATTAATAGGGTGAAAGCAGTGCCATTGCTAGCATTTTCACCCTAGGGAGTTGTTCAAGTCTCATTTGCCAACAGAGTGGGCGAGAAAAACTTCATTTGCCAAAAAATTTGAAAATTCACTGAAAAAGCACCACACATTGCTAAAAATCCTCATTTTTGAGATAAACGTGTTCAAAATTACATTTGACAGTAGCTCAGCCTCAGCTTGTTCTTTATTTGTTCTTTGTTCTTAATTTGAAATTTGTCCTTAGTTTAAGGCAAGTGTTCTTTTAAAATTGTTCTTATAAAAAGAGTGGCCACCAGTTGGCAACAACAACAAGCTTCACTGCACCATGTTAAAGCTTCAGCAATGAGGTCAACGATAATTTTTGCTAAAAAGAGTCTATATAAATAAACTACAAATGGCAACTGGCAGCATACTTCAGAGTATAATGAACAGTGAGGTTAAAAACTAATTATTTATGACAATTCATATTCAAAAACTTACCAAAAATTCAAATCAGCATATAGTTTTTGATAGTAATTTGACAGGTTTTGTACAAAATTTGTTCGCTACAGAAAATGTCCTGTGAATTGAGCTCATTAGGGGAAAATAAACCTTGGCTTTTTGTGATTATCTCTGTTAATCATTCCGTTTGGAAATAAACCATAGGTTTCTGCATTATCTTTTTCAAGGAAAAGGTCTAGTCAAGGAAATGATAAGGTGCGGGAGACTTGTTTTATCAATAGGACAATCGGCGTTCTGGTGCACATGAGCAAAATGCTCTAACCGATACCTCGCGTTCTTAGAAGTCACGAAATTATATCTCATAAATCATAATATACAAACCGGTAGATTCAACTTGACCACGTCCACGGGACTGTGAAATGGCCAGGCATAAGAGTGCCTCCAAACTTGTCGCATGATCGTTTTCAAAAGATACTGAAGTTGGTTTGTGTTTCGTCCTTTTTTGGCGGGTTGTGGTGGCGTGGTGCTGTTGGTTTTGTTTGTCGACATGATGGAGTTATATCGTTAGAAAATCAATTAAATAAGATCTTCTTCGTGTCATCAAACATAAAATTTCCAGTGGTTATGTTAATTTGTAGGCGAAGTCACCGGTGGTGACCTATATCAAAGTCATAGATCCATAAGGTAGAACTGAATTCCTTCGCTGTTTAGGCGGCCTTTAGTGTCGTGGTAAATTCATGTGAACTCACGCTATTTAGTAGTTACCCTTAAAAAGAAAATACAAGTTATAAACTCTAACTGCTTTTCAATTTCTGCCTTAAAGTAAGGAACAAAGTGGCTGAATATAATGACATGTTTCCTGCCTGTGATATACAAAGATGGCCTAAATAGCCCACGCCAATGAACAATTACAGACAAAGTAGTGTTATTGATGAAGTAGATAACTTCGAATTTAGAATGTAAACAGACTAAAAAGTTAACTGGCAAGAGAAGCACCTTTTCTGTATCCATTCTTAATTTCCAAGCATTCCACTCCAGAACAAGCTGCCCTTTCGAAACTAGGGTCCAACGCGTCCTATGACGCTTCAACACAATACAGAAAGGCATAAGCATTACTGAGTCGGGTTTAACCGACGCTTTTCAAACGAATTATCGAGCGGTTTGTAACGAAAAATTATGTACAAAGTGTACATACAGGTTTTGAGAATCGATTCGGCACAGATCAACATCATTCATCCGATAAAAACAAATGAAAACTTGGCTATCCGATTTTTGCTTTGCCAGGCCACTTCAAAGATGGCGGCAAAACGCAGTCTCAGTATGATCAAGAAAAAATTAAATATCTCAAGATGGCTGATCTTAAATGGGAAAATAACGCTACAATACCCTATTTGGGCGCTTCCTGTAGCATTCTCGGTTATTCGCGATATCTTTCAGGCTGCAGAACCCTGAGATTGAAAGGATTTGCACCTTTGCTTCGCTCTACAAGTCGTGGCAGTCTTCCATGGCGGAATGCGCCACTACCGTTCCCTTTCAAGACACGCAGTTGCCCCCCGCGAAGGCGGGATTGCGCAATTTACACGTAACGTGATTCAGAGATCCCGGAACATGAGTAACAAACTAACTTTCGTAAACGGTCTCACTTCGCCAAAAGGTTTTCAACAATATAAATTTTTCCTGTATGATATTCATTACAAATAAACCATACATACCGTGTCGCTATGTGTATCTGTTAAATGCCATTAGTTGAATTTTGGTTCTCCTCTAGGGTTTTACATGCCAGAATTTTATCAACTGTTTATTGGAAAAAGATAGTATTGCTAAAGGCGTAAGAGTTTTGGAGTGATACAAGAAGCTTGATCTCCGTCAGTGGCGGATCTAGACAAAAATTTGAGTGGGTTCCAATATGGGCGTGGTCCCATATTTTTCTGGCAACGCCTTTGACTTTTCCCAAAATTTCGCTGTGGTTTCGATTTCTTGCCAAACAGAAGACCTCAATAAATTCCTCTAGCTGGTTACACCAAGACATAAGCTTACTGAGTGTTGCAAGATTTGAGTGAAATTCCTGCAATAAATATTACCAATAATAAACAACACAAATTTACATATATTCACCAAGTTTGTCAAAAATGGATAACGATGGACGAAGCCTCTTATCATATATAGCAAACAAGCCCAATCATTAAAAGTGCAAATTATGACATATGAAATCATCTTATCCCATTCTCTAAAGTCTTTCATTTTATCTTAATAAAGTTCTCTCACTCTATAGATAAATATATTATGTATAGGGAGGGCTTCAAGAGTTCTATAAACTTTCCACGTCAAAGAGAAAATATCTTCGACATTCCTGAGTTCCTGCAAAGAATTCTCTACTACTAATTGCAACGAATTCTCTCGTGAACGCCACTTTACAACTATCTGAAATGGACTTTTCGCTAGATCCATGAGCAAAAAAGCGGTGATCTGTTTTCTTCGGGTTGGCTAGGCCAGTCCAGAAAAATGAGCAAATAGTTGGCGAGGCGTGTTTGGAAAGCTTTGTTGAAAATTCAAAGCACTCTTCCATACGATTATCAAATTTCATTGATCTTCAGGTGCTGGTCTCTTCCTGTTTGAGGGCTTAAAACAAGCTCTCGTCTACACTCGCAGCTTCACGTCGCCATTGTGACAACAGGAAGCATGTATGGTCAGCGGTTTAAATAAGTTCCAATGAGTTCGGGAGATGGGTTCTTTTGTTTGTAGCAAAAACAATATAAGACAACCGATTACGACAGGGCTCCTTTCTTAAAAAATACAATATGGTACAAAGGGTTGCCTTGGCTACGACAGGGTTCCTTTCTTTAGAGGAATATAATATGTTACAAAAGATAACCATGACTACGACAGGGTTCCTTTCTTTCACAAAACCATATTTAGAGAGCGGCCAAGGTTTTAGTACAAGAGGCCATTTGTCGTTGCGATTTATTCGAAAGTAAAGGAAAAACTGGTGTTATATGTCTTTGGAAAAATTGACAGGGTTCCAGTACCCTTGGAACTGCCACTGATCTCCGTTACATGATCGAAAGAACTGACTGGCTTGGAAAATGGCGGAGCTGTGAATTACAGAATATGAGAGAGAAGCTAAAAATTAGTGCCCCTATATAATTAAAATATATCGGCAACGGAATTAAAACGGGGATAGAGTGTATTACTATATCGAAGTGAAATCATTACAATGATCATTTGGCTTGATGATAATTTTGATAAATCATTTGAATTACTGAAAAACTTAATTTGTTAGGACATACAACGAAAGCCCTCGAAGAACGTATTACGCACGTTTAAACCATATTATGTTATACATATGCTTTCCATATAACATATTATGTTATATATTATGCTATAACATATTATGTTATACATATCCGGAAAAGTTATCAACTCTCCTTTGGCCAAGAAAATCTTATTTTAAATCACCCTCATTTTCAATGGGTTTTTATAAAGGGCGTGGTCAGGAGACTGGCAGTATTCAACTAGTCTTGATCTCCTCTGCTTGCAACTCTGTTTTTCCAAAACTTTTTAAACAATTGTTGCTTGTTTCCTTAGATAAGTAAAGTTGCATGCTTATATCCTTTAACAATAAAATTTAAATCATAAAAAGTTAATGCCTTTATCTCACAGTGCGAAACAGGTCTGCAAACACATTCGTATTGAAAAAACAGGAGGTTTATAAATATCATTCGAATATTTCTATCTTTGTCAAGCTGTATTTTGAAAAACAAATTGTAATTCGATATCTTCAACTTCCTCAAGTTTCTAGAACATTTGCAACCTTCCTCAATTTCTTTTTGTTTCTACAACCTTCCTCCGGCCAGTGGCCGTGGGGCCATGATGTTTTCCTGACTCTGTGATCATGATTACGGATTTCTACCTCCAGCGAGCTCTTGTTGCTAATTTCTGATATCCCCTGCTCAAACTACCAAACATCTGCCTTCCCCTGCTTCTTCTTCTATTGATTTTCTCTATTACCACAAGATTTCTAATATCTTCTTTTTCATCACATTCCCAAAGAATTCCAATTGCCTCTTACAAATAATTTTCAAAATTTCAAGTTCCCTTACTGCCCTCTTTAGCACTTCGTCGTTACTTTGGTACCATAACAATCCAAATTTTAAAAATATGTTTTAAAATTATCTACTATCTCGTAAGGATTATTTTTCTTCGCCTTTGTGCGTTCATTTCCATTTGCCGTGTAAGTCCAAAGTCCAAATAAATCATTGCCATTCTCTGTCTGACAATCAGTGACGTATTTATGGGACCCCGAGCAAATTTTGAAAAACCTTTAAAGTGCTCTTGATTTCAATCTTGTGTTTGAATTGAGTTAGGCGGCCTCATAAAATAATGAATTCCATTTTAAAAATGGAATAAAGGGCGTGGTCAGAAGAATTTTCAGCTGGCTACGCTCGCAGGGGGCCTCATATTTTGTTTTTAGCCTCATATTTCAAACTTTCGGTAACCCTGGCTGGAGCTTTCCCAAATGCAATGACTGCACTTTATTTGTTGCTCAATTACCCATACGGAGGTTCCTCTGGTTAAAAATGCTTCACCATGCTGAAAAGAGTAAAGAAAAAGGGTGAACTAAGGTCTTTAATGTCAAAATAGCGCATAGTTGCCTTATGTTTAATGGCAGCAGATTTTGATGTTCTGGAAGTTTTAAACCTCAATAAAATCATCGAAAAGTTTTCGGCATTTAAGTACAGACGAAAGACATAGGCGTCATGAACCAAGGAGCAAGAGTAGTTTTATTGGGAAATTTCTGAAATGCGAAATATATATAAGTTTATTCGCCTCTTATAGTTTTTATCTATCAAACTGTGTAGTGAATATTTACCTGGTTGGTTATGATTATGTCCATCCAAGTACTATGCACGTGACACAATTTTTTGATATATTTTAACGGGCCCCAATCAACTTTGGGCCCAGGGCCCCAATCAACTTTGGGCCCAGGGCCCCAATCAACTTTGGGCCCAGGGCCCCAATCAACTTTGGGCCCAGGGCCCCAATCAACTTTGGGCCCAGGGCCCCAATCAACTTTGGGCCCAGGGCCCCAATCAACTTTGGGCCCAGGGCCCCAATCAACTTTGGGCCCAGGGCCCCAGCAGATGTAAATGCGGCCCTGCACTTAATTTTTTTTCCATCCCTATGTACAATGTACAGTGTTAGAGAACATTAACCGAAAGGATCTCCCAGTATGGGTTTATTTTACTTATCTCACTAAAATGGGAAATTGGATTTTCCTAAGCCATCGTAATCTTGAGTTATATTTTGAAGTACTGCAGCAACGCGGAATAGGCTAGAAAAATTACTCAACAATTTGCTTGGATGGATATTCATGTAAAATATCCTCATGTAAATTTGCACCTAGGCAAACCTTATAGCAACGAAACATTTATCTTTATATTTTATAAGATAGCGAGGCTCAAGTAGAGAGGTTCAACCCAATTTCATCTAGCAAACATGACTTTTACACACTAAAGGTTTGTGGAACACTCGCAAGCTTGTATTGTACTAGTTTGTTTTGTTTCCTTCAATGTTTTCGTGATAAAGGAAAACAGTGGGAAAATTTGAACCTTCTTCTTAAGAATGATTTAGGAATAATTTCATATTTCATCACATATGGGTCAGTGTCACGAATTTTTAAGAATATTGAGGTTCAGCAGAAGTTAAGATATTCTTAATAAGTGTGTTTTCATGCAAAAAATCACAACGGCCCGGTAGCTTACTTCTCTAAAACAGTTTGCATCAGTGCATAATCGATTGGGTGGGGCTATTTCAAGAATGGATTCTATGATTATATTTGGCCCAAAAAATTTTTTTAACTTTTGTTGTTTTTTCTCTTACTAATACATGCTTTCATTTGTGACACTTTTTTGGTTGACCATCTCTAAACACATAAAGGAAACCCAACCTAACCGTTAGTGGGTGCAGGCACATTTCAAGGTATCACAAGGACTTTCACGAGGTATAAGAAGCTCGACCAAGCCTCCATAGGAACTTTTTGACGACGGGGGCTCATTTGAATCGGGAAAATTTAGCAGGAGGGCTGTTTGAGGGGCTTATCGGGGGTCGGAGCTAATGAGGATCGACGATATATCCAGACTTACAGTCATAGCTTGCCTGAGTTTCCACCCAAGCAGAACACAGCCCTAGGGGGCCTCCTGCAGGGCCTTTTGTGGCATACTGACTAGGGGGCGATTGCCCTTGCAGTCCCAGTGACTTTCTATTGTTTTGAACAATAGACTATTTTCCTCCTCTTTGTATAAAAAAAGGTTTGCCCCCGCAGCAAAATTCTCTTGGAAAAGGCTATGGCCTCCAGGGTCGAAGCCAAATTTTTAAAGAAGCACCTGGGTCGCTTATTCTGTCATTTAAAATAACCTAGTTTACTTTCAAGGAACGAATTTAAGCAACAATGATTTAGGGGTGTTATCCCACTAATTGGATTTTGGCGCCACATCCTTCTAGTCACTGGTGAATGATGGAAACGCCCATTTTGAAAATTCAAGGTTAAGAAAATAAAAGGCAGTGGTGTAACCAGGGTTGGAAGATTTGAGGGGCAAAGAGGAGAAAATCATTGCTATCAACACTCTTACGAATTTGGGAAAAAACCCAATTTTGATAAGGCGTTTGGAAAAGCTGACACCAGTCTACAACTGTCTATTTCCTTCACAATTACTCTAATGTTTGTATTCTGTATTGTGTAAGGCGAGGAAGCTCTTCGTGTAAAAACTGACTTTTCAAAGTAGCCAAAAAATAATTAACAGCATTCAAAAGTTTCAAACGAAGTCTGTTCTTCTTGGAGCAAAATTTGCAAAATCCTCGACAAGCATTTCAGGATTCATTTTTTTCAAGAATTGAAGCGCCTTAGCATTTTAGTTTCTATTTTATCGGGAACACAGAAATATTGGATGGGCGTGTCGCACCCCCTAGAACCTCCCGCAAAATCTATAAATGGGCATTATAGAACGCTATCCATAAAATGCTACTCTCTGCATATTTGAAAATCGTCAAACTACCATAGACCCGTTCTTGTGCAATTTTCTTATCTAACAAAAGTGATTTTGTTTGAATATAATATAAACCATGTGACTACAAACTTTTTTTACAAATATTGTTTCTAACTATGTAATGTTAGGACTGTGGTTGAGTGTAATAGGACTTGACAATAATATGTATCTAAAGAATTATTAGCATGTTAATTAATGTTCACTTTAGTAAATTAATTTATGTTAATTTATATTGCGTTTCGAGTCCTAATACAAGTTGCACGCTATCGCGTTCACTCCTTACCGCTTACAACTACTCATAAGTTACAACTACTTCTAACCTGGAGGGGTGGGGGGAAATTTTCCAAAGCTTTTAGTTTGTACTAGCATCGTCGATATGGAGCTAAAATTATCGAACACATGGACATAATAAACACAAAATAGAGACACGCTCGTATTCACCCAGGACATTGACTGAAATATTATCGTGAATTCCAAAATGAAAAATTTACATTAAAATCGAATAAATAAACAGAACGATTAAAAATGATTGATATAAACATTAAAGTCACAAAAATTTCGGGACGTCTATAGAATATAATTACCCCTAGAGTTAGTTACTTCAGGAACCGTGCAGTCAATACAGCAATTCGCTTTACGGTCTCGTTTTCGAATCTACTCCGATCTTCATTGTACAAATTTCGTGCTCAAAAAGGATTAACCACCTTACATTTCGTCTGGGAATAATCTTCATATTTTTCGGATTTCATGTTGGTCAAACAAAAACTTTTAAGGGATTTGACAGCAAAAATGCCACCCTCAGTTACCAATCCGGTTAAATCCACGAGTCTCGTCATAAAATCAATGTCACGTTCGCTTGCATCATGAAAACGTACATGAAGACTAGAAATATTTTGAATCTAAAGTAAAATAATTAGTACAATACGTCCAAAGAATTCTCCAAAACGTGTTCGTTAACTGAATTGGCATACTGAATGGAATAATCAAAAACAAAAAACTGTCTATTAGACTACATGGAAATATCAAATTGTGGATATTTTAATGCAACTTGAGATAAAAAGTAACTTCTAACTGTTTTTTGCAAAAATGAGAAATCGTAGTGTTTCGTTTAAACAAACGTGAGGCTTAGATTTGCTAAAATCAAAGATGAAATTTGATTTTGGTAACGGAAATTTATTCATATTTGAACCACAATAAAGAAAAATATTTGAAATATATGATTGGCTGACTAAATAAATACATTGCATTGGCTAACTGAAGAATACACAACTGAAACGAAAAATTGACACCTCAGACACTTCTTAAATCGGAGCTTCTGAAGAAGAAATAAGAATGGGCCTTGTGCCACAGTGCTTTTGGAAGCAGCAAGTATCATTTCATACTGGGATACTATGAGAAGTTATCTAACGCTATAGTATTAATGTCGAAATGAAATAGGAAACACTAAGTGGGCATCGTTTTCACGTCAATCTTTTTCGCAACAGATTGCTTGTTGCAAGGCACCCCTTCTATCAAGATATCCCTCCTATCAAGATATCCCTCCTATCAAGCGACCGTTCTTGCGGGATACCTCACATTGCAAAACACGTACTAAATTGAACGTAGCATTGTCCTTGCCTTCGATAAATTGTTGCCCCGTTTGCCTTGACTTGTTCCCAGAACCCCGTCCTTAATGTTAACGGTATGATATATCTACTAACCGGGGGTTCTTTCTTTAACTCGAAATCATATTTCTTCACTACGTAATAAAATAAAATTCAGGCTAAATGCTATACTTCATTCTAAAGTTAACATTCTGTAATCTGAGTAGCGCGATGAAACAGAGACATAATTATTTTACCTCATAATTCTTAAAAACATTTGAATTTAATACATATCTTGAACATATTTCCTATACTTTATTACAATTTCGAAAACCCAAGAAATACAATGAGAACAATTATTCTAAACGTAACTAGTTATCGCTAAATGTTTTCTTGCACTATGAATGGCGTAAAACGGCTACCATATCCATGAAATAGGTCTGTCGTGTATCGATGATTCACGAGGACTGAAGGACAGCTGGTGCACATCTTTGCACGACTAACGCACATCTTTGGTATAGATGACATCTTTCCTATAGTCAAATTGAACGTCAAAGTGCCCAATTTACCAAGAATATGTCGCGATCAGCAATCTGGTGCTCCGTCTGTTCTTCATAATCGCAATATTCCAAGTCCCCGCCATTCAAAGTCTATATAATTTCCTTGTTCCGAAACAACATCCCAATACGGTGATGAATGCAATATTGCGTTAACCACCATTTTAACTTTGCGGAGGCCAGCAGCCTTTCAACTTTAACGAACCTTTCAGTAAACTGGCCTTTCCATAACGTGACCTATCACGCAAGACCCAGCCATTTCTTCAACTGTTCGTAAACAACATATCCAATACTAACAGCAGGCGCTACCTTCATTATATTTGGAGTCAACCCTCTATATAAACCAAAAAATCCATTCTCTTTAACAATTGTTCTTAAAACTGACATCATGCCAACTTGGTTCTGCGTAGGCGATTGATTTTGTGCTAAAAAGACATTAAAAAATAAAATTACAGATTTATTTCACAGCCCAAGGGTAGGGACAATTCAGAACAAATGTTCAACTATATCAAATGCAAGCAAAAGTCAATGGAACACTAGATATGTTAATACAAAAGTGACATCTTTCAGTGGAATGACTTATTCTTAGGTGAAAAAATCTCACAGGGGAGTCGCTAAAACTTTTATAAACGGGAAGATCCTTTAGTAGTTATCATAGTTCACCCATAAGTATCAAAAACAAATTTAAGAGAACCAAACTATCAGCTAAAAAGTATGGATAAAACCCAACAATATTAAAGTACAAAACTTTGTTGTTGAGCACAAGAGACCACTAGTGACAGTAATTTAGACTGTTTCCTATAATAATCAGTTTGAACATATCTGTTTTCTTAATCCCGCGTTTGACCACTGTTATGTGTAATTTTGGACCCATGAGTATCATAAAGGTATATTGTTAAAGGAACCCAAAAGTATCGGATCACAGGGAAACTTCTTGCTTATAATTATTGGATGGACCCTCCCCCCCCCCACCACTCGAACAAATCTAGCAAAGAACAAGATGCAATTCACGGAAACGCAAATGAAGTGAACAATGCATATGACTAGTGGTTCACGTGGAAAGGTGGCGAGTTGAATAAAGTCGGAAAATCAAGGACAGAACACAGGGTAGGAAAATAGGAAAATAACAAGCCTTTAGAATGAAAGGCGTTCAAGACAAACAAGGAATTGAAAAGAACACAGACGATTCAGGATAAAAAGGGCCATGACTGAAAAACTTTGCATTTTAAACAAAACTACTTCAAAAAGATAATTAAACAACAGTTTTGACTTTTTGGCAATCGTCTCTAGCTTTTAAAACGTTAAATCTTTTTGAGGTAAGTTTTTCTTAGTAACGGCACTAGACGCCAGCATATAAAGAAAAGCTAACAGTACCAGGGGAGACTGTGATAGAAATAACTTCAGCCAATGCAAAGAAAACTACGTCCACTTGCTGTACAAATAGTATAAATACAAATGAAAAAGCTCACTACCTTGTGCCTGCAGCTTCGTCCTAATGAGCGCCAAAGGATAACTTGCTAGCTGCCCACACGTACTTGAGGCAGTTCCGCATAACAAGAGGACCAAAACACCTGGATCTGTAGACTCTTTTCCATGTCTATTTAACCAAGTGGTTTTCAGGGTCTACCGAAAAGGAGAATGGGAATGCCTTACCAAAGAGAAAGGAATTGTATGATTATACTACGTTGCTTGAAATGGTTAACATTGCACGAGTAGAGTGACTACGAGAATGTGTCAAATTAGCAAATGCTTCTTTAAAAAGCCACATTCACCAATAACAGTAGCGGCGGTCCCCCAAGTTCTCGGCAGGATCAGTTTTTTATTTCGTCTAAATTCGATGAGAAAATGTTGAGGGAGGGGTAATATTTTGGCAATGGACTTTTTGTGTTGTAATGCTATGATTTCAAACTGCCTTTACGTAACCAAAAATTAGTCGTTGGCCTTCCTTTCAGGTAAAATTGGCGTTCCATGCTGGTAAAATGGGCGTTTTCTGGTGTAAATGAGGGCGTGGCTTAAATTTTTTTGTTTATCTTAAAATCTTATTGAACTCAGTGGCAGAAAATCTCGTCGCTTAATAGACAACTTTTTTGTGTGCCCTTTTTCAGCTTCTCAAAAGATCTTCCTGGCTGGTTAGAATAACGGTTCGACTTGGAGCAATAATGCCATACTTGCTGAAATGAAGTGGCCACCACAATATCCAACGCTTTAGATTTTTTACAGAAAGTTTTAAGAGTTGTGCTTGATAGGTTAAAAACCATTATACATCAAAAGAATCATATGACGACATCTTGCTATGTCATAACTGTGAGTATCTTTATTTTGATTTCATTGGCAATAAATTATTCTAACGGCAATATTTCAGAAGTAGCAAAATAGGGAAAAATAGCTTGCAGGCACCGAGAAACTCTCTATTCAACGTATTCCAAGCCCAAAAAACTCCACATACCTACGATCAAAAACTCCACACAAGGTTCAATCCTACGATCACAAAATGGTACCCCGAGTAACCCTAAGCATTACACATCGAATCACTCGATAGAGCACTAAAACGGCCAAAATGCCAGGCAACACATACCTCGTAAATTGCTAGATCGATGCCTGCATACGGTATTATGCCAATCAAGCCGGGGGTTAGGCCCTTGTAGAAGCTTCTGATACCTTCATTAACAAAGATCGTCTTTGCAGCATGAACCATGCCGTTGTATTGGCCAGTTTTGCCAATGGCTAATCGAGTTTTCAGAACCTGTTTATAAGGTAAGATAAGACATATAAATACATATATATATATATATTTGTATATATATAGACTAAAATAAACAGACTATCATGACACAACTCTGAGTTTCATGTGTAAACAATCATCAGGTGTCTAAAAGAACACAAATTAACGGCAAGCAGGATATAACGGTGAAAACGAATAATCGAACACAATCAAACGAAGTTAATTGTGTAGAGTGAATATATATATATATTTTATGTGTATTTTTTTGCATATATTTACATATACATAAATTCTGTATTTGCGTATATGTATATATATATTTATTTTTATTAGCTTTTTCCATATATTTCTTTTCCATGCTCTAACATTCGTCCTCCTATTCCATTCGTCGAATTCCATATTCTCTTTACGGTTTTTAGTTCTTACATCGCTTTTCTATCTCACTTGATAACGGGCTATGCTCGAAACGTCGTTAATTATTTCAAAAAAAATTTTCCTGGTACAATTTACTTACATTGATCGTTATTTGAATTCATCATATTGTACCGCACGCATTTTAGTATATTTATGTTATCTTTAAGATAAGACAGTTTATATTTTGTTAAACACAATCAAGGTGAGCAGAAATAATAATTGAATTCTGAATAACTTAAAAATAACTACAATAATTTCCAAAAGCTTTTGAACACATACAGCACACTTTCATATTTTTACATAGTTACTTCCCCCTTTTCCAGGTTACCTAAAAATATTGCTAGCGCTCAATAACTTTGGTTGCTGGAGAAAATCTAACTGAAAAAGGGTGTTTAATCACCATTATTCGATTTATTTATAAGTCAGAAACTCTTATAGAAGAATTTAGCAGCTGCCTTGGAGCTGGTCAAAAGCTGACGCTGTCAAAGATTTGGATGTACATCTTAATCGATCGCAAATAATTTCGTACTGCAACAAATATTTGAAGATATCGAAATTGTGGAGAGTGTTCTCAGCCACAAATCTAAACAAGTCGAAATAGCACAAAGGTTTATCGAAATCTCCTAAAGTGCAAAAGTTGGCCACAGAACTTTTTTCATATCAAAAGCTGATAAGGTGGAGGTACAAATATAAGGTAACAAAATGCGAAAATAATGGCCACATACCTCCATTGGATATATTGTTGTTTGTGATACAACACCCGCCATAGAGCCTGACAGCAAACGCTCCCCGACGTTTAGTTTTGTCCCATCCTCTTTGAACAACTTTTTGATCTACGAAAAACAAAGTGTCAAGCTCGGAAAGGAAATTAATGCATTGCAAGGTCTTTTCAAATAGGAGAAAATGAATATATACACGATGGAGCAGGGCGAGCCCACTGAGAGGAGCGGCAAGGGGACAATTTTCTTGGCCTAAGGAACTGAGAAAGGGTCCGCACAAATGTAAAAACATCCGCGTTAGTGAAACATTTATGACAGGCTATAGGTAACTTGAAACCCCCACCCCCTTTCGATTTTCATGAGTTGGTCTGCAAAATCGTCAGATAAAATCGATGAAACGTCTGATGAAAGTAGTAATAAGAAGCACATTATCTTAGTTCTAAGTTCACTTTGAGTTTGTCAATCCATTTTGATTCTGTATGGAAAATATTATCTTAGTCTCGTTCTTAGTTCTTAGTTCTTAGTTCTTAATTCTTAGTCTCTTAGTCTCTTAGTCTCTTAGTCTCTTAGTCTCTTAGTCTCTTAGTCTCTTAGTCCCTTAGTCTCTTAGTCTCTTAATCTCTCAGTTCTTAGTTCTTAGTCTCTTAGTCTTTTAGTCTCTTAGTCTCTCAGTTCTTAGTTCTTAGTCTCTTAGTCTCTCAGTTCTTAGTTCTTAGTCTCTTAGTCTCTCAGTTCTTAGTTCTTAGTCTCTTAGTCGCTCAGTTCTTAGTTCTTAGTTCTTAGTCTCTTAGTCTTTCTCATCAATGTTCTTTTTTACTGAGTCATTTGAAACTTGTCTTCGTAATGGAACACTTATCTGTATCTTACAAATTAGGCTATAAATTAGACTAAAAATTCAAAATTTGTGCCTTACCCTTTCGTATGCCATGAACTTGATTGCTGATTCAGGTGCTATCTTCAGCACATTGACGCCATTGCCCCGCCACAGCGACTTTATTCCCCCTTCCCTGAGCATTTCTTGAAACCCTGATTTAACTCCCATGCTTGCCTTGCTACCAGCCTGTACCTGCAAACAGCCACAGATAAAAATATAATCTGTCAGTAAAGTTAGTCAAAATTACATTTGTTAAAAACAAATCCAAGTAAGAAGATATTTTATCTTAAAATGGGTTTTTAAGGAATTTAAGAAAACTTGCGATGGGCAACAATAGCAAGTGAAGTTTGAAAGGACGTTTAAAAGGTCCTAGCAACTTGACTATAAGAAATAACGACTTATATCGGGAATATAAGACATAAAGCAATACAATTTGCCAAAACTCCGAGCAGCAACAACTACTAAGTCACAAAGCGGTTTAAAAAGAGATTTTAAAAACCGTCAAATGAAAAATTAAGAATTGCTTACTTGTAATAGAACTTTCAGTCTGTCCAAAGGGGCAGTAAATGTCCTAGAAACTAAAAATAGAAGGAAAATGTCAATTTCGGTAATTTTAAATATTCATCAACAGAAACCAGACTGAACCAAGCATTAAAAGATCATCAAAATGGCATCAAAATAAAGAATTACACTGATGTATCGCTATACAAACAAATTTATTAACAATCAGATTTATCAGCTATTGCATAAACAGAAGGAGTTTGTTTACTCCCTTGGAATCCAGTGGTGATTTTTTCTATAGACATGCGGTACTAATTGGACACCGGTCATTTACTTCAGTTAACTATACCGGTCATTATCGATCCATAACTACAATCCTTGCCCAAAATAAATGGAACGCCTTCCCATTGCAGCATGCAAATAAACAAAGCAAGTCTAAAACTACCTTACCAAAGTATCAGTGCCGCTTCAAAAATTTCGACCCCCTCCCCCCGTACAATGTTGATTTATTTTCTCAATACTTTTATACAGCTTTCAGTGAAGAAATGTTTACCTTCAGGATCAAAACAACCCAATTGAACAGCATTGTAATGGGGGGTAGGGGGGGGGGGGAGGATTTTTCAAAAAAAGCTTCAGCTTTGCGCAAGTGTTCCAACAATTTTGGCAAGGATTGTAGGTGTATATTTTCAATCAGATTTATAAAAAGTACAACACTATGAACTACGATAGACGTTCCACGCATGTGTTCAGTTTTGATAAATCCAATCCAATCCAACTAGATCAATATTATTGTGCAGAAAACACTGGCTAACCAAGGTATATTATATTTGTTGACCTAAACAGCCTGTAGACAACATGATAATTAGATACTGATAAAATAATAATCAAAATACCCGCAAATTTTGTATTTTCAATCACAAATTTATGTTAGAGTAACTAATTATTCGAATTTGCAAATCAGAGGCTAGCAAGTGAAATATCACAACTGACATAGGTTTTGACAGCGATTTGTGAAAGAAGAATTTAAATAAAAACTGAACAATACTAATTTTCACCAATAGTTTTTGAAAATAGATTTTTTTTTGCAATTCAAGTATCTAGGCCGAGATGGCCCTTTAACTGCTTACAGTACTACAGCGAATTACAATTTTGCAATTACATTTTTAAGCTACGCATCAATAACAAAACAACTACGGCGAATACAAAGCTAAATTTTCAGCAAAAGCTACTAAGCTACAAAATTATTAGCTGTTAATCTAAAATGCTTGTGGGGTCGCTTGAAAATTTTGATCTTTTTTCAAAGGAATTTTTGCAGAAATTTCCTAAAAGCTTTGTTGTAATATAATCTTCTTGGCATTTATGAATGTATATATTGAAAAAAAATTTTTTATGCCTTTGCAAAAAGGCAACAAAATGACCATAAGGTGAGAAGAAGTGTTTTTAACTTCTTTACCAATAACATAATTCAAAATAACGGATAACAGAAATATACAGTAGAAGGACATTATAAAATGAATCATAACAAAGCCATAAAACATAACAAAGCCAACAAAAAAGAAGTAAATTTGAACATGAAAGGAATAAAATTAACTTATCTTATAAAAATTGTTGCGAAATAAGATACAATAAATTTAAATAACTAATTCCATAAAAAATAATATATGTCGAAAGGCTTTTTTCAACTTGCAGAAAGTCCTAAATATCCGTGTGAAGTGGCAGGTGTCATGAAACGAAATCTTAATGTCCAAATTGCAATATCCATACAGACAAATTTCGTAAGACTTCTTACCAACACCAGCGCAGGCACCAGCCACTAGCTGCCTCCACCATTTCCCAGTCACCTTCTCTTCCTCCGTAAATTCGTCTGGAATAACCATATTTTCTCCTATGTCGATATTCTATAAAATAAGACACATTTTGCAAGCCACCTGACGTATTTCTACTTAAACTAAATAATACACTGCTGTATCTGACATTAACATGCGTTTTATCATGGTGGAACGGCTTCTAGTCTCGAAACGAAACAAATATCCTTCAATTTATAATTTGCTTTACCTCAATACCATTTCAAGGGATAATTATTGCAGTCTTTGTGCCAAATGATCCTTGGCAAGAATCAAAACACGAATCTTAACCTTAAACGACAGGAGGAACTCAAGATCAACTCCGAAATATCTAAAATGGTTGTTTTTATGCACTTTAGATTGGGGAAAGACTTTAATCAAAGTTTGTAAAAAATTTGGTAAAAAAATATCTCTTTCATTAGAAAAATATTCTCAGTCCATTAATAGACTACAAATTCGAAAATGGCTCTGAAAAAACAAAACATTTATAGACATACTTAAGATTGAAATACATGCATACTGTCAGGCGAAAAGCTATGTCGAAAATTGCTGTTACTCTTAATAGATTCGTATCAGCAAGGAGATTCCTTCAAAGCAAATTCAAATCCCTCATGAAATACGTACCGCCGCTCTTTAAAATGTCTTTTAAGTCAATAAAATTGAAACAAGTGCAGAATACAAATCAACGTTTCCCGCGAAGAACAACCACCGAATAAAGCTTCGATATTTAAATTGAAAATTCTGTGTCGATTCTTATACTCTTAAATAGATATGCAATTCTGACGTCATATTAATACATCGGTGTTTAAGGCCAAAGGGAGTTACTGATTGTGACGTTTAATTACTATTGCAACCGAGACAATAAAGTACTCCGTGTAATGCGGTACTTATATTATCACAACGGAATAACCAAGCTGCTTTTTGGCTTCATTTAACGCAGCATAAGAAAGGTTAGCTCTTGTAAGCGGGTTTAAATGACTCTTCAAGAGTCGAGGTGAATCACGATAATATAAACTGCATCACGTTTGACAAAAGCTTCTTATACAAAAGCGCTCTTTTATAAGTGATCCCTAAAATCACATCCCTAAAGTCCCTTTCGCTTGTGAATGTGCTTTTCTCGGAAATAAGGGCAGATGAAATCGATTCACTGTTAGGTTCAATAAAAACAAATTAATTTTCAAAGCTTCGTTAATACTGACAAAAAACGTTACGTATCATTGCTGCCATCCATATGAAATTCAAATAACATCAAATGAAATTTAGCTAATGCAGTCTGACAAAAATAGGATTGAACCTGTCAAAATTTCAAACAATCTTCGGACTCAAATCAGCACCTTTTCCCTTACTAATGAATTTCACCTTATATTAAATATAGCAAAATTGTCACAAAATAATTGTCGAGCTGTAACATGTCTCAAAGTTCCGAAGACCTCCTTAAGCATATCTTGATATGAAAACATCTTGATGGCAATCAGTTAATAGGGTGTTGTTATGATTCATGAAAGCAATCAAAACTTTGAAAGCACAATGCAGAACATTCGTATTGCGGAACTGAGTAATACATTAAGCGTATTCACCATTTTCTTGATGAATAAAATTTAGATCTCAGATATCAACAAATTTACTATCCTTTGATACTTTCGAGGTTTAAAAACGCCAACACTTGCTTTAAACTCAACATAGCTCACGAAACAACGAATTTTATAGGTGCAAAAAATATTTAAGTAACAGAATTTTATAGGAGCAAAAAATATGTAAGTAACAAAATCTAAAAAGTACTGCGAAATCACGTTTTTTACTTTTGACCTTTTCACGTTTTACACCCATTTTCATGTTATACAATCATTCTTCATTATACACAAAAGGGGAACTACACCGAACTTTGCATTTCATCATTTTCCCGTCTGAAAATTAGCTAGCTCAATTTCAGATTTGTCTCCTTTGATACATTTGTCAAATTGAACAAGTTCTTTCATAGAAAAATTTTCATTTCAATTTTTGAAGGATGGAGGGGGAGCGGGATGATAAAAATTCTAGGTGTACGCCTCACTCTGGTTACTAAATTTGATCAATAAAATACCTTAAACATGCACATTTTATCAAAATTTTAGCAGAAAAATGAGTTCTAGCTTTTGAAACTTCCATTATTTTTAAATTCACATCCAAAACTATTAGAAAAAAGGGCGCCTGAGAAAAGCACCCAATCGCAACAAGTCGGGATAAAGCCGTTTCCGGAAGGTTAATGCAAATCGCTTTTCTGAATAACACGGGGCATGGTAATAGACTTTTGTGGGAAAGTCCCAAAGCTCCTTCCGGCTAGGCTCTCTCCGCCGAAATGATATTTCGGGGCTTTTTTGTGATCATTGAGAAATATAAGAAAATCGCCAAATTTAAATAAATGCCTAGCGCTCAGGCTGCCAGGCAAAGTTCAGGTGGCCTGACCTCACAAAATACCAGGCGTTGCGTTAAACTAGAGATCAATTTCTGGCAAAAATAAAAATGATATTCGTACTATTTGAAAGTGTTACTGACTGATCATTTCACAAGGCCTGGTTTAACCCAGCTCGAAATCGATAATGACAACTCCTTGTAAATTGAAAGACTGAACTGTCAAAGCCTATGGAGATTTTGTCGGAGTTTTGCACATTTAATGGAAACGAAAAATCAACAGTTTCATAGGCAAACTTCAAGCTACTGATAGCCATTATTTCACGGTTAGCCATTTAGCAACCAATCAGATGTTATCGAAGATTTTTTAGCATTTACTTGAAAGAACAGAGGTCAAATGAATACATGTACAAAAGAAACAGAAGGATAACAAGAAACTGTAAAGACAAGGACACTATAATGGCTTAAACAAAAGAGAACCTAGCAAACAAACTTTTTTGGGAAAGTGGAATGTATCGCAAGAGCGAGACCAAAAGACAACCAGATGGGCGATGAAATAAAATAGGCTTAATATTAAAAAAACAATAAAATGATTTTGAATTAATACGTGGATTACACGGGAGGAGCGTGGATTACAGCATAACTAAAATATGATGTAATAGTGCGGATACCAATAAAAATAAATACATATAAATAACAGAGATTCATTCCTTAGCCACTTGGGGCCTAAGAAGCTCAGTGAAATGATGCCGGTAAGGGTAATTTGGGCTAAAGGAATATAGAGAAACACAGTGGGAAAATATCTGATTGCAAGATACATAAAAATTGATTAAAAACTCATTGAAGAAAGTTTTTCGTTTATGAAATTATTGAAGAGAAGTAGTCCAAGAATCGATTCTTAGTGACGCCCTCGCTCAGTTGGCCCCATGTACTAAAGAAAGCCATAAGATTGAACGTTTTGTCTTTGGGATAATATCTGATTGCACGATAGAGAAGAACAAAAATAAAAAGTGCGTATCTTACCATAGAATGCTTCCAAAACTTAAGAATATCAGTGATATTATGAGAATGTGGGTTTAGGAAATGGTAATCACGCCACTCCTTCCATTCAACCTGTAGAGAGCCATCCGTATCCATGCTAAAACGAGAACACATCAAGTCAACTTTATAACATAATAGTATGTGAACAATTTTTGGCGGTACAGAACTTGAAAATGGCTTTGAAAAAAGCAAACATTTTACAACATATTGGCTAAAAGCTTTTCGTCTGACACTCCTCAGATTGCCTCTTTCTGGACAATGGCTATCCAGAAGACATTCAATCCACAACTGGGAATATATTTTTCATCGTGTTCTTTCGAACCCTTACTCTGACGTTTTATGCTCTGAGGAGTGTCAGACGAAAAAGCTTTTATGTTGTAAAATGTTTGCTCTTTTCAAAGCCATAATAGTATGTTTCCTTAGTAAGCAACAAAAACTTGCCTTTGGTGACATTACTACACCCTAGTAATTTTTCACAAAAGATGATTGTCACACAACACACAAAAAGAATTATACCTGCAAAAACTTAAAAAGTTTTCTAATTACCTAAATTAAATCAGTAGAAAGCTTTGCATACATGATTATGAATAAAAACCTAATGAAAAATATTGTTATAAAATAACATACAACATACACACCTCATAAAATTGTGTATATCCTAGGGAAAAGTAATTTCTTTCATATTAAGAGCCTTATCTCCAACTACTGGGCTCCAGGCTTCCTAATTTATTTTTCACTGCCTTCGCAGATGCCATTTTTACAGTTCTTGAGCTTGGTTTTGTTCACATTGAAGGCACCTTCTTCCAGAAATTACAACATAATTTACTACCAGCTGACATCATTGAAGGAACATGGGTGAAAATACAGCAGATTGAAGGCTTGGTTACAAACAAAGGCTTTAGTAAAAATATAACTAAGGAAACTTCTTTTGAAATGTCTGTGCCAGAAAGTTCTGCTCGCTTAAAGTCGCATCAAGGGATGTCTCAGCAAATATGGGAAAAGATTAACTGCTTTCTTCAAAATATCAAAAGATAATTTCTTCTTGCAAAAATCAAAGGATCTGTATCACCAAAAGCAATTATGTTTACTTACTGTTTCATTAAAGAGGCAATTTCTTCATCTTCAACTTCAACTCCTAGTCTGTGAAATGCAGCTCTTAATTCATTATTAGTCACTGTCCCTGGAATAAGTTAATATAATAGTATGAAATAAAGGGATTTCATTAATACACAAGACTTGATTCAAAGTTCTCTTATATTGGTAAGTAGATAGGCCCTTAAGAGCTGAGAGAGATCTTGGTTTTAATTGATCCAATGACAATAATAGTGAACACAAAATATTGTATACCTAACCCGGCATATATGGACAAATGTTCAGAAAAAGAAGAAACAAAAAGACTATCAAGTGCATATATCTTTTTAAATAAAAGTGCATGTAAGGAGATAACTTGTGAACAGCTCCTGATCCAGCATCAACAAAGACAAAAAAATGACAGATAATCATTTGCAATATTCATTAAATAAAAAATATTAGAATCCACCTGCAGCAACAAAGTATTTATTTCCTTTTTTCTACATTCAAAGAATGACAATAGATTGATGTTACCATTTTAAAGAAGCAGGTACTTTGTTATGAATATTTTATATGGAAATTGAATTCAAAGGATTTTCAGATCGAATATGGACTGTATGGATTTTCAGATCCAAAAGGCAACACCCAAACTGCTACTAGGCAAAAAGTGTCACTCAAAAGTATCTTAATTGCATGATAATCAGGCCTTTCCCAGAGACGCAAGCTTTTTCAAACCAGCATTCTCATTTAATCCATGCAGTTTAGCTTCCCATGTTTGAACTACTTATCGCTAAATATCAGGATGGTAGTTAATGAAGAGAAAGAGGTCTTACACATCTATGTGCTTATCACATGTTAACAAACTATATTAACTGCTAAAACTTGCAATGGAATAGCAGTCTTTGTAATATGAAAATAGGCCGCGTGCGGCATTTCGCACGCCTTGGTTACTTTGCGCGTGCGATGGCGTGCGATGCGAACCGCTTTTTATCGGTTGTTTCTCATCTCTGTTGTCAAGAACTGGGTGCTGCTTTAAGGAGACCTTTTATGTTATAAACTGAACGGAAACCAAGGTAATTGACGGAGAAACTGTTCTTGTTCTTTTTTAAAGATGTTAAATTTAATTAGTCACTTAAAGAAATCTGGATTGAAAAAAAATTATATTACCCGTAGACCCTACTCTATTACCTAAATTCTATTACCCGTGAATATCTTAGCGGATATTCATAAAAAATATCTTACCGTTAGATCGGTATTTCTTTGGAATTGAGCTAACAATCAAATGAGAAGGATTGGGTAGAGAAATGACACAAACATCGAAATGAACACACTTTCTTTGGGCACAAAAACAAGTTTAAAATAATTTAAAAATAAGTACAGTCACCGTCACTTTCTTCTTCATCAGAGCTTTCTTCAGCTTCCTCCTCCTTATCTAGCTTCGGTTTCTTCGATAAACTGTTGCAATTATCCAGCTTTCGCTTTCTGCTTTTCGAAAGATAGATCTCCGTTGCCCTTTTCAAAATATTCTCCCTTTCATCGTCAGTCCATATAATGTCATTGACTGCGATGCGAAGTCTCATCTCCATAACCCTGTATGACATTATCTGACAATAATATGCTGAGAATACTGAATGCTCTCTCTACCGATGAATTGGAGCCAGATATTGCAACCATTATCTTTGCCAGAATGCACAGGTTGGGGTACTCGTCTGCCCTGTAAGAAAGCGTATTTTTCCACAGCTTTCTTGCTTCAATCCTACAAGCATTATATTGTACGTATTTTTTGAATGACTTCCATTCCTTGAGAGCTTTCGAAACGTCAAACTTCGTCTCGCTGAGGGGGGGTTTTGAAAATAGCTGCAAAGCAGTGATCTCTGGGAACCCGTAATCCTTGTTGTCGTTCCATTACTTTTGATCAAACCACTTCATCGTACTAAATACTCCATCAGCATCATCGAAGTAGCATCATCCTTTTCCGACTTGAAACCGATAATTTCATTCTTTCCCCAACCAATGAATGTTGCCAGCTCCACTTTGTTTCTTTTCGCCATGATTACCGAAGAACAGAGTAATCAATCGAACAGTGAAAACATCTCTTGGATCGAAAATTTAAATTGCCGGGTTTTCACAGTAAGCACCAGGTATTGATTGCAGATTAATCCCCCTTGGGTCAACTGAGCGATCTTGTCGTATTAACTGTTAAGCGATCTTTTTGACGCTGTTGTTAAATCCCTTATGGGAATACTTTAACAACACCTTGGACAACGACAGAACCGACTTTGGCGACTTTGAGTTACTTTGAGTTGAGCAATTTTAAAATAATTTTGTGGCAAATTCTTTGTTTTGCGCGTGCGATGATTAGCACGCCTTGGACAATTTGCGCGTGTGTGGAGGCGTGCGCGTGCGATCGCACGCCTCATATTACAAAGACTGAATAGGAAATGTGTTCGCACGAAAGGAATAACATAAAGCGAGGTAAATGCTATTAATAATTAAAACAAGAAATGTTACACCATGCTGTCAAATACAAAAAAGTATCTTTACAAGTCACGACATAAAAACTAGGCATTCCCAAAAAGTCACATTTGACTAGCAAAACCTAACAAAATTTTGCGTTATTCTGAAAAAGCTATGTTCCTCTTTTGGCTCATTTTAAGTAGTGATAATACAAAACTTAAAGGTATTTATACACACAAAAATGCCTTCTTAAGATGAATAATTTTTAAAGAATTGGCAAGGTATAGTATTTTTGCCTTTGTAAATACTAAAATGTAAAAATATTAACAACAGTTCTGCAAGGGCTAAATAGCCCAGGCAGCCAAACTTGGAAGAGCTTTTCATAGCCTGCGTTGTATTTTTTCCCGGAGAGGCCTGAATAATGAAATGCTTGCAAGCTGAGGTTAATACATTCTATAAAAATGATTTGAGCATTCCCCTTACATATCTACTAAGGGTTTTTTATACTTTTTTAATCATGCATAAGATTGCTAATAACACAAAGAACAAATAAATAGTGAGTTTTTCATATAATACAATAATACATCATAAGGAGAAGTGCCAATGGAAGGTTCAGTTTAGGAAGGACTTAATGTTATTTGCATTTTTCAGATGTCCCATAGCAATGGAATTTTCCATGATTCTGGCAATTAGCTCAAATCTGACTCAAAGTGTCATGTATACAATCAACTTACCAGAGTTATTTGTATCTATGCTTTTAAATACAAGCCATAGCTTCTTTTCGTGGTCCATACAATATCTCAAGAATTCATCAAGAGTAAGATGGTCATCATCTGTTTTGTCTCCCAATTCAATTATTTTCTGCAACACAATGGTTAATAATTATTACATTGCAACTTGATTATAACATTTACAATTCAATGAAATGAATAAAAAACAATGTTATATCATATGCAACAAATTTGAAGCACAGCTTATTCGCTTCCAACTCAGCATCAGTTAAAAAGCAAGGCACATCTAAATCCTAAAACTATTTAATTAATGAAATATCAAATATTTAGATATTGAAAGTTGAATATTTGGATATTTTATATTTACATAATTGTGTCTCAATATCTAATACAGGGGCAGATCTATAAATTATTCTGAGGGGTGCTAAAACGCAAGGCTTGGTAACCAAGGGTGTTGCTATGCACAAACTCCGTACACCCCCTGCTAATAAGCCATAATGAAATGAAAGTCTTCCATAAACTAAAAAGCCTGGATGCCTTGATTTATATAGTAATTTTTTGCCACACTTTGATCAGAACTTGGAACGTTGGCTTCAGCTTTTATGTCAATTGAACGCAATTTGCAGCTCGCCCCCCTCATATTCACTTAGGGTACAAAAGTATAGAAACTGTAGTCAAATATTATATCATGGCCCGCAGTGGCAAAAGGCCCGAGCCCACAAATTTCCAAAGCAAAATTTAATTTTTGACTCTTTGCAGCCATTTATTAGAACTTGATCAGCTTGATCAAAAAATTAACGCGGCTGGTGGAATGAAGCTCTTGAACTTGAAAGGCAGTGCTCGTCGTTAGAGACAATAGAACAATAGAAAAAAGTCGAACAAAAGTTGAACACAGGGATTCGAACACAGCATGCATGGCATGCATCGACATATGATGCCAAACCAAACAAAGAAGGCCCTGAACGTTTCGCTATGGGCCTGCCGTTTTGAGTATTTTTATGAATTTGAAATCTTTAGAGAAAAAAGTATTCGTAGGAATATAAGTAGGAATAAAAAGGAAACCCCTTTTGGTCAAGAATAGTAAGGGCAAGTTTTTAAGATGTTTTGTATGTAGTTCTTGAATGATTAAAAAAAAGAATAACAAGGGCTCGGGCAAGCTTTATCCTCTGAATATAAATCATAACTCATGGTCTATGAATAAGACGTGAAACACGGAGTTGAACTTGAAACCGTTCTGTTATATAAACCAAAGCGTTTACAAGTTCTGCCGTTACAGCATCGAGCACCAGGTAAAGATCGTCAAAAGACCTACGAAAACATATTGCAAATTTGCGCCTAAGCATTCGTCGCGTGCTGTATCATAATTCAATACCCCCTGTTCAAGCTCGACTCCCCCTGGTCATAAAACCACTTTACATTTGACTGTAGATTGAAGCGAAGAAACTCCCCCTGGTTTGTTCGGTATTCTTTGATGATTTGGATTTTTGAAATCTATGGGTTCTCGTGCCAAAGTTTAGAACCCCTCGACCTGGCAACGTGATTGGCTAGATTCACTTTCACGGGTGCAGAAAATTGTATAATTTACAGGCCACGGGTTCCTCAAGTGGCTGGTTATAAGAGGAGACAATGCTTTCCGAGTCTGTAGAATGCTATACAGTACAACCAGGGGGAGTTTGATAACACTTCAATGCATGGACTGAAATAAAAATGTTGAGCAGTTGTGAGACGGGGCATTGAAGCGGATATAACAATTTTAGGAGATGTGCATACTTCTTGGTAAAAGAGATAATAAATGGTTTAAATAATTATAAACAAAATTGCAGTAGAATAAGCTTTAATCCCCAAAAAATTTTTTCTCAAATCTGAGGGGTGCTCGAGCCCCCTTCGCACCCTTCTGGATCCGCCCCTGTAATAGGGATGTGAAAAACTTTTCAGCTTCGTTTCTAGTTTATTCTAAATATTCTAAATAAAACTAAATGTTCTGTCTAATTGTTTTTCAAGAAACTGAATTGCTAAATAATAATTAACCCCTTACAGGATTAATGTCAAGAAGAGGGGGTAATTGGGTTTTAAGGTTAAACAGTTTTGCCCATATTTCGGCATGGTTTTTCTGTATCTGCCTTACAATCTATTGGCTCTTCAATTTTCAATATTGCCACTAGTGAACCCTTTTGGACATTATTTAGGTCAGATTCCTAGTTTGTAATGGAAAAATGTTTGGTTTTTAGATCTAAGTCTTAATATATTTGCTTGTGCCTCATACATAAAGAAAAGTGATGAGAATACTGGTGTTAGTGCAGAACAATTTGAAGAAGTGAGTGGCGCAGATGAGAATTCAGACAAGGTTGATGAATTCGATTTCAACAGTGGTGATGGGAGGGATGGGATGGGATGGGATGGGATTTCAACTATGATGAGTTGGGAAAATCAACAGACTTTCTCTTAGGTGCATGTTCCAGATATGGAATAACCTGCATATCAGAGCCACATCAATTTGATTGCAGAAATGGAACAAAAATTGTCAGCCTCATTGCTTTTGGTTAGTACTCTATTCCAGTTATATTTTTAGGTTCACATCCTAAACTCTACAACTTGCATGCTTGAAAGAAAAATCTACACATTCACTATTTTCAGTTTTAACTAATTTTTCATGCAGTTATGCAGTTTTAAGAGAAATATTGCATGGGTTAATGGTTTTGTGAAAATTTCAGGCGGTTCTATAGTTTCCAGACCCCCAGACACCCTCTCCAAGAAGATAAGAACTTTGATGATACTAAGAAAAAACCATAACATCACATTAAGTGGGAACATCGAATTCACAGCTAAAATATTTCACAAGCCTAATTCTTTCTGATGGTTTTTCAAATGAATGGAGCTAATAAATAATAATTGGCATTCATGCAATAAGTGCTGGTTTAATTCTGCTATCTCATCATTTCATATTGTAAAAAAATTCTGCTGCTGTTTCTGATTGACGTGACTGTTGAAGAATACATTATCGTTATCAGTATTTAGTTTGCATTGATCCTCTTTTAACTGGAGACTTTCTCAAACAAGAAAAACTTCAAGAAAGTTACTGGGAAGAAATAACCATAGATATTTAATATTTGCAAAATAGTCAAAATCAATTGCCAACGTAAAGACGCAACCGATGCCATGACTTTTGAGGTAATGACTTGACTTCTGTGGGAGGGAAAAGTTTTTAAAATATTGCATTGAAGTTAATGGCTTTGCTAGCAAAAGCAGTTCTTTTATTCTGTAAAATCGCTAGCTGACAGTTCAATGTGGATAGAATTTCTTAAAGCCAGTGCTAAGTATAACGTTTACATGTTACAAAAACAAGGCTTCGACATTTGGCCTAATTGATACAAACCTCAGCAGATCCGGGAATATGCTTCACTCCTAGCCGCTTAAGTCCCTCAGAAAGTTCAGTTACATCTATTTTCCCATCTTTATTTGCATCTAGCTCACTAAATAATTTTGCTATTCTTGCCCTATCAAATTTGTAGTCAGCGTAATGATCTGACTTTCCGGCTTCGGCCGCCATCTTGAACAGGCAGTGTGAAGGCTAAATAATAATAATCATAGTCTTGGAAGGAGGGATGTGTCAGATGTGTGGTCACTCAACAACAATAAAAACAAGCTCTAAAAAGAGGGCGTGGCAAGATCTCTCTCTCTCTCGCGGAAAAAAACGGAACAAGGAGAAAACAAGCGAGAGAGACTTGTCCACAAAATCAGAGGCAAAATCCCGTTTTCTGCATTAAAATTGTAAAATTCATACATGCATCACAATTGTTATTAAAAAAGCAATGGCGTAACGCACGGTGTGCCCCTTTAAACACAAAACTAAGGGCTCCAAACATTTGGGTCCTTGAGGGGCCCCCAACAAGTTTCTCGAAAGAAAGGGTTTTCGGATGAAAGCATGTTTCTTAGTAAAATTTACAGCAGCACTGAAATGACCGTAAGACTTGATATGATTTTAGAGCAACCATATAATAATGAAGTAAGATATAGCATGTCAATTAGGTTTTCCTCTAACGGACATCTATATCGTTGAATTTTGTATTTAATCAACAAGGATACCACAGATATCTAAAATCTAATTGATTTCTTCAATGAAACGGTTGAAAAATGTTTATCAATCAAATCTAATAATGTTTTCAAATGCATCGATCAATGTTCTTGTTTTCATTTCACAATGTCTTCCTATCCCAAGCGTGTTATTAAATCTGGTGCTAGCAAAAGGGCCGAAATGAAACGTATAGTCGAAGCTGCTACATCAAACACAAAGAAAATTTCGCAATTTTTTGAAAAAGCAAAGACCAAAATATACCAAGCTTAAGTCTCCCTCCGCAGAGAGAAAAGGCCGAAGACAAAGTCACGAGCCCTGTCTTTGATGAATCTTCTGAAACTCCTGAAAAGAACGACAAAAGTGCGACTCAACCTATAACTCGAATAAAATCATGCAAGCTTGATCTTTCAAAGTCTTATCTAACTGACCGGGGTAATCTTTCAGGAAAAACGCAAAGAGCGAGTACTTAATCTGCTTAACTAATATTCTTTTTGTACAAAACCTTTCCTTTTTCCTTTCCAAAAACTTCCCTTCCAAGTTGAAGCACTGGTTGGATGACCCAGCATGGTGGTCAAACGATCCAACATTTCATCCAACATGATGTTGGGAGAAATGTTGGGTTAAACATTGGATCTTTTGACCAAGGCTTTACCAATATCAGTTGTCTGATCAGTTATCAGTTGCCAGCCCCTAGGCTCCGAGGAGAACAAATTAAAAGGTTTGAGGCCACGCCCTTTTTACTGTCAGAAACCGCCCCTTTACCAACAAGGAACGCAAATTTTACACCTAGAAAAAGCTCAAGACTAGCAATTGATCTGGTCACGAAAAGGCAGTTTCAAAATCATAAGATTATATCACAAAAAATTGTCGCCAAAATATCACTCTTCCCTAATATTTTCTTGTCGAATTTAGACGAATTACGAAACTGATCCTGCCCAAAATGGGGGGGGGGGGGGCTGTCGCACGTAAGGTTGCATCAATTTAATTAGGACAGAAAAGCTTTTCAAAGTTTAATAGATCAGAAACTTTATGAGATCAGGATTTGACCCTCGATCTTTTGTAACCTACCCAACCCTATTCGTATCGGTATAGCGTCAATGATGAGATTTTTCACAAGAATTGCATTTTTGAAATTTAAAACCGAATAGAGACTAGATGGATATGGTTTCTGCAAGGGCTATTTTGCATTAGATCATATACAATTACCTCTAATATGGATAACGATTAGGAAGAAAATTAAAAACAACATTTCAAAACATATCACGCGTTCAGTCGCATTAACGGTGCTGCTCCTACAGGCTCGTGGCTAAGCCAACTTCTAAAGTTGTGGTTGGCTACAAGAAAATATTCACAACAGTAAGACAAACAGTGCAGGCAGAACCAAAAACGGCAATAAAAAGACAACCGAATCAATGTGAAAAATATATATTACTTTAGGCAATTGACGATAATATACAGTTAAAAAAGCCTTTAAAATGCTTCCTATACTAAACTCTATCCCCAAATATTTGATGGCTTTACCTAAAGCACAATAAATATGTAACACGATCTAGAGAAAATACTTTGGTCTGCGGCATTAAAATGACATCTAAGCACACTTGCAGAGAATTCCCTTCTCAAGAACCCACATTCCAAGGTTTATTCTACAACTTGTTGGTGCATGAAAATGATGCAGCCTTCAAAATGTAACGAGACGATATAGGGATAAAATAGAGTCTGTAGCACTTGACAATGGATAATGTATGTCTAAACGCTTCAAGATGGTGAATTGTCAGGGCTTAGCTGCTATTAGCACACTCAAAGAAACTTCTCTTTACAAATATTACGAAAACCTAAAAGAAGATAATTGGCAAAAACATGTCCAGCTTTCAGCCTACAAGGCTACAAAGAACAAATTTGAAAAACCAGTTTCCTGTTTTTCTGCACCATAATCTTAAGATAAGAAAGTTTGGACATAAAGTATTCTGTGCTTTCATACCCTAGCCAGTTAACTCTGTGGGTTGCTCGCAACCCGGGTAGGAGTTTGGTGGCATTAACTTACTTTAAGGAATCTTGTGGGGGTGCAGAGAGGATAAACTTTCCTAGTATCGTCATGTCATTTTTTTACACAAGGATTTCCTACGCTGGCTTAAAAATGCCCAATAAAGGGTTGCCGGTATAACGAGGGCAGGTAGAATGTGGAGCACTTCTTAGAATGCCTGGGTATGTAAGTTTAAACTTTGTTGTCCTTCGTTTGATACAAGAAAAACGTTGTAAACATCTAAATCTACCATAAAAAATAAAGATTGATATCAAAACGTAAATACAAATTCTAAAAAACGCAACAAAAATACCAAGAAAAAGAACTTAATTGGTAAACGCAAAAACTCACAGGATAAACCGGAGGCTTCTTGTGAAACAGGGCACTTTTAACAACATCAAGTTAAAGAAAATGACCTTAATGCGAGTAGATTTTAAGACCAGTTTTCAAGGTACAAAGACACGCTAAAGCAAGATTCAGCATTGTCTTCTTGAAAAGAGTTTATGCTGATGCTTTAAATGTTCTCTTATAAAAACTTGGTTTAAAAAGATGAATCGTTTACGATGGGATGTTTTATTTTTTTGGTTATCAAGATTTTGCATCGCAGATAGAATGAAAGGACATGCAGATTTAGATTATTGAATCACTGTACAAAGCCAGATTAAATTTGAATGCACACGAAGATACATTGAAAAGGAAAGCATCGGCAGACAAAACTGTTAATAGTGATTACGTATTTGCACCTAGTCCAAAACCATCTAATTTGTTCGTACTGAAAGAATTTCAGCTCAGCAGCGTCTTAGATTAACAGGATTCAGAATAAATCATTCTGTTGAGACAAAACTCGGTGAGTCAATCTACTGAAAACACAATAAAGTTCATTTTACAATCTAAATTGTTTGAAGAAAACATCTATCGTTTTTGACTCCATAAGACATACGACAATATAACAAACACGTGTCGACTATTCGGCCAACACTCATTCAAAAACCTTTCTTTTATTTCTGAAATCTTTTTGACCTAGACAAAAATTTACCTCCTCGTTATCACATAAAATTGTTATCCAATATGAAAAGAAACCACATCATTCTTTCATTTCTAGTCTTTATTATTCTCCGGCGAATATCATAGTACCTAATTAATTCTGACTTTCAAAATTGGATAACATTCTCTAAAATTGCTTTAAACATTTTTCTGCAAATAGGTGACTGGGATTTAAAGCAAAATTTTATTTATGACAAAGAGATACAAGTAGAGCAGTAATTAAATTTGGTTGATGGGCCTAAGAGAAATGACCAAATAAAAGGACGAAAGAGAAGTTTAATCATTCCGTTAGCTTGAATTACCTTTTGAAAATAAGAACAAAATGTACCAAAAAACTAACCCAGCCCTATGAGAAAAAATTGATGATTTTAAAGACTCCCCAAAAATGACTAGCAATTGTTGAGTGTTTGAATTTTCCGAATATGGGTCAATGATAAGCAGATAATCGCATATTAGTATGGGGTAGGGCATACTTGAGTCCTTGGCAATGTAATTAGAATGCTTAAGACTGTATCAGGTTGATGAATCCTAACTGAGGATGTTATTATCTGAAAATGCTAGAGAAGAACCTCTTAACAGTATCCCCCTCTTTTCGTAATTCCCTAATTGAGAGTAGGCATTTCAGCGTTTCTGGCAATTAAAAAAGGCGGACGCGCTTCACTTTACATTTTGTTCAAAACCTATCACTTAACGTATAAATAATAGCCGCAACACTATACAATGAGGTCAAATACAAGATGCTTCAATCAACTGACTTATCTAATACTCCGAATATCCTGATCTGATCAGATCTGTTGCCAGGTTATTCAGCATTCGCCGGGAAACTCGTTGCATACTGCATGCTGCTCTACCTGCCTCGTTCAGAGCATCGTCGAGGCGCCAGTCGTCATACTGTATAAAATGAAACGACGCCATTATGTCATTGCAAGGCTTTAATTCATCAGAATTAACATTAAATGCAATTTGGCCTTTGTGCAAAACTTGTCATAAAACAACGAGCCTTGGATATATTACAACTATTAGGGCAAAAAGCTGTCGATAAATATGTTGATAAAACGATTTCGTTTCCTCAGAAGATCTACCATAATGTACCACAGGCTCGAATTTTTAACAAGCAATCACACTCAGATGAGCTCCCATGCTGACATGCCAACTTTTAAAACATGAAGTACTAAAATAAACAAAAGCTTTTTTGCTTTGCTCTAGTTGTATGTGTTGTCTTAGCAAATGTTCTGTTTCTCAAAGTTAATTTGAAAATGTGAAAATACTTTAAATAAGAACTATCTGTATGACGACTTTCAAATGACTGTTATATGCCCCCCCCTAAGCTAAATCCCCCTTGAAATAGTCCAAATCCCAAAATGCTCGAACTAGCAAGCCTTAAGGGGGTTCACTGGATAACTTAAGTTTTTAGATATGATTTATGGTCTATGACAAATGCCCTATAATCTAAACTACATATGATCGGATAAAAAGACAATTTTTAGCCTTAAGAGCACATTTACCTCATCTAGAAGTCGACTTTTTGAATTTCGGCTTGAATTTCGACTTTTTTGAAATCTCGACTTGCTTTTGCTCCTAAAAGGAAAACATTGATATTCAAATACGACTATTTGACCACAACGATTAGCTGTGAGAATAATGAATGCTTGGTTGCGATTTTCTAAGAAAAATTTCATGCACAGGCTTGGGTGCAAATTGCTACTTCCAAGAAAAACGGTGTTCTGAGCATGTTGTTTCAGTTAAGAGCTAAAATGTTGTGAATTTCTTTATTTCATGAATCGATAAGAATTAAAAAAAGCTGACAATTCATAATTTCCAATCTCCCACTTGAGTTTAAGTAATATTTAGTAGCAAAGTGGAAATACGTGTTGCTTTTATAGTGTTAAAAAGGTATGAGCAATTTCAATTATTTGAAAAGAACGATCATAGTTTGGACTGAAAACATCTCCTCTCCTAAGACGCTTAAACATGTGAAAACTCTTTGCTTTTCATAGAATAGGTGATTTCAAAAAATTTCTGGCTAATACGAAGATTAATAAGAAGGACGAGAAGGCTTCATTGGAAAGAAATGAGCATGACAAGAAGTATCAAATGGGTTGTAAATGACCAGCTAATTAAATAAGCTTGGAATGTGTTGTACTTTGCAAACTCTGGTATGCTTTCAAGCCAATTAAGCTCCATACAATGCAATACTTAGGTGTAGCACTCTTCCATTCCCCTTTCCCCATGCGCAATGTTAATTGTTTAAAAAAGGTGTTTGAACGTAAGATTCTCATCATGGGTGTCCATAAATATCTAAATTAAGCAACATTGTAATGGGGAGAGCAGCTCGAAAAGCTGTGAAAATATTGTGTGGATAAGGACTGTGCACCATGACCAGAAAGCTTGATCGAACCACATGACATTTCTAATTCATATTTTCAAAACTGTTGTAAACTTTCCGAACTCACTGAATTTTTTTAAAACCAATGTCCTTTGATAAGAATTTAGAAATAGTTTCAGCTCACCTGCTGTTTTGCCTTTCTGCTTCATCATCGGATTGAGAATCACTGGACGAAGATTTGCCTCGAGATCTTCTCTGTCCATGGAAGGTATGGATGTGGTGTATTGTATTTGGGGTTAGGTACAGCTGAGAGGAACCGGCTCTGCCAAGGTCAGGCATGGATCTAGTGAGATAAAAAATCTGCTATAAAAAACAATATATAGATCAAATACACTGAGACGGACGAAGGAAAGGTTGGCTTTGTCACCATGATATGGATCTGTGATCACGCCACTTCAAATATCAAAAGTGATCTCTAGGTTGCAACGGGAAGAAATTCCATTCAAAAGATCAGAGAACGACAAGTGTATAAATTTGAGTATTTGAAAGTAGCACGGAAAAGCAGAGGTTTATGATATCAAAACTCATTTCATCTGACACTCAGAGTATAGAGTTCATGAATAGATAGAAATGAAAAATAAATTGTTGCGCGATCTATAAATAAAGGTATCGCAAATCACCAAGCTTACAATCATTAGATTAAGAAGACAAGAAAGGCTCCAGTGTAAGAAAAAATCAGCGAAATGGCCGTCCAATGTCCAATGTCCGTGACCGTGAAGTCAACAATCCAATGTCCGTGAAGTCAACATTAACAAAAACATCAACAAGGATTTTTTCGCGTTAAGTATCTCGTAGCGAAGTCTTTTTCTTGCTGGAGATTGGGCTTTACGGCTTCATTCAGAATGATTTTTAAGGTAGGGGTATATCAGCGGATATACCCTAAAACATAGCTTCAATTTCTTCATCATGACGTGGAATTGCAAAACTCATTGCAAGACAGGCCTTTTGCTTGATTTAGACAAATAAATCCAAGTTCGGCAACACTAAGAATTGATTTACAGTGAAGAGACTAACACAAGAAAATCTAGATCTGTTTTAGATACATTAAAACTGAACTTAAAATAAGTTGGGATACCTGTAAGGAGAAGGAGCATCGACTAGATAACCAACAGCTGATGGGTGCTGCATGCTGGCAGTGACTGGTTGTGGAAGTCGTGGTGTCTCTAATCTTCCAGGGATACCATTTGGCGTCGATGTAATATACCGCTGAGGCAAATACGAGTCAGAATTCTGTGCCAGTCCTTCTGGAACAATTTGCACTGGCCGGCCTGATTCGAGAAAATCTCGAGGAAAAACGTAATCCCCATGTTTATGGTAGCCAACGCCGGAACAAATCGGACAGACTGGAATTACAGTTGGACTCGTTTCTTGAATGTGCGGCGCATTTGTCTTAGCGGTAAATGACGGCTGAGATTCTCTGATCGGCGTTTGGTATGGCTCCCGTGTCGGCGTTTGGTATGCCTCCCGAGTACCATACAACTCTCGGGCTGGAGTCGGCTGAGAGAGTGGTCTGACAGGAGAAGGGAACTCGACAGGTATTTCAGGTTCACGAACTGCAGGTTTTTTCCTGGCTCTTTGCAACTCTCCTGTTAAGATATCGATCTTTTCTTTGAGGTCTTCGTAATCCCGGTCACCTTGATAGTGCGGTGTGTGTGTCAAACCATCACCGGGCTGTATATTTTTAAGGGAATTTCGAAGTTGATGATTCAGTTCATCTAGCTTTTGTCGTATGTCGTCATAAGACTTATCATGAGGAGTCTCTACAGGGCCTTGACGGTCTCCGCGAACAGTCGAGCGTCTGCGAGTATCCGGGTGAAAACGGTACTGATCCAACTTAGCTAACTGGTCGCGAAGCAGGTTCAAATTGCCTCGAAGTCGGTCAGTTTGTTCACTACAATTTAAACAAGAGTATCAGCCTGAAAATCCACAATCATGCATCTTCAATAAAAATGTCAGGAATTGAAACTCAAACTCAAACTGGTGTGGAAATTTTATGCAGAAATGCTAAAATGCATCAAACATTAATGTTAGCAAAACAGTATCTCCCGTCCATGGGGACACTAATCAATGATTCCCTAGCGAAAAACAACATACAGAGCAATGCCAATACGATGAATACTAAGCTGAAATATACCTTTGCCTTCGACTTGCTGAACTGTATTTTGAGCCAGTCACACTTTGATCCATTCTTTCTCTTGTGGGCCATCTTGGCTTCTCAGAAGGATCAGCAAAAGAGAAGCCTACAAAAGGACATTCTTATTTCTTTATAATGTCTTTATTAACGGGAATGTAGTTGGAAAATGAACTAAATAGTGGAAACGCCAACTACTAGACTGTGGGTGGGGAGGGGATTTAGGCCACACACTTTTTACTCAAGACAACACTCTTTTACCAAAAGGAGACATCAATTTTGCCTAAAGAGAATTTTCATGACTATTTTTTGGTCACCTAATCGCAGTTTCAAAACCATAGAATCACACCACAAAAAATACGTTGCCAAAACATAACCTTTCCTCTAACATTCACTCACTGAAATTAGAAGAAATATAAATCGAAACGACCCAGTGTAGAGCTGGGGGGGGGGGAGGGGGGGGGCTTGGAGCCATTATTGGTACTAATTGCTCTACATTTTAGGCTATATGATGAGAAGTCATAGACTAAATTCTTGACGCAATACGATTTTCTCGTTACACATATCATCTTTGGTATATAGATAGTTTTTCACATGATATACTAAACATAGGCTTACATTGAATACACAATGTGTCTAGGATATAGGGCATCCAACAGTGACCTCTATTATAATTTATAAAAGAGGATAGTAAAACAAACCATCATATGACGCCTTTTTCTGACCACTTTGAGCACCGCCTGTGTTCGAACGGTTTGAACTTCTGCGCGATATTTCATTAGCTGCGTTTAAAAGACTTCCATCATCGTCGTTTTCACGTGTCATTGATTCCGGTAGAAAAGGGGATCTTTCTACAGTGATAGGCAAACGTATAAAACTTGCATCAGTTTGTGTTTCCGGGGAAGTCTGGAGACTAATGACGTCATCAAAAGTACCCTTGTTTCGTGACTTTTCCCTAAGTCTACCCGAAGGTGTTCTTGCAATGTTAGATAACTTCTCTTCACTGCCTAACCCTCGGCGATCACTGGCTTTCCTAGAACCAAAGCTACTATCTGGTTGCTGTCTGGACTCCTGGGTAACTTCCGACACTGTATCTAATAAACTGTCCCTTCGCAATGACTTTGATAGCCTACGCTGTCCAGCAGGCTCTCTCATAGGTGAAACTGGCTCATTTGATAACACGCTTTGTTCTGAGTTTGGAGAGTAAAGTTGTTTTTGTTGTCGTGGAATCTCGTCCTCCCTTTCTGACTTACTGCGCGGTGGCCGAATGAGCTTCTTTCGTCCACCGTTTGAAAATTCTTGTGACTTTAGTGTACCTTCAGAGCCCACAAATCCGCTATCTAGGTTGCTTTCAGCTGTATTGGGGCGATGCCTTGTCCCATTAAATTTACTTTTGGGGGAATTTATCAAGCTAGGAACTTTATCTTGTTCCGAGTACACACTACTGTTCATTCTGTCAGGCCGATTAGCTGGATACGATTCTTCACTAGAAGAATAATTACACTGCCTCGGTCTTGTCTTCGACAACCGACTTCCGGACTTTATGCTGGACAGTCTTCCGTCACTCTTATTCTCGTGTAGGCTTCGATCAGACAAACTAGCACGTGTCGCCCGGTCATTTCGTGACTTTCTTGGCCTACTGCGACTAGCATCTACTTCGTCAGCCGACTCTTTCAAATTGAACATGCCACGTGATGATAAATCTCCAGCGCGATTCTCTTCGAGGGGACTGGAAGTGGCTGCAGGTCCTGCGCTTGAGCTTCCTGCAACGGAATGCCTGCTCCCTGAACCATGTTTTGGTACTGGTGCTAGCGAGCTGTTCCTAGACTGGCGTGCATCCTTGTCCGTGCCATTGTCATGTCCCTGCTCTGATCTACAATACAATATTGTTGAAGTGAAATGCCACAACTTCTCAACAAGTAGAAAAATTAAGAGGATCAATGCAAGATTTCCGACAAGGCGTGTAAAATATTATGGGAGGTAGAGAATTCTAATGTCCCAGCCTTAATTGCCAGCTCAGGCAAAACAAACACTGAAACACGTATGATGACCACATACCATGGCACTCCTCCCACTTTTTTGTGAATCAAATAGCTTTTAAGCTACTGAAAAAGGGGTTAGAAGCCTTGGCCCCCTACTTTTTTAGCCCTGGTCCACCACACTCAGGGGGGGGGGGGAACTCAGCCCCCCCCTGGGAATTTCGTTCGAAATCCGCCACTGGGCTGAAAACTCAGCGCAGAACAGCTGAAGGAAGGTATATGTATATTCTAAGTCTCAAAAATGTGAAATTTATCTATTGTTAAAGAATAATTTGAATCAAATAAATCCCTTGTAAAAAATTTGGTCTAAACATAAATTTTGAGCCCCCCCCCTGGGAAAAATAAAAGTTGGCGCCTATGAGCCTGGCTGATTTCAACAAGATTGGCACCCCTGGTTCTATAAATTAACCATCGTGCGTGCACTCTGCAAATCTTCGATGCGAGTTGACCTCACAGACAGCTGGTTATCGGCTCATTTTGACTCGAACCTGAATTTACAAACAAAGTTTTAAAATCTATTCAACAATCCGTGTTACTTTTTGTCAAAGAATAACATTAACAGCTATGTATAGCTGAACTATGTAAATCGTTCACGCCATTTAGTTTCATCCAAAAGTTTGCCATTTTTACAAGTGCTTTAGTGACAACTATTCCATTGTTAATTTGCCGAGACACAACCATACTTATCTTCTTTACCTTCGTTTCATTCCAATGAAAGTGGGCTAGACTTATGAATTAGCTACACTACACGCACTCCCCAAGCTGTAAATTAGTTGTAAAAAAGTATGATCAGTACGGCTTTCAATGTAATTGGATAAGTTGATACAAAGCCTACGGTAGAGGCGGGGTCGGGGTGGGTTCTGTTTGGGATAACCAGATGAAGCTTTAACGCTGTCTTGAATTTCGGTCTGAGTTCTAATTCATATGAAATACATTCAGCTTTGTTTACAACGCAGCCTGATCCTAAACCTTCTTTCGCGTCGTCCTCGTGAAACTACAAAGTTGTTAGCTTACTATGGCTAGATCAAGGCCGTTAATAGAAACTACTGTTGCCACTAAATTTAGAAGTATCCATATTTTGCCTGCACAGTTGACCTGGTGCCCTGACCTAGACCATGTAAAGAAAACAGTAAAAAACAGAGTTTTCCGCTAAAACAACATCTTGAGAATCTTGCTAAAAATAAAAGGCCAATAAAAGTCGTTGCTGGCAGACCTTTAATTGTTTTTATCATTTGGTGTTGGTCGACAGTGGAACAAAGTTTGGGAAAGACAAGACAAGATTAATTATTCATCGAAACTAAGATCGGGATTAGTTTCTTAATCTTTTGCTGATTTTAGTGCTAAACGTTTCATTAAGGGTTCTTAGGTACCAAATGCAAAAGGGCTACTTAAAAGAAACATAAAAAAGTAACATAAATAACATGAAACAGGAAATTTAATAAATTACAAGGCGATCTTCTTACTATTCATCTGTGCCAATTAAACAGGAAATAATAGGAGTATATACTGTTTTGATAAAAAACTGTCTGCAAAGAAACCGAGTCCTAAGATGACAAAAAATTAAGAAATCAAAGGAATAAATACCCTGAACCTTTGGAAACTGCTCGAAAATTCTAAAATATGCCAACACTTGAAGCTGTACATCGATGGTTTTAGATTACACTCATTTCTTTAATAAGAAACTGGCTATAAGAAGCTAGTACTGGACAGTCAGAATAAATTAAGAAACTCCAGTACTCGAAACAAAAAAATTAAGAAACTATTAAATCGTGATAAAACTGAGAACAACGAAATTTCCTAAAATCCAAGAACATGATTGCCCTGTTGGCCAAGAATTCTAGACACAAGGGATAAAAATATACGTCCCACATCTAAATACAGCATCAGAACGGAAGCGAATCTCTTGACGTGACAAAAAAGGTCACGAACATTTCATCACATCACTCATGACATCATAATTAAGAAACTCATAAGAAACAATGAGTATCGAAATTTCCAAAAATTAGTGTATTTGAATAGAAAAATAAATTTCAAATAACCGCACGTTTCGGGAAAAACTACACTATCTTCTGCCTATGATTCAATTGGAAAGCGAGCAAATTTGTGGGGCATGGTCACCAACAAATCACAATGCAACGCCCAGATTTTGAGAATTTTCTGAATATGTGCAGCGATAAAAATCTTTACATCAAATCCTTGCCTCGAAGTTAGATTATTAGATATCGATCTTTTAAATAGATATTTGATGGTAAACCCCATTCTAAACCTATGCTCAGTGCAAATGTCCCAAAACAAAGCTCCTTAACCGAGTAATAAAGTTGCGACCTTATTCGCAAATGGGACAAAAAGAGCCTTCACTTTCATCATCCATAACCATGTCACGTTTTGTACCATATCACAAAGATTGTCACATAGAAGGAAATAACGAACAACTTTGGATTAAGGCAGGCTTAAAATGTAAACCGAATTGGCCCGATGGCTAACCTTTTTGGTCTTTAGGCAGAATGACCTGACATTGTCAAAGCGCTGTTAATCTGGTTATTAGAGCAGAAGCGTGCGTGATTGTGTGACAAGCAGAACTGATGAATATTTTATCTTCTGATTAGGAGAGCTGTCGTAAATTGTAACATAAACGTATATTAAAGCTGAGCTGACGATAATTTCTCAAACAATTGTGGCTAAAAATTTTCTGAAATGTTCTACGTGGTGATTGTTCGCTTTTTGACATGAAAACCACATCCAAAAGAACAGCAACAACTCGTCGTGTGCTACTGCAAAAGTGCGAATACAAAACCTTGTTATGAGACCCGTTTTACACCGTCAAACTACTCAAAAATAATCACTGTCTTTTCACATAACTAACAACTATTACTTCAAATAACTACTCAGGGCCGGCCAAACCGAGAGGGGTCGGGGGGAGGGGGCCGGGGTCGGGGGAGGCCACGGCCCCCACTTTTCTGCAGAGCAAAATAATTTTTTTTGAATAAAAGTGGACAGAAAGTTACTATATCATTTTCTAAGTGACTGTGCCTAGTAATGCCTTAAATATGCCCTTAGCTTTAGCTTTGTTGCTATGTCTTTACCAAAGAAGACATTTATAAAACTGAATATTGAAATTTGATCGGAGAAGTCGGTCATTGTCCAAGTTGATCAACGAGCAACTGCTTTTTTAGGATATTGATCGAGAAACCTGATCCAGAATAACTTGGTGACAGCACAAATTGACGGAGTTTCGTTTTTTCTATGGCCTAACGTTGGCAAACAAGGTCAGTTTGCTACCTAAAATTTTTGAGGATATGAGAAATAAAGAACGGGCAGATTTGTTCTTAAAAAATATCATCAAGAAAACTTCAAAGTTTGATTGTAACGGTAATCCATCCCTACTATAAAAGAGAAAATCTAGACGCAATTATAAATTATATCAAAACTCTTTTTGATCGGCCCGGTTTCAAAGTTTCCAAACCTAGAGTCTTTTTGCTAAAAACCCTTTATCTCCAAGAAGTTTAAGATCAGATGTTGAAAAATAATATCCTAACTGTTCAAAAATGCTTAATTTTTATTTTTAGCTGATAGTTCTTCTGTTTATATTTCAATGTTAAATGCTTTTTTATCAAACAGTGTTATATCAAGCATTTATTTTTCTCCCCCATCCTATTTGGGTACTTTCAAAATCTAAAAAAGTTTCATTACAAGCTTTATCATAAAGGTTATTCTAGAAACTTTGCAAGACCTTTTCTATTTCATGTTATCATTACAACAGACTAGACTATAGGACACGTTGATAAAACAAAGCTTAGATATATTGCCTCCAGTTTTCCTTCAGTTAAACTCCATGGCCATTCCTAAGACACAATAATTCCAAAACTTTTCTTGCTGCCAACCATTGTGGTGGCCTTTCCGGATCCCTTTCAAGACTTCGATATTTTGGCCCCTCCACTTTCAAATACATTTTGCCGACCCTGCTACTGGGATCATAAAAGTGTGATTCCTTCCAATCATAAAATAGCCCGTGGAAAGTGTTTACATTCCTTCTCTCTACAATCTGCTCGCAGGATAAGACAATGGCCGAAGATGTGAACCATGGAACTGTATAGATTTCTATAACCGACGAAGATAATCTTAGTTTTAAAAAGTAACCGGGATCAATTTAAAAAGAATATTCTTCATTTTCTTATAAGCAACAAGAAATATTTGTAATTTCGCCAAAATGTTCGATTAAAAAGGGCGTGTATTGACGGTCCAATACACAAAAGAGCCCCCTAAAATACAGGTTTAATGATGGTAAAAATCAGATCACAGATGGCAAAATATTTTCCAGACTCTGATCTCCTCATTTCTAAAAAATGCTTCGTTTATAGTCCCTATTTGATGTAATATTTTGCCGCAAAACAAGGTATTCATTTAATGAACAATGAAGCCTGTGAGTATCGAAACCATTTTGCGCATTATGAAACGGCTTTCCTCGTTGGGCGCCATTCTTTCCTTATAATTCAGAAGCGAAGTAGGTCTGAGGGGGCTGTGTGGCGGGTCAGGGGCATATGCCATCAACTTTTAGAATGCACCTTTCTCAGAAGTGCCCTCTTTACCAATTTCTGCGCTCCATTTTCTGGGACAGAGTGTGCCTGTTTACCTTTGCTCTTCAACTTTGCAATGTTCCTGTAAAGCTCATTCTTTGGTTAATAAGCAGTTGTTATGACGTAATAAAGTGCTGCTTTTGGTTGGTAGTTAATGATAAACAAATTTATGCGAAAGGCATTTTATGAGCAGATTTGACAAACTGATTGAATAGTACTGAAAAACACAATAATTGTATGTTTGGTGGCTTTAACCACAA